TTTATCACCTGGCAATAGAGAATGGGTTACAGAGATAGGTGCCATATCTGCTGGCGGCATTTTTATTCCCTCTTACTTTATCTTTAAGGGGAAAGTAATAACCAAGAATATGGGTATGGAAGCTCTCAATTCTGTTCCAGATTCAGAGATTGGAGTTTCTATCAACGGTTGGAGTGATCAGCAACACGCTGCTGCGTGGATTGACCATTTTGATATGTGGACTCGACGAGAGGATCATTGGGAGGATATCCGTGAAGATAGAGAATCCGCAGGAGAACAATATGGTTACCGGCTTCTTCTAATGGATGGCCATATTTCTCACCTCTCTCTGGAATTTATTACCAAATGCGAAGAGGCCAGGATTATCCCATTCTGTTTGCCACCCCATACTACTCATAATATCCAACCGCTGGATCGTTGTCTCTTTTCCATCTTGAAGAAACAATATTCAGATAAGATTGACGAGTATATTGGCCTTCAGCGACGTGGCATCGACCGCACAGTGTTCCTGGAGCTCTACGGGCAGATTCGTGATGATGTATACACCTCACAATACATCAAAACAAGCTTCTTGGCAGCAGGAATATGGCCTCTTAATGCCCAAAGAATTCTACAGAAATTGAAGAAGCCTGATCAATCTGAGCGCCATACAACTCCTCAGCAAATTCGGATTGGAACGCCAGCTCTCCTTTCGTCGCCAATGCATCCAAGAACTCCGTCAACACAAGATGATATATCACGTTACCGAACATCAATTTCTCATGCCTCAGCTACGCAGGCCACACGTGATGCAGCCACTAACAAGCTATACGCTACAATCAATTCTCTACGTGCAGAACTACAGCTTGTCAACAATCGAAATCGCGAGCTTGAAACAGCTACAGCTACACAGAAACATAAGCGATTGAAAAAGAACTCAGTGCTTACAAAATCACACCATATTTCCACAACCGAAATCCGGAGAATTCTTGATGCCCAGGCTGTTGCTGCAGCTAAGAAACAACACGCTAAGGAGCTTCGAGAGGCCGCCAAGTTACTTAAGAAGGAAGCTAAGATAGATGAAGATGAGAATAAGCAGAAGAGGAAGGAAGCCGTCGCCAAGCGAGTCGAATTGCGTGTGCACAAGCTAGCCAAGGAGAAAGAATATAAAGCTACACAACGTCAACGTAAACAAGTGCAAAAGAGGTACGATGACGCCATTATAGCCGACAGCCAGAACGGCAGCCAAATCACGAAAAACGCTGTCAAGAAGCTTCATGAGGCTTTGTTGATTGCTTCAAGTGCTGATGCAATTGCTAAGACAGCCGTTGATGAAGCCATATCAGCATGGCAGCATGCCTGCGTGCATGTGGCCTCCCTACAGAACTCAACACAGAACTCAACACAGAACTCAACACAGAATGCAGGGGCTGATGAGATGGAAATTGATCAATTCGATGAACAATTTGATGAGGAATTTGATGAGGAAATGGATGAGGAAATTGATGAGGATGGGGAAATGGATGAGAATCGCGTGCTGGAGAGTGTTGAGGGGGGCTACTATTGAGTGAACAAAGTGATATCATAGGTGAACGAGTTGGAACAAGTCTCAACACCATGTTAGAGCTTGTATAGATAGATGTTGTATCAATTTCCAGCTTCAAAACGGTACAGATGTTGTTACGTGTTGATTTGCATGAGAAATCGCTGCAAAACGGCAATCTCCGTCACTTTTGATGTTCCTGCTTACTAATCGCACGGGCCATACAATAACACCCTCATATACAATAACCCACTCAAGTACTCTAGCTGAAGAACTGTAAATCACTTACTATGGATAGAGAACTCTACTCCGGTCAGCCTATCTGAGGTGACTCAACGTGCTCTGAAGTCCTCCAAAGCGATTAATACATTTTTCTTGAAAATACACAGGTGCGCTTCAAACGGTGGCATCAATTTGTATATGAACTTATGACGAGACGCTGATTCCCGACTAGCTACGATTAAAAAAGAAAACAGGCTCGAGTTCTCTTATATGAAGATGCAGACCGCTGTTTCAAATATCTTCCAAAACGATTGATCCACAGTTCGTGAGAGTGCACGGAGGCACCTCAAGCGATGGCATCGAGGTGGGTACGAGCATATGATGAGTGACATATTCTCGACTTGCTACAACTAAGAAAGGAAACAAGACCGGTTGCTCCTCTGTAGAGTTGTAGAGGATCATATCCAAAGATCCTCCAAACGATCAATGAAATTTCCTGAGAACGTACACGATCTAGCCTCTTCAATGTGATTACCACTTGTTTGAACTACGTGATGATGCGCCCTCGGCCCGACATCTATTCCGTAGCATCAACTATTGCTTCACCCCAGCCTATTCACTTCTAGCCCCAGCAGCAGCTCGAACAACCACAAGGTGAATCAAATCTGCCTCAACCGCTGTGGATGATGGTGATCACCTACGCATACAGAAGCTGAACGCTAACAAATTGGTCACAGACGTCACAAATCCAAACTCGCGTCCAAAAAATGGCACACCTGCTCCCCATCGTCTTCGTCGCCGCTCACGCCACCTTTTCCGCCTTTTTTCCAACAATTGAAGAAGAGCTCGCTATCACCTTTTCCCTGACAGCATGGACCGCGCCGGCCGCTTCGGTTGCTTCTTTGCGGGCCTCGGTGGGCCTTCTTGTGCTCGACCGCATCTTATGTACCAACATCAGGGTACAGCTTGAGGGTAGGAGAATACGCGTCGTCCTGGACTACGTGGACGAGGAGGCCTAGTGGAGCCTGCTGGCGTTGCTGCTCCTCTGGTGGCTTCGGAACATCTGCTCAACACATCGCGTCCGTCGTCTACCCTCGGAGTGAGCGGACTTGCTCAAGGCAGCTATCCGACGTTCTCGTATCTGGGTCTTCTGGGTTGGATATCCGGCTTGTTTTTCTTTATATTTGTAGCGAATTGTAGATCAGTCTTTCATCATAAGCTCATGCACGTTCTGATACCACTGTTTGACGTGCCTCCGTATATTCTCAAGAAAAGTGCATGAATTGTTTTGGAAGGTCTAAGAAGAATACGTCGAGCCACTTCAGACGGCGCTCTAGCGCTCTGCACTACCTCGCTACTACTGAAAGGGCTTTACTTACTCCCCATCATATCTAGCATAGTCGTCGGCAATGGCAACATGACTCTGCTCGAAGCGGGTCATCCTCATCATCGTCGTCTCTTTCGGTCCGGGTGAGCCACACAGGAAAGCGAGGTTCGCAGTCTGGATCTGGGACGATGTCTTCGTCGATCTCATCCACAGGATCAGGATGTCTTCCAGGGTCGGGATCTTCCGCACGTCATTAAAGGGCCAAGCGGGCAAGACACGGAGGTTGTGCCAGGCCACGGCAGCGCTACCAGGCTCGTGCGGAAGGGGCAGGAACCATCCGATGGTTGTCTTTGCTCTGTTGTCTTCCTCCCGCTGTCTTCGCTCTGTCGTCTCTCTCCCCCTTCATCTCCGGTAGCGTTGGCCAAGGTGTCAGCTCCCCCTTGAGCTGCCACTTGGGGCACCAGATAGTCTTTTCGCAGAGCACTACGCTGTGATTCTCCGGGAAGTCTTTCTCTCTCTTTCAAGCGGTTTGGAATTGGTTGTTGTCCGCCCTTGCTCAGGACCTCCTCTTTCATTGCGACGGCACGGTTGAGCTGCTTCGTGTGGGACTCGACTACAGCTTGCCTATGCGCTAGCTACGATGTTTTCGAGGGTCGGAATCTTGCGGACGTCGTCGAAATGCCAAGAGGTCTCTTCGCTAGGATAGGTTTGTGTAGCGAAGTTTAAGTCGGGGAGCGTGATGCCGCTCATGAACAGTTCTCAAAAGTGCAGCCAAAAGTCATGCCGCCGCCGCCGTCCATGTTCTGTCGCCGTGGCCGCCGGTCCTCCGTCAGAGCTGTCTGCATGTTGCCTAAGTAGTTCTGCTCGGCGAGCCTTGTAGAGGTAAAAGCTCTATAGGTTGTAGAGGGGGAAAGCGAGGCGGGACTTTGAGGAAGCTTCCGGGTCGGGCCGGGTCGCTAAACATGTCACGGCCGTAGCGGGCAGAGCGTGTCGAGACGTCGGCTTTAGATGAGGCTGGTATGTTGAGGGCTGTCACCGAGGTCGAGGGTGCCGCGAAGGCGTTGTCGTAGCCGACCATTAACGTCGTTGGAGTCGAGATCGCGGCGAGGAGGAAGGTCGTGATGCCTCGCTCGTTGAGAGAAGGAAGGAGGAGGAGCTTATGGGTGTATGATGGCGAGGAGAGATGTGGGAGTCCTGACGCATGACTGTGTTGAAGCGGCGAGGTGTGGTGTGTTCGGTCACTGGGGGCTTTGGAAGAAGTTGAGGTGTTGTTGATAAAGCTTGGCGCGATCCTGTCCACTCTTCCCAAAGGCTCTTCGTTCCGTCAAGAAGATACAAAGTTTTCTAACGCAAAAGCTTGGAATTTGGTATTTCCCTGCGGCTCGGGCCACATCTTCGTAAGGTTCCACGACTAATAGATTTGGAGATCAGCATCTTGGACAAGATACTTCCACCGTGTGCCACGTCTCGTTCACCTTGCTATGGGCCAACTTGCGGCACCCTGAGAACATGCAAGTCTCCTGGGTAGAAAGTCGTGCTTTGCAGAATATCTAGGGTCTACCTTGTCAATTCGTCCGCCCGACGCCGTAATCCCCAAAACGATGCAAGGGCGATCGTGGAACAATCGCCTCAACCTCAGACGACGTACCACGACTCCACCAAGGCCGACCAATAGTACGTGTGCATGATTCACGTTTCAAATGAAAGCTATGTTGACCTGAAACGTGCCGAGGTTGAGATTTGCGATCTGCAATTCGGAGGATGTCTCCTCAACCACCAGCCTATTTCGTCCAAGTCAGGCACATTTCCCCACACAACTGTGGCTCAAATATCCCCGCATTGATCTACGCCGTTATATCATAAACTTTAAACGCCTTCGGTATATCTCTAGAACCGGAATCTCGGGATCTCGACAATGCGTTTAACGATCAGACGATGTTCTGCCCCGGCGAAACGGTACTCGTTTCGCGCGTTCTCCGAAAGAAATCCTCGGCATTGGATATCCTAGCAACTATGTCCTAGTTTGAGTGGTCTTCCAAAGACTTCGAAACACCCCCATGACTTGTCAACGCCTCGTCCCTGGCATCTTTCCTGTCCCACGACCGCCTGCACAACATCGGCTCCGCTGCGCCGGTATCGCCAATCTAGCCCATCCTAGCCTGCCGCTCGCCGTCGTCTCTATCGACCTATCACTGGCAATATTGAGAATCAATGCCGAGGGATTCATGGATTGCATCTCGCAACCAAGGACGGAGCAACCCCCGTGGACTTGCTATGGAAGGACGCCGGGGCAGGAGCCGGTACTGCGCAGCGCTTCTGCTTTATGCTATAGCTATACCGCGAAGTCTTTCCTAGAAGGGTCTGAGGAGGGGGGAGACGCGAAGAAACATAAATACGGGTCGATGGACATGGACAAAGTTTGTTTGAACTGCAAGGGATCTTCCCCTTTCCCGCGAAACTTCAACATTCATTCTTCGATTTAGTACGATTCTATCATCCTTCTTTACATTTTCTAGCCCTCAGACTTTTCAGATCCCATTCCCGTTCTCCAATATGCACCACCGAACCATCCTTCTCTCTCTCCTTTCCCTCCCTCTCGCCTACACCCACCCCCTCCTCGCCCCACGCGCCTCCGACCTAACCTCCGACACTCAAAACGACGTTGTCAACAACACCGGCTGCAAAGCCGTTACGGTTGTCTTTGCGCGCGGCACCCTCGAGGCCGGGAACGTGGGGTCTCTCGCCGGTAAGCCCAACCCCACTAGCATCATCGCTATTCCCATTCCCTTTCCATTAAGCTTCTAGTATTTACCTAGGCTATTCCATACCCATGTCCATAATCATTCCATAACGATACCAGTCTTCACTCTATCTAACCCGCTCCACTCGCAGGTCCCCCCTTCTTCCAAGCCCTCGCCACCTCCATCTCCGCCGACCAACTCGCCGTCCAAGGCGTCGACTACCCCGCCGACATCGCCGGTTTTCTAGCTGGCGGCGATTCAGCCGGAAGCACACTAATGGCGCAGCTAGTCGGGCAGGCGCAGACGCAGTGTCCGGATACAAAGGTGGTGATGAGCGGGTATAGCCAGGGGGGGCAGTTGGTGCATAACGCGGCGAAGCAGATCACGGCGGCGCAGGGGGCGGCGGTGAACTCAGGTAAGATCCTGTTTATATTTGATAGAAAGGGTAAGGTGGGTGTGAATGGGGTGCTAATGGTGTGCAGTGGTTATTTTCGGCGACCCGGATGATGGCCAGGCGGTCGCGAATGTCAATGCTGCGAATGTGGATGTTATCTGCCATAGCGGCGACTTGATCTGTCAGGGGCAGGATACCGTCCTTTTGCCGCATTTGACGTACTCCGAGGATGCATCAGCGGCGGCGGCATTCGTGAAGAAGGCGGCTGGATTGTGAGGAATGAGCGGTAGGGTAGCGGAGGGTGATTAGGGTTATACCAAGGAGATATAGGAGCGGGCGTTATATGAGATGTAAGGTCTTTTGTATGTTCATTTTCGATCATTTTGGACTACCGCTTCACTATCAATATTTTATCTATTTCAATCTCGGACGATGACGCTGTTCAATGATCCAACTCGATCTACCTTCAGGAGCTCAACGCCGCATCCAAGAGTCGTTCGGGTGCACTAGCTTTAGGTCTAGTATAATACCTCGCCCCAAAGTGATGTGCATATACTGCTCCTTTCGAGCACTGCCGTATTCCGTCCTCTCCCCCGTGTCTATTGTCCTCGCGTATGGCTTTTCACCGCATGATTGGACGACCATTGGAGAAATTGCTACAACCGTCAAGAGAAATTGGCATTAGCCAGCTACTGATATGATTCACGCTTCCCATTGGAGTAGTATCTTGAGTTTCTTTCAATTTGAAGCAGTGCTCATGTTGCTCTGTGTATTGAGGGCATGCCCAACGGCACATCCACCCCATCCTCCTTGTGGCTCTGGAGAGCAGGTACATACTTTATGTTTGCATTCTTATTTTTAATTTCGGTATGGCAACGGCGACGAGGAAGGGCGACTCTATTCAGAGGGCTTTTGCTTATGCTTGCCTAAGATTTCAGCTTCAGGTATGTCTTCCTCTCCTTGCTTTTCTGGTTCTGGGACGCCGCATAGTTTAAGTTACAGTTGCTTTCGTCTTGTACACTCTAGATTCTTGCGAACAGTCGGGAGGGTTAGGCCCGGCTGCATGCGACTATCTTCGGCACGGGCCTAAGTCTGCAGCCAGCTTCGCTCGACACCACCTGATTCGATGAATGGCCCTGCAGAGATTTCTAAACGGCGCTCATGGGTCATTAGTGTCAACAAAGCCACAGCAATAAACTAAACCCAATATCGGGACAGTGGGTTTTCCATCCTAATTGCAAGTCACTGCTCCACTGATAATCTATATTGGCCTGACGTGCGCCGCTCCTCATCTCCCATTGCTCAACTGGACAATCCTCCAAGGGTCTCTGCAGAACATTCATGAGTCATTACTAGGGAGTATTCACTACTACCATTTCCATAGCAGATAAGTCAAGCCCTTCCGTCGTTCAGAATGCGAGTTACTACTCTGCTCATACCCTCTTCAGTCCAAGTAGTGGCGAGCTTTTCTCTCTCGTTGCCCAAGTCAGCAGCCTTTCAAGAATTCCTATACAGCATTAAAGAGGTGGTAAAGAATCCTACTTTCGATGAGGATCCAGGTTGCTCGGGCCGAATGACGATATCAGATTCCGTCTCCGCAATTCAGCCACTCGTTCGCAAACGCCATGTATCGAACCCAATCTTCAACGTCTATGAACCGCCTTTGCCTAGCTCCTGAACCTATCCAGGAGCACCCCATAGCTTCAAACAGTAACCGGAAAAGGAATCAATTTATTATGAGTTAGTCTAGCCAACGACATCAATTCCAAGCGCATTCCGTATCACCCCTCTTTTCCAACGCCTACAAAATCCTCGATGGAGAACTCAGCGGTCTAGCGGAACACACTCCACACCATGAACTGAGTCATAGAGCCAGATTCGCTCGTAATATAACCTCAGCTATCTTGTGGGATCATCTCCATATCTACTCCGGATCTCAGCCACGGTCCAAATTTATCTCGATATCCAGCATCTAGGAATCCTCGTTGCCTAGCTTCACCTTCAAGGTATTTTCAAGAAACAATCTACAAAACCCGAGTCTTGTTACAGCAGACTGACCTGGCCTATGACTTCAGACATTTCGAGAAATCAAGTATCGCCGCACTCTATACCGACCCCGACTTCCCAAAGTCTACGATTGTCTACGATTCCTCGTTGCTGAAAGAGGCCTCCATGTCTTTGACCTCCATCATCCAAGACTACACATACTAGACGACAGCCCCAGCCAGGAGATGATTGACACAGTTTCATTAGTCACTCGTCTCCAAGCAACTCGCTTGCTGCCCCGAACTTGTACTGCCTCAAACAGGAGGGTATAAAACAGGCTTCCATCTCTTATACTTCCCTCTCTCACACTCTACAAATCAGCCCAAGCCAGGGGACGCCCGACATTACTGCATAAACGAAGTGCCCAAAGGCAGCTCGCCTTCTTCCAAGAAAGAGTGCTAATCCGATCTAGAGGGTTATAAAGCAGGCTTCCGTGTCTTCCACCTCCATGACTCCTCCACTCCACAAATCAGCCCAAGCGAGCGGACCTTTGGTACAAGTACATATCTACAGGCGCCTGTCCTGCCCCCTAGAAGTTGTGCTGCTCCGAATGGAAGGCTAAGGGTATGAAAGAGGCTTCCGTCGTGTCTACCCCCATCACTCCTACACTCCACGAATCAGTAAGCCAGTAGACATTTGTCACTACTCTGTTCACACCATCAAGGAACGTGCCCGCTCCAAAGAAGATCACTGTCACTGCCCCGAACAGTTAGGAATATAAGAGAGGCTTCCAGCTCTTCCACCTCCATTCCTCCTACACTTTACAAATTCAGTCAAAGGGAGTGGATGTTTGACATGGCTGAATCAATCAAGTATCTACAGGCAGTTTGCTCCCTAGAGGCTGTGCTGCTCCGAACAGGAAGAGGGAGATTTAAAATAAGCTTCCGCCTCATCCACCTCCATCACTCCTACACTCCACATATCAGAACGAGGTCAGTGGATGTTGGACACAGCTGTATCAGTGCAGTGTCTACAGGCAGCCTGCTCCCTAGAAGCTAGACTGCTCCGAAGAGTAACAGGAAGGTATAAAAGAGGCTTCCGTTGCATTCACCTCCATCACTCCTACAATCCACAAATCAGGCGGAAGTCAGTGGACGCTTGACACCTTTTTGTTAACAACATCAAGACACTCACTACGTTTTTAAAGAACTGTTGCAGCAAGCTAAACTGTACAACAATCTGAGTTCTCCTACAAAACATCAGGTTCAGACCGCTCAATTCAAGCCCTTCAGTCACCGCTTGCCGTCAAGAGCTACCACCTTCACCGACGCACAGTTCTCCGCTGTCTACGCCCAACACTCAGCCAATCGCCCCTCACACGTCGCCCGCCCGCGCACAGATTTTGTCCACTTCACTCGGTTTATAAACTGTCCACCTGCCCACCACCTTTCTCGTCTAGCTTCCATCCTCCTTCAACCAACGTCTGATCACCAACGCCAAACCTCACCATGGCAGCACAAGCTTCAGACTATGACCGCGTCCTCCAGGACACCCTCGACCACATCCACCACCCCCCCATCACCTCAGACTCCGCCTACAACTTCGCTCGTCTCTCCCTCCTCGATGCACTCGGCACCGCCATCGCAAACGTCTCCTCCGCCGACCCAATCTGCCGTCGCCTCATAGGCCCCATCGTCTCCGGCACCACCGTCCTGTGCGGCTTCCGCCTCCCTGGCACAAGCTTCGAGCTCGACCCCGTGAAAGGCGCCTTCGACCTCAGCAGCCTGATATCCCACCACCACAGTAACCTCTCCGGTCCCCCCTCCACTCCCCCACTCCCCCCCTCCAGCATCCTCGGCGCCCTCCTCGCAACCGCAGACTGGCTAAGCCGCACGCGCACGCGTCCCGCGCCATCCTCACGCTCCGGCTCCTCCACGCCCACCGCCTCGTCCGTTGCCTCGCTGCCACACCCCACCGCCTCCCCAGCGCCGCCAACCGGCGTGCCCCAGCGCACCTTCCTGACGGTCCAAATCGAAGCCTACGAGCTCTACGGCTGCCTAGCAGCGCACAACCCCTCGCTCTCCCCGACGCTGCTCGCCGAAGTCACCGCCACAGCGTGCGTCGCGCACCTCCTCGAGCTGCCCGAGGACGACGCTCTCGCCGCTCTTTCGAACGCCTGGGCGGATGCGGGAGCCCTCCGCGTGTCGGGCGCCGCGCGACAGAGCTGCGACGTCGCCGACGCGGCGGCCCGAGCGGTGCAGCACGCGCTGCTGGCACAGCGGGGGCAGGCTGGCGTTCCGGGGGTTCTTGGGGCAGAAAGGTGGGGGGTACAGGACGCGGTGTTGGGCGGAATGGAAGTAAGACTGCCGCCAGGCGTGTACGGCGGGCTGGAGAAGAACGCGTACTTCCAGATGGTGCCGGCGGCGTGGTGGGCCGTTTCGGCGGTGGAAGCGGCGCTGGGGCTGGTGCACGTGCTGCAGGAGAGGGAGCTGAGCGTGGAGAAGGACGTGCAGAACATCATTGTGCGCACGACGAGGGCGGGGAAGAGAAGCTACGCGGGTGGGAGCGGGCTGGGGGGTGCGGAGCGGAGGAGGGGGGATTTGGGGTTCGTGGTGGCGGTGGTGTTGTTGCTGGAGGGGGAGATGGTGGAAGAAGGGGACTATGAGGACGGCAGCGCGTGGGCGACAGACCCGAGAGTGGAGGCGCTTAGAGGAAGAATGATCGTTGTTGAGGATGAAGAGTTCACGCGGGGTTACGACGATGAGGGGACGCGGAGTGCGGCAAATGGCATCAAGTTGCTGCTGAGCGTAGACGAAGAGGTCCCAGAGAGGGTAGTTGAATTCCCAGTTGGGCACCCAAAGAGGGAGGACACGACGGTGATGGTTGTGGAGAAGTTCCGGAAGAACCTACAGAAGGGGGATTTCAGCGACGAGAGGGTGGCCGAGATCTTGGAAAGGGTGGAAGTAGATGACGCCGAGGTGGCCGATTTTGTGGACTTGTTCTGGAAGTGGGAGTAAGAGCGGTGGTTGTGGGCAGGCGGCGTGGGCTTTGTGTGGTTGCTTCTTTGCTCAATTCCTCTTATTCGGACGTAAAGTGTCGTACCATGACGCTGTGAATTGAGCTTAATATGATTCTCTAGACTTCATGTCAAAATTCGAGAGCCTAATATGCATTACTGTGAGTGAGCTTTTGCACACATCATCGAACCGTCCGAAGTGGCTCGACCTACTATCGAAAGTGAATATCAGATGTTAAAAGCATGCCTACGTGAACCAGGAGAACTAGGCTCTCCAGCATTTGCAATTGTCATCGCACTGTTTGAGGTGGCTGAACGCGCCAAGATAATTCTACATGGGATGTCAAAAACACAGCTTCATGAAATAGGAAGTCGAGGAATTTAAATATTTGCACCCTTCATAGCACCGTCTGAGGTAGTCTAGCCTACGAAAACGAGTCAATACAGGATGTAATGAACAGGGGAGCGTGAATTTGGCCCTATTCCCGTGCCTCGAGTATGAGCAGAATGCATAAGCATTTTGCAACCACGATAGGATCGTCTGAGGTAGTCTAGTTCATCGAAAATTCCTGTAAAGGATGTCAAAAGCGCTCGTGCATAGATTGAAAGGTCCGTATACTGCAGCTCTTGCAGCCATAATCGTATCGTCTGAAGTGGCCCGGCTTACCATGAAATTTTCGTGTAGGATGTCGAAAGCACGAGATCGTGATTAGGGTTCCTAGTTTCTGCTTTGTACATGAGCGAGACGAGAGCGGAATGCTTATTCGTTTGCCATCATCTTGCAATCGTCTGAAGTAGCTCAACGCGTTTTCGGACAATCAGCCTCGATGTGAAAAGCAAGAGCACAGATATCAAGTCCTTGCCACGTTCACTGTTGAAAGCACAACCATTGTGTTGTCCTCGTATTCAGTGGGTAGATGCTTATTCATTTGAAATCGGGATAGTGCCGTCTGAAGTGGCTCAATGCGCTTCCGGATAATGAGGCTCAATGTCAAAAGCAAGAGCATAGATGTCAGGTCCTTGCCACGTTCAGTGTTGAAAGCACGGCCATTTGGTTGTCATCCCATTCCGTGGGTAGATGCTTATTCAATTGCGATCGGGATGGTACCGTCTGAAGTGGCTCACCACGCTTCAGGATAATCAGCTTCAATGTCAAGAGCTAGCGCCCGAAAATCAGAACCTCACCAAATCTCTGCTCGAACCACACTAACTGCTACACCGCCCCATTAAGAGCGCGGTACTCCTTCATTTGATCTCCTCATAGCGCGGTCTGAGGTAGCTCAGCGTGCTACTAGGCAATTAGCTTCGATGTCAAAGGCGAGAACACGAGAATCAGGACCTTGCCTGGCTCAAGCGTCCACTACCATAATCTCGCTGCTCAATCCACAGTAGAGCAAGATTCACGTTCATTTGCTATCGTGATAGCGCCGCCTGAGGTGGTCCAACGTGGTCACCATCCCATGAAAGCATGCCAAAGCAGTCAGCACGTGATCTAGGAGCTGAAATGTCAGGGGCCTTGAATTCACTCACGGAGTAAGGCGCAGTGACCGCACATCACAGATTAAATCGTCTTGAAAGTGCTCTTTGACCGCTATTTGACGCTGTCTGAAGGCATATATACGATCATGGGCGACAGGGAATTTGGTGTTGCAGATGGAGAGATGGTCGAGGCTGTCGATTCATGGTGTTGAGGGATGCAGTAGGCAGCTTTAGAATAGCAGGCGCGTCCCGGCTCCGAGTCCCCCTAACGTTAGTCATCCCAAGCGCTCTTTTCCCCTCACCTCAGCCCAAGGCATCCAGCAGCTCTCCATCCTTAGGACCTTTACCGGCGCCGCATTCATTCTCGTCATCAAGCCGTAGGGCGCATCTTCCGCAGTATCTATATCCGCAGATTCACAGCGCTGTAGCATCTATTCGAGACGCGAGACGCGACTCCCCGAATTCCGTACGCATCTGCACCTTCACGACCATTATCAACGCCTTGTTAGTTAGTTAGCAAAAACATCATCAATTCACGTCTACGAGCTTTCGATCCTCCCGCAGGTCTACCGTCGCAATGCCTCCCTCCGCGCCATCGACACCGAACCTCAAACGCAAGCGATCCTCCTTCATCTCTCCCACCGACCAAACGATTGTGACTTTGAAAGTCGGGCCCGATGGGACTCCATACAATGTGCATTTGGAGCTATTATGCGGATGTTCTGAATACTTCCGAGGCCTCTTCAAAGGTGGCTTCAGGGAAGCCGAGGACCGCACAACCACTGTGGAAACCAATGTTCGGACGATGCAGATACTCATGAGGTGGCTCTATACTCAGAAACTAGAAACTCAGCATATACCCAGGGGCAATAAACCTGAGTGGCAACTCCATAGTTCCGAACTTCTCGATTTATACGCATTTGGAGATCGCTATGACGTCCCAGAGCTACGTAACGATACTATGAGATACATTCAGATACAGTATGGCCAGTCTAGCATCCAAAGGCTGCCGACATCGTATATACATCAGGCTTTCGAGAAGCTGCCAGCGTCCTCAACACTTTGCCGATGGCTCATCCAGCACTTTGCCCATTATTGGGATCCAGAAAAAGACACGGATGACGACGTCGCTGACTACAAAAACATGCCGCAGGAGTTCCTTCTAGGGGTGGCACTTATCTGTTTGAAGCGATTGGTACGTTTGCAGCCCAGGGGTAGTACAAACCACCGTATGGCCGGCGGAGAATTCAATGTGGACCCCTGCCATTTCCACGAGCACGGCGATGAGGATTCGACCGCGCTTTGCGTCGAAGAATCGGCTAGGCTAGCTGAGCTAAGACGCAAAGAGAAGTCCGGCAATATAACCCCCGTGCCTGCTAAAAAACCGAAGATAACGATCGAATCCCGGATATTTTCATCCTGATCATAAAATGCTCTAAGTTAACCTTGTCGCCAGATGAATTCATCATCTATAATCTACTGCAATTTTGGTTTCATCTTGACGAGTCGGACTTGTACTTGGTTAGATAGTTTTGGAGTAAACGGCGGTACTTTGGGTGGGGGACGAGAATTTGGCGCTCAGGACCTGCTAAGCATCGTCACTTCAACCACGGATCGCCTTGCGAGTACCAAAAAACAAATTCTCATTTACACCGAATCTCGTGGCGGGTCCACATACGTGTTCTCGACAGCTTCCTCTCCATTTTGCTTGCTCCCACTGCTTTGCACCTTCAATCTTTCCATTACTTGACAGTTCCTACCGATATCGCACCCTTCCAGCTGTATTAACAAAATGGCACCGCCCATCCGCAAGCGCTCCGCCCACCTATATCGTTCGTCCCCAATAGTCACCTTGCTCGTGAGCGCCGACGCCGTCCCCTTCCACGTCCACCGCGATCTCCTCTGCGAGTGTTCCGAATTCTTCCGCGCAGGCTTCGAAAGAAGCTTCAAAAAGGCGTCCGACAAAACCATGACACTAAACGACACGTCTCAATACACGATGCAACTATTCATACAATGGATGTACAGCGACAAGGTGGTGCCGATCGTCGACACAGAAAGCAGCGAGCCGCCGACATTCCGCGAGAACGAGCTCCTCGACCTCTATATCTTCGGTGACCGCTATGGCATCCCGGCCTTACGGGAAGCGGTCATGTGCATTTTCCGAGATAGCACTGATTTGCTGAAACACCTCTCTGGACTTGGTCATCCGGGCCTATGAGACCCTGTCGGATGATTCGACTATGTGCGCGTGGTTGGGTTGGTACTTTTCATACGAGATGATCTTCTCTTGGAGAAGAATCAAGAAATACTGGACCTGCTGCCGCAGCCTTTTTCGCTATGCACCGCAGGCTATTCACAATGCCGGCTCCAGACGATGGAGCTTAGCGGGGTTACAAAGGAGGCATGGGGACTTGAGCGGGATCGCAGGAATTACGATGGATTCTTTCGAGAGGAGGGGTATAATGCATCATCTGTCAATGAGGGAGGGTCTCCGATCCTACCTCAATCTCCAGTGCGGCAATCCATAGGCCAAGCGCTTGAAGCCATAGAGCAAGAGCTTGGAGCTGCGGCGTCCCAACTCGCCACCGAAGGAGACAGGCGCCTTGAGTCTCGTCTTAGGGCGGTACCTAGGAAATAGATTCGATCCACGCGCTCTCTACTGGGCTCCAAAGAGACTAATCTGGAAGCTTTTTCCTACCGAACCACCTACTCCCAGCCCTTATGCTTGCATCCTTAGTGGAAGGGAGGATACGAATCGTCCTATTTGTTGGATATGAACGTGGATTTGAACATTCTATCAGATACCAGGGTCTCTCAGGGCAGTCTCGAAATAATATACTTCTACTTGTAACCAGAACCTTCCTAGGCCTATTGCTGATGATTCTACTAATGAAAAGCGCATCCATACATACGAACGTACCAAATTCAGCAATCTCCTGGTACCGATGACGAAGGCCTAATTTCGAATGGGGCCATTATGATAGGCTGACTCGCTGAAGCCACGAATACAAGAACTCAACCATGGTACACACGAAAACTACATGCACAGTACCAAGGTATCTATCAAAATACTGCTCTAAATCTATCATCCTCATACACACAAAGGCAAAAATCTGTCATCAGTCTGTCTCCTCCAACCCTCAAGATCCAACAGCACCTACACCGACAGGTCGCCACAAGCAGCTTCTTCGGCAGACGCAATCGCACGCTCAACGACCATGGAGTTCCCTTCGCCAACCCCAGGCCGAAAGGTCTCCCCAGGTGTTGGGGACAAAAAGCGCTTGACAGTCACCACCGACCTTCTCGCTACTCTTGAACGCCAGATGGATGAACTGAAGGCTCTCGAATTTGCCTTGTTGCACGCCCTCTCGCTAGCAGAGATGGAACGCGATATCATCAAATCGACGCCTCCAGCTACTTCAGACGAACAACTCTCTCCAGCTGCTGTGGGCAAAGAGAGCTTGCCAGTCACCGGCGAAGACTCCATCGCCGTCCTCGAACGCATGATGCATGAACTCCATGCTATCTGTTTGGAAGTCAAAACTCTCAGCTCGGCCTCACAGCACGACCACTCCTCCGACAAAACCGCGCGCTCAACCAAATAAAAGCACCCCTCCAGCTAATCCGAGCAAAGGAGAGTCTCGCACCACTCCCAGCACAGACTCTCCGTCCGCCCTTTACATAGCCCACCGACGCCGACTACACCGCTCCTATAACCCTCGCTCCGTCTCCCCAGCACGCGCACCCCCACCCGTCCCGGTCCTCGGATGTCGCAGGAGCTATTCACCTTCCCTCCCCCTTCCCCTCTCCCTCCCCCTCGCCTCTTTTCTAGCCTCATATTCGGCTACCCACCTTTACCCCCACTCAGCGGCCAACCTAACCTCGCGCTGCATGAAGGAGATCCAGCATTGTGGAGAGTGTACGGTTGGGAAGGAACAAGAAACACAGTGACAACCCAATAGTCTGTGCGTACTTATTCAGCAATGTCCAGGGTGCCCCCATAAGGTTTCGTTTTATAGGGAGCGATATCGAAAATCCGTCTCTATGTTCCGGGCCGTGACGTTCGAAGGATCGGCAGTAGTAGCGGGAACAGAAGTGAGCGGAGGGTATATGGTGGTTAGGGGATGCTGTTGAGACGATAGAGCAAAGGGAAAGGTTGGTGACGCTGGACAACGTTTCTGCGGATATTGAGAGTGAATGGTGAGAGGGATGGCATACGGCGAAGACGAGGAGTTGTTAGGAGATGGGATTCTTTTTAACAATAGCACCATTCCCATAAGGGACTTTTAGTTCGAATTAAGCTTGTACGAGGCATCCATTCGCTTGTCAGAATACTTATCTATCTCATACACAAACCAACTATCATCCTCATCCGACCTCCTCCCATATCTCTGCCTATCACGCCTCTCCAAGCCCAGCTCTACTCCATAGCTCCGCTTCGAGGCTAAGCCAACAATAAGCCTCTTCACAGAAGGAGGAATCACCCTACAGTAGCGCCAGGATCAACGAGTTTGAGAACGGGAAGTAGGCCCACGTGTCGTGCTAGGAGTGTTCTTGACACTAACCTAGTACGGCACCGATGCTCAATTCGAACATCGTGAAGGATCCAGGCGCTCTATATGGGTGATGTGACGCCGAGATCGAACTCCACCTCCCCTACAGAAGTTTGAGTATGAAGTTTGAGGTGTTTTACTAGGTTGAGACCGTCGGGAATCTCGGCTCATACATTTTTGTTCTGTTTTGGGTTTCTTGATTGTGATGTTGGTGAGGTATTGTGTGAGGGTCGGAAGCTGGCTCCAGGATGTGCTTGATGTGGTACAGTATGACGGTGTGCTCTACTAAATATCGTGGTACTAGGTCGCCTTCACATTATAGTCGTACGTCTTCCAGCTAGTCTCAGCTAATGTCACGATTGGGATCAAATCGTTCTTGTGGGTTTTCCGTTCCACTGCTGCCATATCTTGCCCGTAGCCAGCGATGAAACCCTACGTTGCATTAGTAACTACAAGCGGACCGCCATGGAATCAAGGGGACTTACTCTCTTCCCGCTCTTTTCGTTCATCGGCGGTCTCCGCTCTCATTGTCGTGATCGGCCCATGCGTCGGGTTTCCAAAATCAATATCTTCCAAGAAATCTCGTACGAGAGTGCTGATAACGTAATGGCGCAATTCGCGTTGCTCTCTGAGGTCTTCACCCTCAATCTTGAATCGGTACTCTGGAGTATCCTTCCCTCTACGCATGGCGTTTATTTCATCAAGTATGTGCAAGAGACAGCTTTCCGGTGCCCCGGTACGTTCAAGGCCGTGTCGTATCGGATTTCCGACATAGCGGCGGGTAACATCAGTTGCGCCGTCAACGGAGAACGCGATGCAATACCTTAGCTTTCTGCCCCAACCTATAAATTTGTGTGTGGTTAGCCTAATCAGTTTGAAAGGTCGTTGCATATTACCAAGCCGTTCAGACTTGCCTTCGGTATAGAGCCGTGGTTTATCCCAGGCTTCCTCACAGGCATCAACGTGAATCCATCTTTTTTGATGGAGTGAATAAACCTCCGTCCATACGTGGTCTTCAGAATTCCAGACCCAACGAACACGCGAACCAAGAGCACGACATAGCATGCCAAAGCAGTTTGTCCATTCTCCAACACGCCCACGTCGAGTTCGCAGAAGAGTGAAGGCGTTGCTGTAGCGTGCATACCTTTCATAGTTGTGACATGCCGGACATTGGTACAATTCAACTTCTGTGGCAGCAAGAGCCCGCTCATTGGCAGTAGGTTCCGCCATACCCCGACCAATCGTAGGACCGCCACAGCTTGTGCAATGTGGATTGTTGACCCAGGTAAAGAAGGAGCGCTTGAACCAGCGCAAAAGGGCACGTATCACACAGTCTTGGTAGTCCCATGCTGCCCTCTTGCCAGGCCCTAGACTTTCCGCCTCCATTTGGAGAATTTGGCTCTCTTGTTCTGCTTCGTCGTAGATATGTTCCAATGGCACGACTTCCAAGGCTTTGTCTAGCAAGACGGAGTCCTCCCAGCGGAGAGGTATGTTAGATAGCGAGTGCAACAAGTCTCTGAATCGAAATGATCGGGCATCTTGCGGAGGTTGCGGTACCAAGGGAATATTGCGGAGGCTTGAGTACGATGGCGGCGGCGGTATTGAGGGAGCATTACGGAAACTCGAATACGACGGCGGAGACTGTATTGAACGGGAGGATGCCGATAGTGTTGGGGGGGTTCGTGCCCTTGATGCGGCTCCACGAGCTGCTAATTGGTCCATTCGTTTGATACTCAGGATGCTTCGAAATTTGCCGGTCAAGTCCCTAGCCAGCTGGTCGCTCTCTGATAGCCCTGAAGGTGTAGAAGGGTGCTGGCTGCTGCCGGCCTCATTTACTATGTGACTCAAAAGGCCGGTTGGTGCTGCTACGGAATGCCGTCGAGCCGTTGCCTGGTTGACGTCCGTTGCAATACCCAGTGCTTGTGTAGCTTTAGGTTGGGATGTAAATTCCGTCGACGAAGGAAGCGTCAAGACGCCACCGAGTCGTTCTCCAATTCGATCAAACACTTGGTAAGCAGGGATAATGTATGCGACTCCGGACTCTGGAGAGCCAGCAACGATATGTCCATAGAGATCTCCGCTGTCCGCGTTCATGACCCAAGATCCGCAGTCGCCATTTGCAACAGGCCCGGCTAAATGTATTGTGTAGACCTCTTGACATAATGTGCTACCAGGTAGACGCATAAATGATGGCGTTCCTGACATTCGACCAGCGATGAGACCTTTGGACCCAGTGGCAGCGAATATAGAGACATCGACAAAGCTGCTGCGCTGAATCCTTCGCGGAGCACATAAACGGTTTCCTTCTTTTCCGTAGACGTTGAGCATGTTTGATAGCGTACCGGAGGTAACTTCAATAAGGGCATAGTCCAAGCTATCGTCCTGCGAGTCGAATGACGTTATGTTAAGATTTCCTACGTTGACAAGGGATGAGAGAGTCGGCAGTGCAGATTCGTCGGTCCTTTGAGGTGTGAATCGTACCCGATTTTCACTCCGAGTAGTAATGTCTAACTCCGGGTCGGGACTGCTCCACTCTCCTAGGCTTTCTGGTCTACTCCTTGATGTGCAGGAATGCTCGTCGTAAGCTGATGAACCCGCTTCAGAATCAGCATACTCCGGGGTAATACTACCTCTGCTGGTGGCTTCGACATGGTCTATTGAGAACTCTTCGTCCATGTCGCTTTCGTCGTCAAGTTCGAGTTCGTAGTCACTGCCATCCGGCTGCTGAAACATGAAAGGGTCAGGATGACGCTTGAAAGCGTGTCCGGCCGTCAGGTAATAGTGCTTGCTTGCAAACTCGACTACACCACCGACAGTGGCCTTCCGCGGGATGTCGAGCTCTTCATTGGAACCTTGAATGTAGATTTGCGTACCAGGAGCACTATCTGTTGGAAAGGCGTAAATGGTTGGTGGGAGAGTCAAGTCACTCTCCGACACGGGCCCATCATTACCTGACCCCATTTCATCCGTCGCCAGTTGAACCAGCTGATCAAAATCAGGCGCCCTTGCCATATCTCCAGTTCGCAGGCCAGGATATATGCTGAGAAGACCACTCTCTTTGACGATCTTTCGAATCTCACGACGCAGGCTGGAATCGCTAGAACAGAATACAATGGTTGGTGATGCGGTCTTCGGGGAGTTACCAATCATATACACCGAGTATGTCACCCAGCTGGGTAGAGGTTCGCTCCGTTTATCGAGACAAGACTTGATCTCCGGGCCCAGCTTAACGAATGTCTCTCTCGCTGGTCCAGTAGCTTCCCAGCAGCAATTTCTTCCAATCTTTCCTATATACTGACCGATAGACGATTGTGGCTCAGCCCAGGCAGGTTTACTTGCTCTGCTTCGACGTATTCTCGCGAAGGCGTCCATGTCTAGGCATGGCAGGTGCCCAGAACGGAGGAAAGTGATGAGAAGGAAGATTTATGCTTCGTGCAGACTTTGCGGAAAATAAGATAGACTTAACCAAATTCATCTTTGCGTCCTTGGGGGAACAGCCTTCCAGATCGCCACCAATACGAGCAAGCTGGCGACGCTGCTTAGCCATCGTGACGCGTCCCCGCAGAAACCTGGGGGAGGACGCGAATTCGGTTGCCTTCTTTCTCAAGGCGGACGATGATGGCACCTGGATGATGGCATTGTAGACTAGACATATTGAAGGGTACAAGACGATGCCTGATGGGACGTTGGAGGGTTCTTGAAGCCTATCCAATGTGTGGGGTGGATGTCAGGATGTTGAAGTGCCGTCCCAAGTAGAGTAGAGAGCTTTGGGAAGAGCCCTCAAATCTCGCCCCATTCTCCACCAACATCAAAACCCTCATCACTCAAGAGTATAATTGGACCTTTGCATCGCGTTTAGAACAGCGTTGCTTAGCTACTGTAGTCATGTGTCAATCGGCAGAAATTGATTCATTTTAATTTCTGAGATTTGGGCATCACGGGTGCAAGATCATGTGACTAGCACATGGAGACCTCATCTTTTCCTTTTGGCAATCTAGAAACACGGAACATTCCAAAGGCTTCAAGACATACAAGGTTCTAGAAAGCTCTGATGTCGGCTGAATACTAGGAGCGTTTTATCACGTCTGGAGAATATCGGGATCGTAATCTTCCCTTGTACCCGCCTTCTATCTATGCAAGGAAATCCAAAGCTACTTTCGTTCATCGTCACGATTTTGATTAAACTGATACTGCAGGTCCCCAGTCCCACTGCAACAACATCTCCGCCGGAGCCAGCAATGAGATACTGCGTTGTATTAGCATTCAAAACGCTTTCATGGAATCGGACAAAACTACTTTCTTACCGCTTGTTCCCTCATTCGCACTATCTCCCTTCTGTACCTGAATGAAGTAGATTGTGGAATGATACCAGCAGATGTCCTCATTTATATCAAGGAATTTGCCACATTACCAGCAAAAGAATTACTACGTTTATGTTGTCCATGCCATAGCCGAAATGCCCTAATCTATTCAGTCGACCGCGAAAGGGTTCCAGCTAGCGACGGGGTTCAAATTGAGGAACCAACTGTTGATGCTTTAGCAATGACTCATTACGTATGGCTGCTCACTGACCTTCGGATGCGGTTGCGATAGCCATTGACCATCGCCGCGTAGCCGTTGGCGCGGCGTATGTCAAAGGTGGGTATATCGGGAAGCTTGTTCTTGTCGTCATAAAAGACCGTAGGAAACAAAAGTCGGGGTCTGGGTACGGATGCTGTTGATGATCATGCAGCGCTGCTTGTCGGCTCACTCGGCCTTCGCTCATAGCCACGGCCATTGACCTTCGGCGCATGGCCAGTGACTATCGGCACATGGTCATTAAACAGGTCAATAACCATCGGCGCATGATCATGCCTTGCAATCCCATCCCCTTGCTGGCCATTATCGTCATAACCGTGATGCTGTGAACGCGAGCGGCCCCTTTCGTGTTCCTGGAAGCTTCGTAGTGCCTCCATGTAGTTATGCTGTGTCGGAGTAGTCCCAAACTCATCGAGGCCATCTTGAACAGGTCCATTATCATCTCGGTTGTCCGAAGAGCTTGCATAACTATCATGGGCCTACCTGGCAAAGGTTGAATCACGTAGAGGCGACATTGGTGGCGACACCGAGGTAATCAGTAGCGAACACGGGGTTCTGCAAGAGTAGCGGCGAGTCCCTGACTTCGTGTTTTTGGCCGATGGGAAACTTCAAAGCGCTGCCAAGACGTTTTGCAATCTGGTCAAAGATTTGAGACGCAGGAATGATGCATGCTACCCCAGAATTTGGACTGCCTGCAACGATATGACCGTATAGATCGCCATTGGTTGCATCCATGACCCACGTCCCGCAGTCGCCAGTCTCGAGTGGGCCGTCCAGATATATTGTGTAGACCTCCTGACATTGGGGAGAACCAGGTAGAGTCACGAACTACGGCGTTCCAGATAGCCTACCGGACATGGGTCCTCTAGATCCGGTTATAGCAATTATTTTCACGTCCGCTGAGATAGAGCGTGCAACAATTGACGGTCTAAGAGCTCGATCCCCTGGTTCCCCGAGTTGCCAGGGGGGTTTGAATTCGTTTGATCTTGACACGATGCCTGAGTTCAACATATCGTCGGATGGGTCGATAAGCGCGTAGTCCAAGCCGTCACCAGTGGCGTCGAATGATGAAATGAAGAGACTTCCGGTGTCAATTAGGGACAATGAGACAGGGTCTTCTCTGTCAACCGCTGGTTGAGACTGCAAGCTATCCACTCCACTTTCCGGAGCTTGTGATAAGGAGGAGCCTTCCAACCCAGAGCTCGCATATTCCGGGGTGATGCTACCTTTGCTTGTAGCTTCGACGTTGTGGTCTGCGTATATATCGTCTTCAGGCTCGCTTTCGTCGTCGAAGTCAAAATCAATGCTTGTGTTCTCTACTTGCGCAGACAAAAATGGATCCGGGCCGTTTTGAAAAGCATGCCCAGCGGTGATGAGGTAAGGTCTGCCCTCAAAGGTGATAACACCTCCCAAGGTCGTCTTTCGAAGCTTTTGTGATTCGTCGTTGCCGTTCTTGATGTATAGCTGCTTGCAATCCCCGATGCTATCCCCGAATTCCGACCGGACAATGTAGATTTTCGACTCCAATTTTGGACTATGAGAAGCTCTAGCATTTTCATCAGGCGCCAGTTGAACGAGCTGGTTGAAGTCGGGTGCTTTTGACATATCACTGGTCCGCACTCCTGGGTACGAGCCCAAAAGACCGCTCTCTTTGACGATTTGCCTGAACTGCCGTCGTAGGCTTCGGTCACTAGAGCAGAAAATGATGGTCGGCGATGCAGTACTGGCGCGGCCTCCAATCATGTATACCGAATACGTGACCCAGCTAGTGCTAGTCTGTGGCTCACTTCTTTCGTCAAGATGAGATTTGATATCGGGAGCTAGTGTGACGAAGGCCTCCCTCGCAGGCCCTATTGCTTCCCAGCAGCAGTCCTTTCCGAATTTCCCGATGTATCGGCCGACCAACAATTCAGGGCCCGGCCAGGATGACTTACTGGTCCTGCTCCGGCGCAGGCGCGGAAATATGTTCATGTTTATCTAGGCATCGCAAAGTGATTAGAATATACGAGACGTGCTGCAAGAGCCCGAGACAAGTAGACTTTGGGAAAACGAAGAGGCTAGATATCGTTGCCCCAGAGTCCCACCCATGGTGGTTAGAGAGGTGCAGCTGCAGCGAACTGCCTGGCTGGCAACTTGGAATACAAATTGATTCGTAGGGGTCTCAGCCGATGGGCCAAGGAAGATGCATTCGTGGAGGCGCAGGGCTCAAATCCAGTTGCCTTCTTTCCAGGTTGCCTGAACTTTCAATGCGATGGCTCGTCTTCAGCAACTTGAGATCAGGGAATGATAATGACGGAGTTATTTGAGAATTTGCGATTAACGTAAAACGTGGGCTTAGTACAAAGGTAGTGTTGAACTACTGTCCAGAATAGAGAGGTTTCGGAGTTCCGCCATGTCGTCCCTCGACAGTTCCCTCCTCGACCTTCCCCTCTCCAACGACACCAAAGCCCTCATCACTCGCCACCTCTGGGATGTGAATAACACCCAGCAGCAGTTGAATGCAAGAAACCTCGAGCTCCGGGCTTACTGGTCCTACTACGTCGAAGAGTGCAGCCACGCCTTGCATGACGCGGGTAGGCACATCTCCGCCCGAACCCATCGCAATGTTCTCGACATCGTCTTTCAACTTAGAGGGGCCGTCTTGAGAGAACAACTTAGAGACTCTTTAAGACCAGCTCTTTTGAAGCCCACTCCTCCCAACGAAGATGAGCTCCTCGATAGCTCTATTGACCTTGCAGCGCGGCTGCTCTTGATGCTGGATTTTGGCAACCTTCAATACGGCTTCTCTGGACGCTCGCAGCTTGACTGGGACAAGGGAACCCTCAAGGACTTCGTGCACGCATACTTCAACACCCCTCCGGCTCATACACATGACGGGGTAAAGCTGGAAAAGACTTTCAACGGTCGCAATCTAGGCCGAATCGCAGGAATCGAGATAGTCTGGACCAACAACCTCGCAGACCACCTCCGCATGACCGACGACGATACAAAAGTGACCGTATTTCACCACGCATCATTCTTGGAACTCCAACTGCAGAAGTAAGCCCCGCGCCATCCATCTTGCACGATTCGAAGGCTCACCATCCCTCACAGCCCGCTTTTCCCACCAAACTTAATCAACGAAACTCTCCGCACTCTCGCCCTCCTCTTCCCCCAATCCGACCCACAAACACGCAAATGGTCGCCCAAGGCGTCTGCCTTGCACAGCCTCGACCCCTGTCTCGCCCACTGCGGCCACCTCAAGACCGACGACCGGCAGATCTCAAACTTCACATTCTGGCACGACCGGCTCGTGATCCTCAAGCAAGTCTTTGACGAGGCACGTCCGCGGACATTGGCACAGTGGTGGTGCGATCGGCGGAACGGGGTGCAGTGGTATACCTTCTGGGTTGCGATAGTGGTGCTGGTGCTCACGCTGTTTTTCGGGTTGGTGCAGTGTGTCGAGGGGGCGTTGCAGGTTTATTATACGATGCATTGAAGAGTTGTGACGATACCCAGTGAAGTAGGCTCATTTCGATGAATGCATAGCTTGCAATACGCACGGCTGTACACGAGCTGGATGAAGTTGACCGAGCCGAGGTCCCATACTCGATGCCAAATGCGGGAATGCTTTCACCGTGAAGATGAGTTTCACGCTATCGTCCAGCTAAAGCCCATCTTCTGAACATTGAGTTCCTCCACTCCACTACCCGGACAAAAACCCGTCTCGGAATGCTCATGGAACTCGCAGGTCAGCCTTAGCTCCTCTGTAGGCGCGTCGAAATACTAGACCCAGAATGTGTTTGTGCGTTTCATACCTTTCATGTCTCGCAGTCAGGATCAAAACTCAATACCAATACCAGTATGCTTTTGTTTATTTAACCTAAGTGAGGAGACCGAAAGATCATTGCAGTTCATCATTCATTACCATTCGTCAGCCCTTTTACCAGATATCCAGCGCCGTTGCTACTTTTGATTCCAACATACCGAAATTAGGAGTAGAAAAAGTCCGAAAAGATCGCCGCACGTTCCCAGATCATTCTTATTCCTTGTATCTGCCTGCATACATCCCGACGCGCACCTATCCTTCCGTGCAAATATCCATTGCGATTCCCCATTCATACTTCATTCGTGCCACAGCCTTAAGAGGGAGGCATGGGAGAAGAGGACACGGAGAGATCACAGCTCGGAAACGAGGAAGGCAGCTGCTTGGTGTCCGTGGCAGGAGAACCAATCTTTCGGAATTTCTCCCTAAAAGACTCGTCTTCGTACAAAGACAAAGCTGGGCAGGGCGGATACTCAGAGCGCTCATGAAGACTGCACGAATACAGATACTTGGGTCCAATGGGAGCGGGTGATTTGATTTGTATGTTGCGTCGGGGGGAGTAACGATTCCATCCCAGAATACAATGGAATTCAGGCATGAAATAATCCAGTGGCTCTTTCTGCTCTTCCGACTCCGACAATCTCCTTCGAGAAACCAGAGCAACTCCGATAAAGAATTTACAGGGCAGTCGGAGGAGATGGGCGTAGTCGTTCGTTCCAGGTCTGAGTTTCCTGGTGTCCCATGTACAGCCGAAGTGGTTCACAAGCCATTCGCAGAGCGGTGATGTTTCAGGAAGCTTCTCATACGCGTCCAGAACGAATTGTATTGATATGTTTTCCTTCTTCGACGCTAACCTCAGGATCGTTATGCGTTGAATCATCGAGAGCGTGTCCTGCTGGAGTGTCGGAATATCGTGAGCATCGCCAAAGACATACAGATCCAGTAGCTCATGTTCGTCCAGAAGATCGATATCTGCGAGAGGTCGCTTCTCAAACGAAGTCATAATACCATCGGTAGATGGGAATATGACCCCATTGTACAGCCATTGGATGAACTGTCGCATTAAAGGCACAGGGACATCGCTCAAAGAGATGCTCCGCTCCTCGGCCTCCTTGAAGCCTCCTTTGAACGCGCCTCTGAAGTATTCCGAGCTTGAGCATAGAAGCTCGCCGTGTACGTCGAATGGGACGCCCTCCGGCCCCGCCTTCAGTGTGACAATCGTTTGACCGACGGACTCGCGCTTGCGTTTGGCTGACTCTGCGGGTGGCATGGTGCAAGAGGAAGCCAGAGAGCGCCGAGGCTACTCGGACACCGAGGCGGTGATTGACGAGGAGCCTAGTGGACGAAGAGGTCGTGGGTCTCTCCGCGGTAGGGAAGCTGAAGAAAGGTGGTGATGGAAGGAAGGAGGCACAGAGGGCGGGGAAACACGCCTCTATAAATGCACAAACGCGCTGCCACGTGTCGACTGCATACTCAGTCTTGAATCGAGGAGCATAATAAGCTCTAGAATTTAAATCGAACTTCAAATGAACTGGGAACCATCATTCGAACGATCACGTTATCTATATCAGCGGGGAATAAATTTTTGGATCAAATGTTTCCGTCGTCTCACGTGATTCAGGAGCATCTGCAACTTATCAGGTACAACTCTCTGTGAACATGATACACGTACACAAATCAGCATCTAATATATCTTGCCCCTTGAACGCACTGAGATTGAGGTGATTCTGGGAGACCAGCGTTCACGCTAAGTTTCCTTTCCAGATTCTTCTATCAAATAAAGAACCGCGTACCCTCTCAAGAAGGCTTATGACAAACTAATATAGCTTTCAAGTAATTGGTCCGTCCTTTCGCCACGATCTGTTCTATAAGTGAATCCTTGTAGCCTGTTCCATCTCATTGTTCGAGGTGTTAGACTTCAACAATCTTTTGGGTTCTGCACATCCAACGTTCTTCCCTGTTCTGTGCAGTGCCATGGTAGGTATCAAGAAAGAAGAGAACATGCAGGTTAACAAGAAAAGCTAACGACGGATAGGACAATCCTGAACCACGGCGTCTAATAATCTTAGGCGGAAGGCGACTATGCCTCAAGAGATCATCCGCTCAGAACATCAAGCTTCCGAAAGTTCTTTCTTAATACCGACTGATCCGCGACGTCTACACATTGGCCAGTCAAAGTATGCTCATGAAGCTGGCAAGTCAGCTCGTCTCCTTCTTCTAACAGTAGCGCCATATCGTTAACTTCCACACCATCCTCTATTGCTCGTTCCATTCGCTGCCGACTGTAGATTGCCACAGCAAGGATGAAAGCATGCGGCAGGTGAGACAGGGTGTCAAATTCATCTGGGTGGAGGTCGCCCGGCTGCCAAGTCTTGGACATGTGCCACGCTAGCCATTTGCACATGGCTGAAGAATGCGGGAGATTCTCATATGCACGTACGACGAATTCTAGGGGGACAGAGAGGTCATCTTCTTCGTCATTGTTCTCCTCTTCGACATCGCCGCTTTCCTCTTCGTCATCACTGCTCTCCTCTTCGTCACTACCGCTCTCCTCTTCGTCGTCAGCGCTCTCCTCATCGACGTCACTGTATTCCTCTCCATCATCGCTAAACTCTTCTTCAGAATCATCGTCCTCTTCATGGAAAGCTTCCTGTATCATAGCGAGGCTATCACCACGTAAAGTAGGGAGATCGTAACGATCACCAAAAATGTAGAGGTCCAGCAGCTCGTCTGGGTCTAGAATGGCATGGACGTCGTCGTTCCTTCCATCTTCGATGGTGGCGGTAAAGGGAAAAGCGCCGTTGTATATCCACCGCATGAATTGCCGCATCAAGAATACGGACACGTCATCCAATACCATGCTCCGCTCCCCAGCTTCCCTAAATCCGCCTTTGAACGCGCCCCGGAAGAACTCGGACCGCTTACATAGTAGCTCGCGGTGTATGTCGAAGGGCGTGGCATCGGGGCCGATAATTAATGTGACGGTTACTTGATCGGAGTGGGTTGTGTCGTTGACCGAACGTTTGCGTTTCGAGGAGCCTTTGGGTGCCATGGAGTGCAGGCTACGAGGATGGCGTTCCCAGTCGAAATGAGGATTAATCTCCGAAAGGGAGATACAACGCCCCTAGGAGGGCGCCGCGATGAATGCGTGGTGGTGATGCTCAGGAAACAGGCCACGAGCGGGGGACACGGAATCAAAAAGCAAAAGCGCGCCTCCACGTGCAAACTTACACTACGACCATTCTCCCTATAAGATCACTACTTCATGTTTAGAAAGTAAGACTTCAAATACTTACAAGTAGAGGAATCTGCAAAGCGACAGAGGTAAACTACGCTTCGGTAGACATCACGTGACTATCAGCTTTCACATCAACTTCATATTCTATGTGTATACATCCTTCACTACGTCCTCTTGATTCTCCAACATCCCCTCCATTCTCTACAGAGTCTCTTCTCCTCACTCAATCTTCGCCCTAAAACTCTCACAAGGCCCCTCATTCTCCTCCACCGCCTGCTTCACCATTGCCGAATCCAAATACGCCCGCACCTGCACCACCATTCCCTCCTCATCAAACCGCACACACCACGCGTAGGTGTTCTCGAACGGCATTCCTAAACACCTCATTAGCCTTCCCCTTCTATGATCCCCAAACTCCTAACATATCGGAAGTAGACTGCTTACCATTCTTGCACTCCGCATCCGCAACCAACTCCACAACAGCCCACGCCTGCTCCCCGCCCCCGATCACATTCCTAACCTTAAGCTTGATACCCGGCTCTTTCATGATCGCGCCAAGGCGCTTTAAAGTGCCCTTTTGGAAGGCGGCCAGGGTGGTGTAACGGCCGGCGCAGGGGTGGGTTCCTGGATGCTCACATTACTATCAAGTGGTGAAGCGGGGGTGGAGGGAGAGGATACGCACCCATGACCGTCCAGTCGACATTTGGACTGACGCGCTTGAAGACTTCGGGGTAGTTCCCTGTCTCCATGTTTTTGAAGATAGCGGAGATTTCGGGGGCGGTGGGGTAGGGGGGCATTTTGGTGGTTGAGAAGGGGGTTTGTGGGTTAGAGTTCGCGACTTTCGGAAGGAGTAGATTGAGGCTGTTGATTTAGGAGTTTGGGAGTGCTGATAAACGAAAGAGAAGGCGTAAACGTTGCATCTTTATATGCAAATGATGTAGGTAGACTTTACTTCGTTGCCGTGTCTCCGACGAAATATAGATGCAGCTCGGAAAATTGAAACGCTGTCGGCCGAGATGAGGATATTGGCAAAGAGGACTATGCTAAAGCCGAAGCGATGAAGAACTTGGAACCATGAGCATTCTTAGCGGACGTCGATAAATCCACTTTGGGAGAGCGATAACGCCGGCATGCGAGAGGATTCTCGTAACTCCAGTCGGTATACTGCTATCGCCGCGCGATCTCATGCAAGGATCGGGCCGACCTTTGCAAGGCTGTACCTCTGTAGTGGACGTTGTTCGATGGGCTGCAGGGTGTGCACGCGGGGTGTGAAAAAAGTGGCACATCAAAACAAGTCATCCTCTTTCACGGATAATTAAGCTAAATTCCAGTGGATTTGAAAGGCTAAAACTTGGCAGACTAATATTTTCGAAGCATTCCTATGAGATTATTTAATCTGATCGGGCTTGATATCTGTTGTGGTTGCTGAGGATATTGGTGAAGTGGGCAGACATTTTGCGATTCGGCTGATTTTGGTGCTTTGGTGTGCCACCTTTTTCACACCCCGCGTGGTGTGTTGGGTACCGAATTTATTTTTGATATCGAAAAATAATGAACTAGACGGCGACCGAAACTTTCATAGCGTCGTTAATCCTTTTCCAGCGGCCTCCTAGAAAACGTTTCTAAGATAGCGATACCAAAGCCTGTCCAAACAATACCTTTCATAAGTCATAATAGATCCAAAATTTGGCAATCATATCCAATTCGTAACCTCTCAAAGCCAGCGCTCCCTAACAATGGCACGACACCCCTTCAATCCCCACCTTTGATGAAACGCCAATCAGCGCGCTTGGGATTATTCTCCATTCTGCTCAACACTTTTGGGTCTGGACATTCCTGATATTTTTGATGGAACGAACCAATCAACACTTCTAATTTGCCTAGCTGTTTTGCGTCCTCCCAAGACGGTTGCCCGTCTGAATGCGCCCATTTTACGAGGTACGATATTTTCCCTGGGAGTCGGTTGCCGGGGAAAGTGACGCTGACATTCAGTATTTCTTCGGCTACCAGCTCGTCTTCATAGTCCGACTCCTCTTCTTCCTCCTGGTCGGCGTCTTCGCTGCCGACAGAAGCCGGCTTGGGGTCCGCGGCGAGAGAGATATTAGAAGCTGACTGCGCACTGTCGCTCATAGAGCTACGGGGCTTCTTGTTGCTGGTTGATTGGGTCTGAGCACTTCGTTTCCGTTCGTTTTCCGCACGTAGCTGGAGAGCGGAGCTGGCCTGGGGTGTCGTCGAAGTGCTGGTACTGTTGAGCAAAGAATTCTTGCCTCTCCAGGTCGGTGTAGGGAGGGCATTGGCGGGTTTTTTGCGGGATATGTGGCGGCGGATGGAGTTTGACGAAGATGATCGTGCCCTTGAAAGCTGTTTCCCGCTTCGATTTCGATTAGGTAGGGGACTTTGGAGGGATATTTGTGGAATACGTTGCTTTGAAGTCAAAGGTCGCGATTCCTCCTCATCGCTCTCCTCGTTCTCTTCATTGTCATTGTTCAGATCCTGATCCACGGGTCCGTAGACACCGGTTTTCGCAACATCGATCTCCTCTTCGTCTTCATCGTCCATGGCCTCGTCCTCATCTCCCTCTTCGCCAGAACCCGCATCCCCACTCTGTGCCATCTCTTCATCACTATCCCCCTCCCTCACCACCGGATCCAACAACCCCCCACGCACCACATCTCCCCTCGCCATCCCACTCGACTCCGCACTATCCTCCATCTCCTCATCACTCTCCTCGTCCTCCCTACCAGCCGGCCGCAACAACCCCTCATAAACCAACCCCCCATCCAACCCAGCGCTACTCCGCGGCGGCCTCCCCCTCCTCTTCCTCCCCGCAATCCCCTCCCCCCCCTCCGCCTTCTTCCCCTCCCCCGCCGCCGGCCTCCTCTGCCTCGCCGCCTCCTCCGCCTCCCTCGCCACCTTCGCCCTGTACACCTCCATCACCCGCATCGCCTCCAGCCCCTCATACTTCGCATACTCATACCGACTGACATAGCTAAACAGCACCGACGTATCTACATGCTCCTCCGTCTCCGTCCCCCCCTTCGCCGCCGCCGTCTCGGCGTCCCACTCGATCTTGATGACGTAGACTGCGCGCCCGCCTTTGTAATGCGTCTGGTCGACGATTTCTTCGTGGCAGTCGACCCAGTATTGCGACAGGATGGTCGATTTGACGGCGCCGGGCTGCGGCTCGTCGCGCGGGTGGGTTTGGTAGATGCGCGCGGTTTGTAGGCGGGGGTGCCAGAGGCGCGAGTCCGAATCCGAGGAGGAGGAGGAGCAGGAGGTGGGGCGGGGGAGGCTGCGGATGGGTTTTCTGCGGGTGGGGGCCGCGGAGGGGGGCATGCTGGGGACGACGATGGGGCTGGAGGTTGGTGTGGTGATGGTGGTGGTGGTGGTGGTGGTGGTGGTGGTGGTGGGTAGAAATAGGCGGTCGATCGGTCTTTGGACGTTTGCTGGGTTGGAAAGGCGCGTGGAGGGGAGCTTGGGAGGCGGAGCGTGTGGTAGAGGTTTATCGACGCCTTGGCTCGAGGCGAGGTCTCTACGACGAAAAGATGAATATCCAAGAAAAGGCCCAATTGGAAAGCAGTACAACAAGTGCTTTACATGCTATGCGATGGAGCAGAAACGAAGTGAGGAGGTGGGCGTGGAGGCGATTGCCGAAGGGTGAATGATGAGGGAAGTTGAAGTGCGGTGGGACGTGCCTGGTGCCCCGCCTGCACCTCATAGACCATGTTCGTGTAACAGCGTGAGTGTTTTTAGTATGATGTATATAGCCCTGAGATTACAGTATAGATGCCCCAAACTACGATCTTATGTCTGAACAGTACCTAGGTCTAATCTGAGGGTTTTGAACTTTTACATCATGACTATGTTGTAGACTAAAAGAGTACAAGTACCTAACACGGTACATGCATGCGCAAGACTACCCTCTACGTGGCATGTACTACGCTCTCATGTTGTCGCAATGTACAAGTGTGATCACAGCCTTGAAACTTCGACATCTAGTTTTAATATTTCGGCGCCGGCATGAGAGTCTTTCGCATAACGCACTACCCTCCAACCATCATAAGAGTATATACAGTAGAATTACAGTTCTTATACAATGCAATCAGTCTATATCATACAGCCCCCAAGAAAGCCGCTATGCCAGCGTTCCGTTTGCAGTCCAAACACCGTCCGAAGCCCCAGCCCACCCCCTCAATTCATCCTCCCACTATCCCTCTTCCGACCACGCCCCTCCGCCATACTCGCCGCCGCCCCACGAATCTTGAACTCCGGCTCCTCCCTCTTCTCCCCCCTCTGAAACACCTCCCCACCAGATACATCCCTACCCAACACATCCACAAACCGGTCCGCAAACTTCTCAAGCACCGGGTCATCTGCCAGATACCGCTCCCCCTCCCCCTTCTTCGCGATGCGCGAAAACGCAGAGCCGAGCACCGTTTCTAGCGCCTCCCTGAAGAATTCGATAACCATGTTCGACGAGTGACTATAGAAGCCACCCGGGCGCTTGATATACAGCGGCAGCCAGTCATCGATCATCAGCACGCGGCCATCGCGCATGGCAGTCTTGCTGCCAAAGATCGCAGCCATGAGCGGCGTGACGGCCGACGAGTCCTTCAGGAAGATAGTGTTGCCATCCGCGCTCTTAGCCATCGTGCTGAACGCGAACATAGCGCCGCGCACGAGGCCTTCGGATCTGCCCATCCTATTCCCGCGCATGTAGTTCAGCGAGCCGGGCTGGATGAGCGTGTTGGCCTCGTGGGGCGTCTGCAGCAAGCGCGGATTGATCGCGACGCCGAGATTGGGGTGCACGCCGGCGAGGATAAGCGCTTTCATGAGCGGGATGCTGCCGGAGTTCTTGTTGAGCGCCGGATCGCCGTTCTGCGAGCGGTTGCGGTCGCGGCGGTCGGTGAAGGGGATTAGGCCGGCTTGGACGAGGATGCTTTCGATCTCGCCCATCGTGCGCTCGATGCCGAGGAAGGTGGGGATGGACATGAAGTACTTCTGCGCGAATTGCTGCAGGGCGAACTCGCCCTGCTGGTCGCGGAGCTGGCGCGCGATGCGGAAGCAGTTGATGAGGGCGATGTGGTCGCTGTTGGACTCGGAGGCGAAGACTTTGCGGGCGTCGTCGGCTGCTTTTTTGTTGTCGATTGGGCTGAAGAAGAGCGATCTGCCCTGTGAGGACGCGCTGAGGATGAGCATAGGGTCGAAGCAGCGGAACAGGATGCCCATCAGGATCATCTTGCCGAGTGATGGATGGACGGGTAGAGATGCGAGCACTCTTCCGAGCGGCGTGAGTGTTTCATCTTCGGTAACTGCGTCCAGGGCCTGCAGATTCACAATTGACGAGTCGACGGCTTCTGCTGATGGAGGCTCGATAGCCGCAGCTAAGAACTCCCGCACAGGTGTCTTGATGGACTGTGCCATGACACCCAAGCAAACCTCCTGCAAGTCAGACCGCAGCATTTCAGGCAGCCCAATAGCTCTAAAAGCCCCGAAACGAGCCTGAGAGTACAGCGCATAGTAGTTTCCGTTCTGCACACGACCGGCTCTTCCTGCTCGCTGCCTTGAATTGGACTTGCTGACCCAGGTGGTGAGCAACTGAGTAATTCGCGTGGTCTGGTCGTATCTCTTCTCCTTCAGCTTTCCGGTATCTACAACATACTGTACATCAGGGATAGTGACACTCGTCTCTGCAATATTTGTGGCAAGAATGATCTTGCGACAACCAGGTGGGACCGGGGCGAATACATCATCCTGACCCTGGATCGTGGAGTGCAATAGGTACTGCTTGAAGCGCGCGGGATCGGAAAAGTCCACTCCAAGAGGCTGGGTGGTGAGAAGGTCTCTAGTCTTCTTTATCTCGTCCAGACCTGGTAGGAAAGCGAGAATTGCACCCTCCGTGGTCGTCTGCGCCAGGTGGGCTATGGAAGCGGCGACAAGTCCAACAGGAACCATGCCATCCTCCTGCGTCGTGTCGCCTGGGTTGACAGCATCGCGTTTCCAGTCGATGGGCGCAGCTGCTACCAAGTTATCTTCTGTAGATGCCGTCGACGAGAACTTAGATTCAGTCTCGATGTAGTTCTGAGAAACCCTGTCGGGGTTCAAGACGGCATTCAAGCCTTGTGCTTCGTAATTCAAACGTAGCTCGCCCATGATGTCGTCCAGATATTTCTCCTTCACAGGAAAGGTGCGGCCGGGCACACTCAGCGAAGGACATGGAACTACTGTGCCGTCCTCCTTGTGCTGCCTGAAGTAGCTAGCAAAGAGCTCCGTGTCCAGTGTGGCGCTCATCAAGACAACCTTGGGAACGAACTTATTCTCGAGCCGTCGAGTTTCCAGGAGGTTCTTCAAAGTGATCATAAGGTAATCAATGATGATGTCTCGCTCGTGAACTTCGTCGATGATTATGTGCGACGTAGTATCCAAAATATCATCCGGAGAGTTCTGCAGCTGAGCCAGCAGAATGCCAGTCGTGCAATAAGTGACGCTGCCGTTGTGTCGAGGGAGCTTCGAGTCAAACCGGACTTGATAACCAATGCTCTCTTGAAGTCGTTCATTGCGCTCATCAGCGACTCGACGAGCCACAGACGTTGCAGCAATCCTACGCGGTTGTGTGCAAATGATATTAGTCTGAGCCCCGACGCCCTCCTCGATGGACTTCTCCAGCAAGATTTGCGGCACCTGTGTCGTCTTGCCACTTCCGGTTGCCCCGACCACGATGCTGTAGGTGTTGTTCTCGATGAGATCCAGCACCTTCTCACGATACTGATTCATTGGGAGGTTTTCCTTCTTGCTCCTCAAAGGACCAAGCGACGGGTTCTCATTGAAGGCCGCAAGTTGCTCCTTCATTTCAGCACTGCGAGCTTCGTTCATGGAAGGATCCAGGCTCCTCCGCGGACGATGGTCCGCCTCTTCCACGGCCTGCTGCGCCATCTTCGGTCTATCCTTGGAGAAAATGGTGTTGTCGCGCACTTCTCTAGCCGCCTTCCGCATGACCTCTTCAGCATCTTCAGGAATGTCCAGTTCTACAGTCCGTACCGGGCTAAGCACCTTGCCAGTACTGGTCCTCTTCATCTTTTGAAATTGCTCATATACCTCCGGGTTCTGCTTCGACAGGGCAACCGCTGCAGTGAGCAGGGCAAGCGCTTCGCTGGCTTCCTTCTTGCCAAGCGACATGGCTGGCTCTCCAGCAGGCTCCTGTGCAATATATGTTTGTGATTTCCAGGCCTCGTCGATTTGGTGTCCATCGTACCTGACGATTCTCTCAGACCTGACTTCGTAATAGCTACGGCGAGTCTGCTTGTAGAACTCCATGAAAGGCTTCGCAGTCTCCTCGGTAAGCGCAGTAGAGTCCCTGACAATCAAGGGAGTCGCTCCTTGCGCAGCATGCTGTTGCTCCGCAGCTCGCTTAAATTGAACAGACGCAGCATTTAGGGCGACTTTGAGAGATGTGCGTGTGGCGTGAACGCAAATATTGTCCTCTGAAGGATGGGCAATGGTAACTCTCACATACCGCTTCCTCCGATTCAACGCGGGGATGTGTTTGATTTCGATAGTCGGAATGTCGAGAGTTCGGGCGCAATAGTTGTACACGTCCGACAGAGCGCCGAGTTCCTTAGTAGGTTGCGCGTTGTCACCTAGATAAAGTTCCGCAAGCAGGCCCTTCGCGTGCAGTTGGCCGAGTAGACGACGGGTTGCGATTTGTTCGGCTTTTCTCTTTGCGAAGTTAGGGATCTGTTGTAATTGCCCATCGCTCACTTAGACAGTGACTTACTGCATTCTTGTCCCGCCCAACAGCTGTCTCAACCGCAGGGTCGAAGTCAGAGCCATAGACCCGGCAGGTAACAGAATACTCAAATCCACCATCGGGCTTCGGCAACCTGTTCAACTGATGATCGGTCTCTATCCTGCCCTCTGTCGCTTTTTGCCACGTGTCAAGGTTGGCGCTAAAAAGCTTTGTGGGTGCTAGAGGGTAGTCTTTGGGTGTAGGCAGCGGAAGCATCGTCTCGTCCTCGACCATCCCCATCCGTGCTCTCTTTCTCGGGGGCGAGTGCATGTTTTCAGCGACCTGGTCCCGTTTGCTAGCAGCCTTCGACCTCGCGTTTCGCCTCGAAGGAATTGGCGTCGCGCTGTTCGAGTGCGTGTGGTTGTGGTGCTGGTGTAGTGAGCCGTGCGTTGCTCCAGCAGCCGCCGCAGCAGCAGCCCTCTTATGCTTCGCAGCCGTGATTTTCTGCCCACCCCGCTTCGCCTTCTTGTGCCGGCCAGCACCGTCCTGATTGAGCTCCTCATTGCCCTGCGCCCTATTCCCCCTCGATACCCTCCTTACTATAAAACCAGAGCTCTCATTGCTACTAGTTGACGGAGGCAGAATGTCCTGCTGTACCGCCGCCGCCTGCGTCGTCAACAATTTCCTGCCAATGACTCTTCCCAGGACCCGTTGTCGTGTGTACCACAGGGGCTCGATTCTCGATCTAGGGAGCGGCGCATGCGTCGAGGGTCGTACGGATAGGCGCTGCCACCATATTAACATTGTCACAGTTGCATTGATTAAGAGTCAGGATATTACCAATGCCCCATCCAACACTCTCCGGCACGTCGTCGCTTCGAGCTTCATACAGACGATGCGTGGATGAAGTGTGATAGCGGAGAGGAGGAACTTTTGAGAATTTCTGGGAGGGAGGCCGGGGAAGGCCCGAGCCGCCGGCAGGTTCGTGTAGTAGAACGTGACAATGAGATTGAGTTTTGGGTAACAGAGCGAATCGTGAAATGTGCTGGGAAGCTTTGATTCACATTCGATAAGATGGATATATGATGAATTTTGAGGTTTGGGTACTATAGTTGCACTGGTCACGTGACTATTAATCTCTTAACCCCTTTCTTGGCTGCGCACTCAAAGAACTTTATATCTTGTCACAATTTTTACTATTTTGCTAGAGCATTTCAGACAGCAGCCATCAGGTGTACACACGTACTATGATTACTGCGCGTGTATGTCTCAAATCCGATGCCGCAGTAATACTGGTGAAGGACAGTTCAAGAAGGCACTCATATGCTTCATCTCACGGATTCTGAGGTAAATATCCTCACGCACCTCAAGTGTACTGTTAGATAGCGGTGTCTGAGGCCTGGCGAGAGTACAGATCGCCCAAAATCAACCACCTCGATCCGATCCAGATCTGCTAGAGGACTTCATACAATGACACTCAAGTGTAACGAGAGCATAGTATTGCCCGATTGAACTCCCATTCCATGTCATATCATGCTATTTTTTGACCCATCAGGTATTGCCTCAACCTAGGAAAGTTCTCCTTTTTCGTTCGCTTATAGAGCCTTGGTCTAGTCCCTCGGCCTCGACTTAGTCGTAGTGACTCTGGTGAAAAGACTGGGCTCTTCCTTCTCTTTCCGCATCTTCTCTTGCCAGTGCGCCTCCCGCTGTGCCGCCAGCTTCTTCTCCTTGATCGATTTCCACCGCATGTAGTAGCAACAAAAGGGAAAGAGGACCGTGTCGATCGCACACCAAGTGAGAAGGATGCCAACATTAAGCCCGATGCGTGGGTGGAGGTCAAAGAGGGTGGAGCGGGTGGCTTCGACGACTATACACACCCCAATTAGCAAGAGCTTTTCAAACTGGAAGGGGTGGAAACGGTGTACATACCATTATGCATCGGCCACGCATACCCCCACCTATAAAAGCCCGGCGCCAGCACCAACGAATAAAACCCCGTGGTGACATTCGATATCACCCAAAAGATCAACCACAGCGCCGTCCAGGGCGTCCCCAGCATCATGGCCATGTTTTCGCACGCGATCCCAAACGCAATCATAGCGATCCAGTTAATCATCCAATATACCATAAACGTGCCCTTCCCGTACGCGTTCGCATCCACCGCTGGCTGCACGTGCGAGGCTGGGTGGTTGGACATCGGCATGAGGTAGGCGAGGGAGACGAGCGAGTATACGCAGGAGAGGAAGAAATAGGAGCCAACGGTTGCGGTCCAGCGCCAGATGATGAGTTGGTGGAAGTGCAGTGGGGGATGCCCCTTTGGCTGAAGGTATTTCAGGTGGATGGGCAGGAAAAAGGTGAAGCTGAAGAAAGCGATGATAATAAGGTATATAAGCCCGACGCTGACGGCTGGCGTGGCGATGGGCGGGCCAAAGGGACGTAGGTCGTATCGTTGCAGGGCGATACCAGGGGAGATGGCTTGGGGGACGCGTGAGATGGAGGCGAGGGTGTTGGAGGAATTGGTGAGGAGTGTGGAGAGGAATACGCGGCCAAATGAGGCGGCGACGAGAGATTGGAGGGCAGTTGTTGAGGGCGTGATGTAGGAGCCGGCCACGTTTTGGTCGCGGGCGGTATTGTAGACAATCTGTCCGGCGCCGGTGGGATCGTAAGAGGTATTACCTTGCTCAATAGCGCGGTAGAGGAGGGTAGTGGCGTTGGGGTTGATGATCACGGCGGCCCAGGCGTGTTGGTCGTAGACTGCTGCTCGCACTTTCATAGGGTCGTTATCAAAGTCAGAGGGGGACTTGAAGATGTATCCGGGATGAGCTCCTTCGCCGTCGAGGATTTGTTGCACTGCTCTTGTGACGAGGGGTCCCACAAAAGGTTTGTCGGTCAGATATGGTTCCACCTGGCCATCAAAGTCGACCACATATATACTGAGCTTCTTGGCGAGGTCGTTTTGCCTAAACAGAGCACCCCAGAATAAACAGAGAAATGCCATAATGGCGATTGCCAGGATCAGAGCTGTTTTAGGTCAGGTTGAGAGTCGGCACAACAGCGGGAAGCTTAGCGTACTCGTCCTCGCCCAGAGTTTTATCACGTGTAACCGCACTCCACTCATCTCAAAGTGCCAGAACCCAACTGGGGCGAGCGGTGGCTGAATCGTCTTGGCCGACCTTGAGCTCTTTGTCCTTGTCTGCGTGGGCCGTCTCGCGATGCCACCATCATCCACCGCGGTCTCAATATTCTCGATGTTAGCTTCTTCAGTGCTGGACTGGAGCTGATCCTCCTCATCGCTGCCAGAAGAAGACGACGACGACGACGAGGAAACAGACAGAGCAGCCTCTTCGTGGTAGGCCGGGGCGATTTGACATCCAAGCGACATGGTGGTACAGTGGCGTCCGCTCTGGGGAGTTCAGTTGAGCGAGAGAGGTCCGCCGTCGTGGTCGAGGACCGCTTGCCCTTTTATCGAATCGAGTACCCTGCGGATCTCTCGAATTGGTACGGATTAGTGGAGATCAAAACGCTGACCGACGCCATTAAACACCCCGCATGCAGATTAGTGCTGCTGACTGACAGCTGCATCGCTGACAACGCAGCCTGCCGGCTTCTTCGGCGCGAGAGTTCCCGCAGCTTCGACAATTGGAGTGTGGCGGCAAAGTGAGTAATGGCCAGTCAAAGGAGAGGATGTGGCTGAAAGAGGCGGCCGATCGTCAGCTATTAGGGTGGAATGGCAGCTACCAACGTTACCCTCGCCAAAAGGCATCTTGAATAGGCCGAGCCACTATTGCTCGCGTTTACGGCGTTAGAAAGTCCGGCCTACTTTTCCCGTGCCTCTGGAGTAGAGCTGCGGTCTTAGACTAGTAGCAGCGCATTCACACCAATGTTCTTGTTCACAGTCGGCTTTTCACCAGCACGTACCTTTGTACCAAAACATTCTTATTTGTCTATTCCACTATTGCTATATACGCTCACAAGGACTGAAACTTCGACACAAATATTGCTACCCTCCTCGTAGACAGTCGCTGAGTTTATCATATAACACATTCTTAGCAGCTTCCGTATATGGCCGTAATATTCAGTTCTTCCTTGCTGGAATTAATATTCAAAAGCCTGCCTAATAATCCTCTCGGTTGTAGCGGATCCGGTATGACGGCTGTATGTTTATATAATTCCTGACAATCCTCGAAAGCGTTCACGAGTGCCGATTCTTGAGGCGGTGCGTATCTGACTTTTCAGCCCGAACCACTAGTCGGAACTACAGGACCGCAATTCCAGTAGTATACTAGGGGCGTAGTCGAGGGTCGCTGTACTCGAGTCTTGCGCGTGATTGGGCGTGGGTCCGACGATCTCGATTTTCGGGTTTCTTCACAACGTGCAGGGGATTGTTGGTACGGCTTCGCTATCGTGTCTTGTGCATCGAGTTCCCTCCGAGGCTCTTCGATAATCTTGGTGGTTTTCGACAATCGCTGGACTCGAGCCTTGCGCTTGATCGTGTCCTTGGCAAGGGACATCGACTCCCGCATTCCTTCACGGTGTGTATAGGTGTCTTAGTTCGAGCCCGCTGTCCCTTCTAATCCATCTTGCTTTCTCTAGCGGTCTCCGAGGTTCTTCTGTTTCTCTTCTTCCTGTAGTAGGCGACGAACGTTCTTCCATATCGCGTTGCCGATCCTCTCGGTACATTGGAGTGTTGCTTAACCCGGAGGTCTTTGGCCTGTACTTCCCCCTCGAGAATATCCCGCTTCTTTTTTTGTCCAAGAAGTGCTGGAACGCTGATCAGATCGGGACAGAAAGCGAGGTAGTCATCTTTCTTCAAGTCCTGGAAAGACTGGCCATTTCATGCCAGGAGTACACGGTATAGACGATGAACTCCGGATGGTCCTTGTAGATTTTGTACTCCTCGAGTGTGAGAACCATATGGATAAACAATCGTACCTCCTGGATGGAGGCATCGGGAGCCGGAATTTCAAGTGGCGGCGAGTTGTGTTTCCCTATTTTCTTGATGCATTTTGGGTTGGTGGGTGTGTGTTTGGGGATTTCGTGGAGTAGTCCTTGCTCGTCGGTAAGACGCTTTGCTATCTTTCTCAGAGAGTCGTTCGCTGTTCAATTTGTTTCTGCTTATGAGGCGGGCGATGTGACCGTTGTATCTGATGAAGTCATTTGTGATGCTGGCGATGAGCGTAGAGGCGTTTTCCTTTGGCCTATTGGGCACGATGGGGTCATAACGTTCGAGGAGGCACATTTTCGAACGTTGACGACGTTTCGCGTCTCGGGAAGTTGGATCGTGGTATAAGGGGGTAGTTGGAGCTTTCGAAGTATGGTAAGGGGGTATGGCGGCGTTCAAAGCTTCAACATGCATTGAAGGGCTTGATGGTGCAGGTGGGTGATGGGATGAGAACAGAAAGTCTTACAATATTGCGGTGTGCCAAGACTGATACTAGTCCATGGATCCCATTCCGAATAACTCGGTACAGCCATGGAGGAAAGTTTGTCGACATTGAAAGTTCTATGGTTCATACCTCTTCCCTGAATGCAGTGCAAGGTAGGGTGCTCAGTGTTTTAGAAGGGAGGAAAGGATAACGGAGATTTTCGAGTACACTATACAAAGGTACCATACTTTTGATGCACTTACAGCTTCAAACATAGTCTTACGACATAGGAAGTAGCCGAGTCTCGGTGTGAGGCGTCCATGGGTCGCATCCATTTGAACCGTGGAACTCTCTTTTTCCCCTGGAGAAAAGTGGGGGGCAGCGACAAAAATAATCGTGGCGGTCCATATTCCATACGGCATGAAAGCACTCGATTAAACGCCAAAGATGCTCGCGCCTAGACTTTGAGCGACTCTATTTGAAAGGCTGGACGATTGTGGTTGTAGAAAAAATGAGCAGCTCGCGAATAGTGTCAGTGAAGGGTTAGAGTACAAAACTCGCCATTATGCCTGAGTAGTTCCTTTTTTTTTAGACACGGGAGACATGTAACTGAATGAAATGTATTTTGTGAATGAATGTAACGCTTGTGCCGTCGAAACCAAGGTTGGGTTGAGTCGGTGGAAGCGGCTGACTCAGTTGGGATGGAACTGGTTCTAGATATCGCGTAATAAATGTAACTTACTTTGTACCCCAGCCCCCATTCCCAACCTTTCGCCTCCCTTGACACCGCAAGGAAATCTGGAAAGGACTCTCGTGTTCTGCCTAATCCATCGCATCGATCTCCCTCGAAGCCTGAACCAGAATTGCCCCGTAGTCATCTCATCCTTGCCACTCAGAGGGCTGTGCTTCTCAGACCTCTGGATAGAATACCCGGTACCTCATCGGCGCAGGGAAACAGAAGACGCCACGCCTGGAGCACCTATGAAGCGACCGACTTCGACTTCTGCTGATTGCTGAAGCAATAGAACTAGGTCTAGAGCGACGCCTACAGCGTTCATGGATGCGGCGTACGTATAGTGCCACACGCGAGCCTCTTCATCAGCTAACATTCTACTGTTAGAACTCTCCACAACTCGACGTCCTCTCCTCTCCTCTGCCTTCCGCCCGAAATCAGAAACACAATCTACGAATATGTAATCGGCGGGAATGTGATTGGCATATACATGTCAACCATTGGAACTCCCAGCATAGTTCACAATGTCATCCCTATCTTGCCGTCAAGCGCAGGAAATACATCCAACCGCAGATATCGGGTTTCGTATCCTCAAGATGCAATCTGGCCCGAAATCCCAGCCAAGCCAAGTTCCGAAGCCGAAATAGCGGAAATGAATAAACATGAGGAGCAGATGAGTCGCGAACGATACGAACGTTTCATCAAGATGGCTTTAGTACAAAGGGCATATGGTACTAGTAGCGCTATCTTCAAGCATCAACAATCTTATTCGAGACGAAGGCCACGGGTGAACCTCAAACCCAAATCCGTTTATGTTTCGATGTTGTGGACCTGCCGTCAGATCTATCATGAAGCATGCTTACTATTGTACTCTTCGAACATCTTCTACTTCGAATACGGGCCTGCTCTAGAGATGTTTCTCCTAAGATCTCTCAACTTGAAGCAAGCCCAAGCTATTAAACATGTTTATATACTTCATCGCATCCGAACAGAAAGCAGAGACAACATGTCAGAGCACTGGCACTCTGTGTTCACCCCCGCTGTTATCGATGCTCTTCCTGGCGTTCAAACCGTATCATTGCTCCTAAGCCAAATTGGTTGCCTAGGTCAAGGTGTTCGCCTTCAAGACAGGAGTGTAAATGGGCGATGGCGACACTGTGGCGGCGTAGCCCCAGCCTGGAACGACCAGATTTACGTCTACGGGTTTTCACGCCTTCGCCTGCTTCCGCAGCTTTCGTACGTGAACGTGCCCCTCAGAACATATTCAAAGGATTGTTCTATACTTCGCGTTCGTCATCCAGCTTCTTCCACCGAACCTCCAATGAAAAGCGACAGAGAATTGTACGTTCAACGTCTTTGCGAACAGCTCCGTACTCCTTGGAATGATGTCTCTCGAGCTTTCTTTGAAGAATATGAGATGAAGGAACGTCCACATTTCATGTCGTGGGCAAAAATGATGGAACAAAAGGAAGTTGCAGGTGAGGATGGGCACAAGTATGACTTTCTTTGAGAGACAACGAAGGTTTCCTCGGATTTGAAAACTTCCGTGCATCTTCCGTCAATTTGGTGGACACAAGCGTCAAAGTAAGGTTCTTGAAGACCACCAGTAGGTATCAGGAAGCGTGCGTGTCTAGGTAGGACATGACAGGTTGTCTAGCAAACGGAGGTCATAATACTAAACTATTCTCGCACTTGCTATCTATGAATCGTGAGTTCAATACTAGGTCGTTAGTCGAGAACGCAGAAATACCATTGCTCGGGCTTCACTTCTGCTCTTACGATGCCGCCGTAAGGAGTAGCTCAGCTAGCAAGCAGTGGGTTAGTCAAGAAACAGTCCAATCTTCACTGTATTGACCCTTGTTTCTCTTTCAGAACGGCCTAGCTATAGTACTAGGTCATAAGTTTAGGCACATTGATATACCGCTGTTCCGGCTCCACTCTTGCTCGCTCGACACCACCGTAAGGAGTACCCTGGCTAACAGGTATCAGCGATGACAGGGTACATCACGCAGTTGCAAAAGCACCTTGCATAGACGCTCACCGGATTTCTCCGCCTTTTCTTGTCGAAATCTCAATATGTCCAATGAACCTTCGTTTCTGTGCTGTGTCGATAAGGCCTCCGTTTGGTGCCTACTTTGTGCTACATATTCACGTGACCTGGCGTCAGTCCCGTGTCCTCGGTCTGATGCTGCCTGGCCAAAGGTTGCACACCCCTGCCAAAGTCTCCCGGTTCCGCGACTATAAAGGCTGTTATTCACCGCACACGACCGTCAACTCTTCAATCCCCAGCTCGTGTTAGTTGTATCCGCAAAGTCAACACTGCCTAGCAACGCTAAACACTCCCACTAACAGCTACTATGTCTTCTTCCGACGGCGCCCGATCCCTCGCAGCCATGACCTGCGACAAACTCCTCTCCCAGCTCAGCAAGCGCATCGAGGAGGAGCGTATCGGCGCTACGTACACCATTGGCGGCAACATCCCAGTTGTGAAGCCTAGCTCTGGCGGAGGAAGTTCGCAGTTATCTCCCTCTGCGACCAGACCTGAGGCTGGCAAACCTGCCCTTCAGAGCCTGACAAAAGCGCCCAGTGCTCCTATCACGATTCGCTGGGACTCGACCACCGTCGAAGGTCTCATCTCGAAGATTACTCTTCCCTGCGAGCCCGGAGATGCATCTAGCTTAGAGAATCTGGTCAATGACTGCCAGCCAGCTACCTTCGGACACAATGGGAAAGATATCTACGACGAGACATACCGCAAGGCCACGAAGCTCGATACTACTGCATTCAGCTCGACTTTCAATCCCTACGAAGTCGGTATCATCGACGTGATTGCCCAGATCTTGCTCCCGAGCTTGCCGGGCGGAGACATTTCTCGTGGTGTTCGGGCTGAGCTTTACAAGTTGAATGTAAGTGTTCCACACTGCGTTGTCTTCCTTGCAGTCTCACTGACACCAATAGGTCTACTCCGGCCCTTCTGGCAAATTCAAAGCCCACGTCGACACCCCTCGCGGCTCCACCCAATTCGGTTCCCTCGTCGTTTGCCTCCCCTGCGACCACGAAGGCGGCGAGCTAGTCGTGAGACACAACGGCAACGCAATCATCTACAACTGGGGAAGCACAGGCGCGGGCAGCACCGATGCAGCAGAGATTCAATGGGCTGCCTTCTACAGCGACTGTGAGCACGAGGTCCTGGAAGTCAAGTCTGGCCACCGAATCACCCTCACATACCACCTTTACATCGCCTCCGGGTCCGGCGACCTTGCCGGCCGCTGCCCCTGGCTAGACCCGACGGCCCTTCCGCTATACGACGCCATCCTCAGCATGCTAGAACTACCCGCATTCATGAAGGAGGGTAGGTCTTTCCTTCACGCAGTGCTCTAATGAATGCGCACTACTAACTACAACAGGCGGCCTGGTCGGTGTATACTGCTCTCACGCGTACGCCCACACCCACGAAGAGGGCATCAAGCACCTGCCTGGCTCTCTCAAAGGGAGCGACATGGCCTTATACGAGATATTCAAGGCACTGAACCTGGAGGTCAATTTGAAGCCGATTCTGGATCCCGAATATCTCGACGACTACGGCGACGAAGAGGAGACCTCAGTGCAGCCCAAGCGTAAGTAGCCCGCAGACCCGCTTCTACTCACTGTCTCAATTCCAATGCATGCGCAATGCTGACCCGCCCCCGGCACATGCAGGCGAATACATCGGCGACATGCTCTACAGCACATATTTGTCAGACATCTCTACCGAAGACTGCTCCACCAGCGAGCTCGTGGAGACCTGGGGCTCGCACACGCGCGAGACGGTGGTTTGGCTCACCCAGCCGAAGCATTCGGATGCCGCCATGGCTTATCTTGCGGTATGCATATCTGTTTTCCTTATTTGACAGTGTGTCTAGTCTACGTCAGTGCATTGACTAATTCGCCAAAACAGTACGGAAACCAGGCTGAGATGGGGGTCCTGTACTCCAATGCTGCCCTGATCGTCAAGATCCCAGCCTTCACAGAGAGGAACTTGTAGGGTTGGAGGTGATGTGGATGGCCTGGGTAGTGTGGTGAAGAGCTTCAGTCGGTTTTCGGTAGTACAGATGGTGAAAATGAAAACCTGGTATGCGGGCTTCTGCTCTTCTGTCTTACTTGTGACTGCGATTCTGCGCAGCGTGTTCTTGCAATTCACACTGTGATGACGTTAGGTGTCTTGCCCTCTCCCAAGCGCACACCAAATGTAGAGCTGTGAGACTGTGAACTAGATTGCAACCATTTTATCACTTGTGCACGGTGATGGCGTTGTCCGCCTTGCCCTCGCAACCCATCCCCAGTGGAGATCAGATGTAAGTGTGGTGAGACTATGAACTGAATCCCAATCGTTGATTCATTCATGACGTGATGACTTGCCTCCCCAACAAACACTCCACGCGTGAGCTGTGACACTATAACCGACCCTCTCCCAATTGATCACATGTGACGCGCGCAATCTAGTAGCCTATATATACCTAATATTTTCGGCGGTCATTTCGTAAGGTGCGTCGGTGTTGACTGGGATTAATCTCTTGCCTTTTACCAGAGGTTACCGCGAGCCGCGCATTACGCCTTACAATCTAATCTTTGGAACACAAACTCTTTTTTTTTCTGCCTCCCGACGGCTGGATGGGGGTTCGAGTCCCGGTGGGTCTGTTCACTTCTTTTTTTGTCAATTTTGGTATAGCTTTCTATTTCACCACTTCTCTGTCTCTCTTGCCACGAATCCCTAAAATCTTCAGCTAGAACCTAGTTGCTTTCATTTTTTTTGCGGGAAGGTGACGTAGGACGTGTTTCTGTGCGGTAGTACCATGCTACAGTTGGGCACACGGACATGTCAATATATTGTTTCCGCTATTGCTGGCTCGACACCACTAGGAGGAATAGCCCGGCTAGCAAGTCCTCCGTCAGTCAAAAGGAACCCTATCTCTCACTGTATCAGCTCTAACGTTGGTGTTATATGCTTCAATTTTCAGCACAGGGATATAACAGCGCTTGAGTCCAGTTCTTGCACGCTCAACACCACCGTGAGGAGTAGCGCAGAGGGCAGGCATCCGATTAGTCAGAAAGCAGCTTGCTCTCTATTGCGTCTACCTTTTACATCGTATTCAGAGTTTGAAAAGTCTATAGAAGTACCCCAACCGGCGGCAAAAACATGCACTCAAACTCATGTCCCAGGACTGTATATACACATCTACAGATCCCCCATATCAAACTCCCAAAAGTCCGTCCACGCCCACCCCAGCCCATTATCCGTCGGCGTATCAAAAGGCGGCAAGTCATCCAACTCGCGTACTCCAAGCCCAATATCCATCATACCGCCACCATTCGCGTTCGTGCCATCCGTACCAACATTTCCCCCAAGCTGAGCCCCCGGTCCACTACCTCCAGCTTGTCCACCAGCACTCGAATACGCGGCCCCACTAGATTGCGCGCCGTCTACCCCCAAACCCGCTCTCAAGCTATCTCCCAGCTCGCTCCCGACGCTCGGCTGCAGCGCAAGCACCTTGTAGCACAATCTTGTTATCTTCTCAATCGCCTTTTGCCCGCGCGCTCGTGCCGCGTCTTCCTCCGTCCCCGACGCGCCGGCGGGAGCGGGCGCGGCCAGTCCAGCGGCGGCGGCCATGATCCAGTATTCCATGTAGCCAGTGCCGAGACGCAAGGCCTTGGATTCGAAGATCTCGAGGGCGGTGTCGAGGAGGGGCGCCGCGGCGGTGGCGATGGTGGTAAGGAGGAAGTTGGAGGAGATGGGACTGATGTTACTAACCGAAGTCAGTCAGAGCAGATTGGGGGGAGAATCGGGGACGTACTTAACGGCGCCTAGCAGCGCAAGAGGAGGATGAGATGAGGTTGAGGGATACTTCAGCGGATTGTCTGGGTCATTGATATCTGGCTGCTCAGGTTGCTCGCGCGGAGGTCCACGATTGACCGCGGAGCCGTTTTGCGGCAATGGGAGGACTGGGGGCACCGATATGGCGTATATTGCTTGGCCGAGTGAGATGGCGGCGCGGAAGACGTCGTTGCGGAGCATGTTGAGCATGTGCGAGCCGGCGGCTGTGAGAGTGGTGTGCTGCATGAGTATCTTGCTACCCGCGCTGAGGGTAGCAGTTGTGGAATATGCGTAGCGCGGATTACTGCCAGCAAGCTTCGTGAAGGGCTGATGTAGGATGAGGAGGAATTGGCGGAGCTGGAGGTCGAGGAGGATGGCGGCGTTCTGGGTATGGGTGCCCGTCCAGTTTGGGAGAGCGGCGATGGCGGCGTTGAGTTGAGCGTCATAGTGGATCACGTCTTCGTACTGGAGACCGCCCTTCGGGGTGTTGAGTAAGGAGGTCAGGTGGATTCGGAGAGGGAGGCTGCGGCGAGAGATGTGAAGGTATGACGAGCTTGTGAAATCGGAAAAGGTTTGTGGAAGTGGTGCTGAGGCGCTGCCCGTGCAGAAGACAGAATCTTCGGCATTCGCGGGGACGGGACAGTCGAAACTGAGGCTGGTCAGGCAAGACTGCATCCCTTTCTCGAGACAGGCTTGTAGTTCTAGTTCCATCATAGTTGCCCAAATTCGCCGTCTCATCTCCTTGGTGAACTCGTCCGTCTTCTTGGGGTTAAGCAGCGCCGGGTCGCGATGTAGGCCTGCGGACATTCCGCATCTAATCAACTCACCAGTGTGTATCCAGTCCTGCTTCACTTTGATGCTGTTGATACGTCTTGCGAGAATTAGGAGACATTGGACCTGGAAGAAAGGGAGCGTGAGATGTTTTCGGCTTTGACGAGCAACCCATGTTTCAGCGGCCTCGATCCATGCTCCTGCTTCTTCGCGTCCAGACGAGCTGTCACCGAGGAACACCTTATCCCCTTCGTCAGATAGGCAACGCACAGTAGCCATAACCAGAAGTAGAGTGACGTAGAAGCACGATTCGCTGTCTGCGGGATTCTCACTGAACCGCTCGAACTCCCGCCAGAAGGATCCACGGTGCAAGATACGGTATGTGTTCTCGTAGTTCTGGAAGTAGAGCAACACATGACTGTACACGACATCTTTTGGAGGTATGAGTGCTAAGATGTCGGCATCCGGGATATATTGGCCAGGCTGATGGGTGCTTGCCTTGATGACTTTCCTGCGGGCGCGGAATGACTTGAAGTCGGCCTTGATGCGTGCCATCGCGGAATCTGAAGTCATCGCACCTTTTGTAAAGACATGAACCTCAGGAAACTTGAATCATTAGTCGATTGCCTGTTGAACGGGACAGTCGCATACCTGAACGAGAAGAGCCATTGGACTTGTAGAACCGTAGAAATGGGTCTTGAAACTACTTCCTCTGAACATCATGGATTCCTTGGGCGGTTCGACGTTATTTGGGGTCTCATCATCTTGGCTAAACCCTGTACCAAGAGTTGACTGGGAGGTATCCAGACCCGCAAGCTTCTTTTCTAGCATCTCGATCCTTTGTTGCTGCATCTGCATTTTCCAGGCGACGGAATCAGAGGTTGGCGCACCTCCATGGGGTGGAGGCGGCATGAAAGGCATGCTGATTTGGGCGTGGCTCGGAGCCGCCATTCCAGCACCATTCATCCCCGAGTGTCCGAGTGCACCCCCTTGAAACTCTTCCACCAATCTTGGGTCATAGGAGCATTGCTCTGCCCTACCCGTTCTTGCACAGCGACCGCATACTGGGAACAGGCGGTCACATTTCATCTTCCGGTTCCGACAAGCATAGCACGAGAGCACCTTTCTCTTCTTGCTGGCCCTCTTCTCTGGCGATCCATCGTGGTCAGATGATGGCGAACGGGAGCGGGAACGGGACCCAGTGCTACGAGCCGACATGGTGGGAGTTATGAATCTGATAAGATGATGGAGATGGGAGGTACGTCGGCCGACTTCTCCTAGAGAGCGACGCGGACATAGAAAGGCATATCAAGAGAGTGTCGTGAGTGCTTGTCAGAGCGGATATGCCGGCTCTCGGACGGACTTTCGGACTTTGCGACATGGCCGAAGGGCGAGAATAGAATAGGTAGCGCTGAGTAAGAGAGCTAAGCCATGCCTGAGCAACGCAACATTGCACCACTCCCAGGAACGAGAAAGACTGATATCAAAGGAGAGAATGGAAATCCATATCGTAGATATATCTTGCGAAGGGGAAATGTGGACGATTGACAAGGGCAGTATTACGTGCTCATCGGGCGCAGATCACGTGGAACGCTAGATTGATGTAAAGCACAAACTTTGCATATTGAGCAAAACAAGTCATTCCTTTGGACTTTTGAGCGTCTTCTATAAGGCTATTATGCACGTTTCAGCTGAGTCGATGTGCGATATACGAGATTGGCGGCCGAAACACGTGATTACCCTTCCCCCACCGTCGACCTTCTTCCTTCTCTCCTCATCTCCATCACACCGCCACCAAAGGCAACGTGTGCGCTGACGAGGCTCTCTACTGGGTCTCCGTCCAGATACAGCACCAAGTATTCGTCATCCCGACCCCTACGCTGTCACAGATTACTGAGACACCACATCTACCTCTCTCGGATCCGGCCAGGAGGCCGCCTCCATCCTTGTTTCTGTTGGCTAGTGTTTATATATCTTCGTAGCTCTACAAGATCTGGCTTTGCAAGAGAAAAGGATAGCCAAGCACATATCAATATAAATCTTGAAAAGGCACCTCCTTTTCGATAACACGCTTATTCCGTACAATGTGCTGGCAGGGGAGCTTGATCCCTATTCAAGACGGCTGGAACGTTACATTCACTGCTTTGAAATTCAGTACGCCCCGGAGTTCTTAAACATGCCGTCCATGTGCCCAAAGTAGGAATGTCATCAACTCAATTCGGAGGGCATCTCATCATTTACATTGAAGTCGCTGGAACTGTGTACCCCCAGGAGCCTAGCAGTATGGTTTTGACATGTTCAGCGCGACGACTTACTTGGCCAAGTATAGGGGGTGTACAAGTATTGAGCGTCAGAAAGTCATACGGTGCATCCGTCCTTGGAAGAGCACGAAACGTTGACAGATCGTTTACAGGACGCATGGACATGATGGTCAAATCACGGCAGCAAAATAGTTCAGTATGAGCAAAGTTCTTCTATTGACTACCAAAGGTGTACTTTGAGAGCCCCTCATCCAACCATATAAGTGTGTATGAGCGGAAGAACAGCCGAAAGGGTTTGACCGAGAGGGTCCGCACTGGGTAGGAGAGTGTCGACGACATGGGGCTGAATGTTTGTTGTAGCACATGTAGAAGTACCGCGAGGGCGGGACGCGGTGGTCCGTCGGGCGGTCCCAACCATTCGTTGACGCTGGCCCGTCAGTACTCGGTACATGCGTGCACGACGAGGGCAACAGAACTCACTTGGATATCCGTGTTTGCAGGGTGGTGAACAGTATGAACGCTGTGGAAGGTGCCGAAGGTTTCGAGGTGACGAACGCCCAGCTAGAGTTCCAGCTTCGGACCACCTGATGGCCCAGTTCGTCAGTAATGTGCGTCAATGCAACGGACTAGGTGGCATACCAATGGAGACTGTGTTGGGAGGAAATTGACAGCATCCAGCGCCGATTTGTGCCTGTTGAGATTGTGACGGAGGCGCAGCCGTCGGAGGCATCTTGGATCATAGCAGGCCCAAGCCACATAGGGGTTTGCCATAGGTCTTCAAGAGAGGCTATGAGGAGGTGTCGAGGTATGCGTCGAGGCAGCACGTCGATCGGGACGCCCTTGGGGGATGCCCAGCGGCCGCGAGGGTGATAGCGACGGTGGAAAAACGCATCTTGTTGGTTGCAACGTTAGCTATAGCCAGAGAAGCCAAAGAGGATTGGCAACTCACCGCGAAAGTGCTGGCTCTGACTCGAGTCTGGGTTGGGAGGACGCCCGCACCACATGGTGCGATGCGCGGAGTCTGGCCGGCAGCAGCATGCGAGCGGCTGCTGAGCTCTAGAGCTGCTGCCGACCAGACCACGCGGTGGGAATAAGGTCGGGAAGCTGGATGCACGCTGGGTGAGTGACGGACGGGTAGAAGGGAGAAGACTCTGACTAACGCTTAGGCGATGAAGCCTGCGGCGAGCCGCGAGGCGATGAAGAGTTGGTGAAGGAGGAGAGAAGGAGATGTGTGGGCGAGAAGCTTTTCAGTCGGGCAGCTACTTCGTTCTTGGCGTGACGTGCTGTCTGCTGAGGACGAAGAAGGAGCAGGTCCAGAGTCCTCGAGCCGGCAAGGCTGTTCCCTGAATGGGCTGTCCCTCCAGCCAGTGAGTCTGGCATTGTCACGAAGTCCACGAGCAGTGAAGCACACTGCGGCAATGTCTTTCTGCTTCGCTGGAAGTGCTTTCAAAAGAAGACCCACGTCAACTATGCTGCGTGAAGCAATTGCTTCTCTAGAGCGCCCCCAAACACCGACGGCGAGACAGCATGCAGCTGGCACTTCTCAATTCTACACGACGTTCTCGGCTTGGGTACTCTGAGAGCGGTGGGATGGAGCGAAGTGAGGTTCTGAAGCCTGTCATGACGCAAGGTCTCGTGATCGGCCGTCTTTTGCTGTTCCGCCGTCTTCGCGGACGTCGTCGTCGCGCCTCTTCATCCACCACCACCACCTCGCCTTCATCCACACAAGTTTCAATTCACCAATCGTCGCACACACATCTCGCTCGATCTCGAACCGCACGCACTCTACTGCGGGTGAACTGTCCTGTCACGAACTGAGCAACAAATCGTACGTACCTGCGAAGCCGCCCTTCACCGCTACCACTAAACCCCACCCTGCCACAGACTCTACTCATCTCACGAACTGGCGCCTGCCTACTTCAACGTCGCAACCTTCAAGATGCTCGAGAGCCAACGTCAGGCGCTTCGTGCTGCGAAGGACTCCCTCCAGGACTGCCCGTCGGTCAGATCCATAATCACCAACCGCAAGATGTGGGCTGCGTTGGCCATCTGCCTCGTCCTTGTCGGGGTCGGGGTGCTCATCGCCTACCTCGTGTAAGGATTTTAAACCCCGAAACCATCATGCTGACGATGCTGACAACGCTGTAGGAAACCACAGGGACTTTCGGAGAAGCTGGACTGAGAGCTGGGCTGGAAACTCGACCACGGTGACCACCTCTTATATTGCGTCGGTCCTGGGTGGAATCTGGAGTTTGTCTGGCGGTGCTATGGAGGGCTTCATATGTGTGACCGGAATACATAGTTGGTTCGCTTCTCAATGATTAGCGGACAATAAACAACAATGGAAAACTGAGTCTTATAATCCTACCACAAGCTGTCTCGTGTGTACACCTGTCTGCCCCTGCTTGGGGTGCCTCCCTACATTTTCAGGGATTTGAACGAGATAGAAAGCCTTCACTTTGAACAACGTGGAAATTCGTTGAAGTACCCCAAGCGGTGGCAAACAGGTGTACACACGAGACGGAATGCTTGATGAGTGTGGTACCTTTTCACACCCGGCGTGCTGACATGCCTTACTCGACCTACATACCGCAACTCCGAGTTCCACTCACAAGCATACCAACTAGGCCCCTCATTGCTACCTACTTACACTGTCCCCAATAATACCACTGCACGGGTTCCGCTCTTGATCGCTCGACGCCACCGTAAGGAGGAGCCCAGCCAGCATGTAGCCGGCTAGGCAAAAGGTAGCCCGATTTCCACCGCATCTATCTTGACGATCCGTTTCTTTGCATCCCGTCTCAGCACATCGATATATCAGTGCCTGAGTTCGGTCCTTGCTCGCTCAACACCACTGTGAGGAGTACCCCAGATAGCAGGCATTGAATCAGTCAAAGGGTACCATAATACAAATGCGTCAGCTTTGACATTGGTTTCCTTACGTTTAAAGTTTTAGGATACGGACATAGTAGTGCGTAAATTCGGCTCTTGCTCGCTCAACACCACCGTCAGGAGGAGCCAAGCTAGCAGGCAGCCGGCTAATCAAAAGACAGTCTGACTTCCACTGTGTCCACTTTGACATGGTGTTCGGATTGGAGAAGGCCCATGAAGGTACCCCAAGCAGTGGCAACCGGGCGTGTGGATTCCATATTTTTAGTGCTGATACTCGTCCGTTCTCATACACCTTCTCTTCGGAGGTCTTTAGTCCTAGATTGTAAGGTTAGCCAATCGGATATAAGGCTGCTAGGGCTTCCTTCTTACTAGCTTGGTGCCACTGTCAGGAGTAGCCCCGTTGTCATGTGGCCGGGCAGCCAAAACGTAGCCTATTATCTACTGCATGAGCCTTGACATTAGGTTAGAGTAGCTACAAGGTTAGTACCTCGTATCTACTACTGCTTGAGTGTACCTTTGGAAGCTAGACACCGCTGTGAGGAGAAGCCCAGCTAGCATGTGACCGGGAAGTCAAGAGGTAGTCTAATTTTCCCTACATCAACTTTGACATCGTGGTCGGAGTCACAGAAGCCTATGGGGGTACCCTAAAAAGTAGCAAAAGGATGCGTCTGGACCTTTGGCAAGGCACTGTGATGCGGGCGATGGAAATACGGAGGTCAAATACTGGGTCGCAAGTTTGGCGCCCATGAATATGCCACCTCTCGGGCTGCAATTATGCTCGCTCGATATCACTGTAAGAAGTACTACAGATAGCAGCTAGCTGGCCAGTCAAAAGGCTGCCCGAATTCCACTGCCTTGGCATTGGCATCGTGTTCGGAGGTCCGATTAGTGATAATGGGTAAGACGGCACGGACGCTGTGGCGTGAATAAGCTTGCCGATCCCTCCAAAATGGCATACAAATTGAAACGCGCAAGACGAACCGGCAGAGTTATTCTGTAGATCGGGGAAGTGGAGACGAAGGTTGAGACATCTAGTTTCACGATACTCGTGTGGAGTGGTTCTTGGCACCGCTCCGCCATAGGAAAGGTAGAGCGAGTGACGTTCTGTGCTCGTATCTTTTGAGGCTGTGGTACGGAGATGATGGTAGAGGATAATCAAGATGAGGCGAAGGAGAATAGGAGATGATGAGGGGAGGATGGTATAAAGGGAGAGCTCCAGACGGTGGTTCAAAACATTATCCACTTATTCCATCGCTTCAACCACTACCTTCATCAGCTTCCACCGATCCAACAAAACGTCGAACACACTCGTTAACTCCCCTTGAGATCCCCACAACCGCAAACATGCTCTCCAAGAACATCCTCCTCAGCCTAGCTATCCTCGCCACCTCCACCTTCGCTGCCCCAACAGCCCGCACCGACAGCTACTACTGGACTGTCGAACGCTTCACCAGCACCTGCACGGCCGCGACCTGTCGATACGACTTCAACGTCACCGGCGCCGTTGGTCCTCTCAACCAACCTTCCTTCGACGCTTACGGCTGCGATGGTGAGAGCGTCCCAGGCGTTTTCGAGCCTTGTGCTACCCTTGGAATCGATGTTCTCGGAAGCGTGAAGATCAAGGAGTTGAACTTGGGAGACAAGGCAAACGTGTTTGTAGAGTTTTCTTTCGAGCAGTGGGTGACATGAATGGAACTTGAGAATCTGGAATGCTGACGAATTGATACCTTTGTAGGGAAGGAAAGACGTACACCTACACTAGTAACCAGACCGTCGGACATACGAATGGTGGCGGACCTGAGAGATTCACCATTATTCCCAACACCGTTTCTGTATTTGGCTAGATGGATAGGGGAGTCAGAATTGTTGAGATGTGAGAGGCGAGGAAGAACGGGAGAAGGTGGATGCTTGAGAGCGTTGAGGAAGCCTGTAAATTACTCTGTACACTCCCTTTCGCATATACATCGATATTGGAATTCCCGGTTAGAGGGAAACGAGGAGGGTACCATCAAGCATGTTTTGTGATAGAACGATGGTGTTGAGGGGTGATGCGAAGATTGATGAAGTGTCCTGCCCCCATGCCAAGCCCCATCCCTCTCCATCAAAACAGCATTGCCCTCCCTTCTCTCCGCCATACACCTCCGTAAACACCCATTGAAGCTACCCACAACATCTCAACACTGCAACATAACCATTCTGCGCGTCCCGCGCGTCTCCAAACTACGAATCTACCCCAGTACTCGCCCCTTCCGCCCGCACGGTCGCAATCGCCATGAGCTCAGACTTCGGAGACATCGACGACGACGACCTCATCCTCGCCGCCTCGCAAACGGAAACCTTGATATCCAGCCAGCAAAGTCCTCTCAAGGAGCTCTTGAACAATAGTATTAGCGGTTCCCCTTCCTCTCAATCCCTATTGATCCCTGTGCCGAACCTCCTTACGACGGCTCCTTCCTCTGACTTCGGAGATATCGACGATGACGACCTCATCCTCGCCGCATCGCAGACAGATACCTTGATATCCAGCCAGCGGAGCCCCCTTAGGGAGCTCTCGAGCAACCTATCCTGGACGCCACCTGCCTCCCAATCCCAATCGACCCCTGCGCCGAAGCTCCTGGCGAAAGCTCACTCCTCCTCGCAACAGCGTCCGACGTCTTCGCAGCCTCCGGTGCAGCCGGTAGTACGACCGCAGGAGTTGGGTCCATACAGGTTCACATTTGGGAAGCACAAGGGGAAGAAGGTTGATGAGGTGCCAAAGGTTTACATCTCGTTTCTTCGAGAGAAGGGCGTTGTGGAGCACGTTTGGGCTCTCAATGCAGCTGTGGACGAGATGGACCGGTTAGAGGAACAACGGAGAGCTGCTCATGAAGCTTCATTGGCGCTCATTGCGTCCCAGATTGCCGCCCCAGTTCCAGTTGCTCCGCCAGCTCCCCAGGCTCCTCCGCCGCCCTTCCGTTTTCCGTTCGGCATGCATAAGAACAAGACACTGAGCGAGGTGCCAGAAGGCTACATATTGTATGTCAAGGCTCAAGGTCTTGTAGATGAGATCCCTGGGCTTGCTGCAGCTTTGGAGCCATTCGAAAACCCGCCCGCAACCCTACCCCCAAGTTTGAGCGCGCCAGCGCCAACGTCGTATGTTCCAGCGCCGTCGCCCGGTGCATTTGCAAGTGTTTTCCCGCCTTCGAATTCACAGAAACCGGCACCGGCACCAATGTTGATTGAAACCGCCCCAGTGTCGAGTGTCCCACAAATTTCGTTGCCCCCTTAGAGCTCGCAAACCCCTCAAATCGCTCTACCGAATGCCCTCACCTACCGGTTCACGTTCGGAGTTCATATGGGCAGATCACTTGCAGAGGTGCCTGCTGACTATCTTTCCCTTCTCCACGATCGAGGCGTCATATCCTCTAGACCTGATTTAGCCGCCGCCGTCGCAGACTTAGTGCAACGGAATCCCTCCCTCTTTGCACCTCCAGATCCATCACTTTACGTCCTTAATTTCGGCACTAACATCGGGATGAGACTGGACTCTTTATCTCCATCGTACATACAATATCTGAAGAATGAGAAATGTGGAGATACCCGTCCTGATCTTGTTGCAGCTTTGAATTACTTCGACAGCAAGAACAAGAAGGTCCAGAAGGAGCAAGTCAGGAAAGGGGGTATGTCCTCGAAGTCTAGAAAGCCTTTCGCGGTTCCGGACGACCATACGCGCGACATCGGCCGATTCTTCCGCAACGACGAACAAATGTGGATAACAGCTGGAGATGCGAAGGCCTACTTCGGTACTGAGACGCAAGCACTTCTCGCTGCTGGCGTACACACAATTTCCGGAAGTCGAAGCAGGAAAGGCACACGATTTTGGCTCCATCAAGTTTTCTACTTCGCCAAGCACTTCCAGACCACCGGATCAGATACGCCAACGAAGGCGTTGAATAAATTCAAGGCCAGGAATTATGGGGTGGCGGCGGCTCTATAAGAAGAAATAGCACATGGGGTGGCTTTCGATAGTTGAGCATAGGGTAAGGCACACTAACTTATGCAATCAGCGTCTCTTTCGGAGCATATCCGTCAGGGCTCTCTTACTGGTACCACAATGACGCCGTTTTGATTATATCCCGAAATCTCAGCGATCGGATGGACTTCCCGTCCTAAAGTGGGCTACCATCATCGGACGTACGGTACCGAAGAACATCTTCGATAAGATGCTCAGGAACATGATTATAAGCTCCGCGCCTGCTGATTGTTTGTTTTCCGCTTTGTGTTAGCTGCAGTTTGTACCTGCATTGTCCCACGATGTTGCGCATCACTCCTCTTCTTTGGATCGCTTTGATACCTGCTTGCTCTAGCTACAGGATGGCATTCTGCAGCATGCTCTTCCCTATCTGGACTATCCCTCCACGATCCCAAAGGTGTCGTAGTTGCTGCAACAGCAATTGCAGCAGGTAGCAACTTCACAGGCATCACCGAGAACAGTGGATACAACGCCGTCCAGATCGATCTCCCAAGCCTATGTCGAGTCGAGTACAACGTCCAGACTTCTCTGAACAGCTCTGCCGTTGCTGAGATATGGCTTCCTCTGCCATCAGCCTGGAACAGGCGCTTCCTGGCGGTTGACAATGGCGGCTTCGCTGGAGGCGTAAACTACCCCGACGTTGTCTGGGGTGCGCGAAAGGGCTTCGCTGCTATGAGCACAAACACCGGACACAACGGCAGCAGCTCTGATGGCACGCCATTTCAGAACCCGGAGCACTTGATCGACTGGGGTTATCGAGCTTTACACCTGACATCCGTGGCCGCCAAATCTATCGTGAAAGCGTACTACGGCAATGCCGCAAAATATTCCTACTATGCCGGCTGTTCAACCGGTGGACGTCAAGGCCTCAACGCCGCACAGCGCTATCCATCCGATTACGACGGTGTCCTTGTCGGAAGTGCTATAGCCTGGTAAACGCACACAAGCGCCTGGCAGACCTACGTCGCCTTGCAGCAATTCCCAAACAACCGCTCCAGCTTCGTTCCAGCCAGCATGTGGAGCATCATCTCCTCTGCTGTGCTTGACCAATGCGACAGCATTGATGGAATCACAGACGGCATCATCATGGATCCCTCGAAGTGCTCCTTTCATCCCGAAGTCTTCCTCTGCGGCAAAACCGGCGTCAAGGCATTCGTTGCCTCACTGGCCCTCAAATCACGAATCTCAAACGCATGTACGCGCCCTGGCTTGCTGAAGACGGCCGCCTTATCAACCCTGGGATCTCCCCATCGGGCGAAGCAAGTTTCAGCATCCTCATGAACGGCCTTACGCCCACCTTCGGGCTTCCCTTCTACGCCGAGACCGTCTTCAACAATACCAATTGGGACTGGCGCACGCAGAGTGTGGCTGACGTCGATCTCGCGGATAGCATCAACCCCGGCGGTTGTAATGCGTACGACCCAGATATGCGCCCGTTCCATGAGCGCGGCGGGAAGGTGCTGCAGTATCACGGTTGCGCGGATCCTTTGATCCCATCCCTCGATACACCAGCGTTATACGATCTTGTCGACGAGTTCTTCGAGTCTGTAGGCAAGCCGGCAGAGGTTGAGGACTTTTACCGCTTGTTCATGGTGCCTGGGATGGGTCACTGCGCTGGTGGCCCAGGTGCCTGGGCACTTGATGGTGTTTCGCAGGTGGATTGACGCCAGGAGGAAAGGGGAGTGAGTACTCCATGCTGTGGGCGTTGGTGGAGTGGGTTGAGGGGACGGCAAAGGCGCCGGAGAAGGTGATCGGGACGAAGTATATGAATGATACGGCGAGCTTGGGGGTGCAATTACAGCGGCCGTTTTGTAAGTGGCCTACTGTAGCGGAGTATCGCGGGGGTGAGGTGGATGAGGCGGGCAGTTGGATTTGTCCTGTAACGGGGGTGTATTGATGAAGGCGCAAGAGATGCAATTGATATGCTGTATAGTGTTGGGCCTTATCCACAGACTCTGAATCAAGTTTTCAAACTTCTTCTTCACTTTTACTTCTTTACATCGTGCTCTGGCAACATAATGAAGCATGGCAGCAACCAATGAACCAGCTCCGTTACTCCGGTTCTAGTCCGCGTGAATATTAGAGCACGAGCGATCTCTTCTAGGTAAAGCCTGGGATAAGCTATTTACCTGCTATGAAAACGCCTCGCCAATCGTCTATACTTAGGTTTTCCTATTGCTGTAGGCCTAGGTTTGTGCAGCGTCTACATTCAGACATGAATCTCGATCAAGGTCAGTTGGGTCATGATAATGCAACAACTGCCCAATCAGTTTCGCCGCAAGATCATGATTTCTAATTCCCCAGGGCTCGATCACCATCAAAGTCGCGTTGTTGAGGTTGCGAGAATCCTTGTTGTCCGAAGCATCGTACGAAACTGTCCCACTGTCGATCAGCGCATGTCTACACATGCGGGGACTACGAAATTGAGCACCAGCGAATCGCCTCGCCATACCTCGTCGTCTATGCACCAGTGCCTAGCGTGGTCATGCATGAACCCTGCACTTGACTCCTCCAGTCTGGACATAAGGCTCCTTGCGCTCTCGCCCGGCGCGATTTAGAGAGGTATAGTAGCTCAAATCCGCTATTTCCGCCCTCTTGCATCATGTCTAACGGCCTCAACATCGATCGAACCATGTCCGCGCCCGACAAAGGCCAACGCACCAATATTTCTATGATGGCGAGATCGAAAGAGAGAACGTATATAAGGCCAGTAGAACTCCGCGGGAATAGGTAAACTCCTCCACAACCTCTTCTTGGTCTCTTGCATTCCTTAAACTATACCAATCCACCACCACAAACACTAACATCTCCAACATGACTTCCAAAACCATCGTCCTCATCACCGGCGGCAACGCCGGCATCGGCTACGAAACCGTCGCCAAACTCGCCGCCGACCACCCCTCCACCCACCACATCCTCATGGGCACGCGCAGCCTGGCCAAAGGCGCCTCTGCCCTCAAAGCCCTGGGCTCCCCCTCCAACGTGTCCCCCCTCGAGCTGGACATCACGTCCGATGCCTCCATCGCCGCGGCCGTCTCCCAGATCAAAGAGACCTACGGCAAGCTCGACGTCCTGGTCAACAACGCCGGCACCGCTGGCGCCAATTTCGGCGACGTCGTCCCGCCCTCCCTCCACGGCAAAGACAAGACGCTCCGCGAAGTCTACACGCACGTGTATGGCGTCAACGTCATTTCCACGGCCGTGCTGACCGACGCCCTCACGCCGCTGCTCGACGCCGCTAGCCCCGGGCCCGCGAAGGTCATCTTCATCTCCAGCACCTTGGGGTCGATCGGGACGTTTGTGGCGGGCTACCACATCGTGCAGTGCCCGTGGTACAACAGCAGCAAGGCTGCGGTCAACTATCTTAGCGCGTGGTACTCGAGGGTCAAGCCGGAGTGGAGGGTGAATGCTGTGTGCCCAGGGCTGAACGCGACGGGGCTGAATCATGTGCCGTTGAACGAGGAGACGCACCCGAAGAATGGGGCGGTTAGGGCATGTGAGCTGGTTGATCAGGGGGCAGAGGGGGTGACGGGGACGTATTCGAGGAGGGGGCTGGATAAGGAGTCGGGAGATGTGATTCCGTGGTAGGAGGGTTAAGGGGGTAAGACGGGTTCTGGAGGATGAGGTTTCTGTACGTCGGTGGAAATGGCCTGATGGTATTATAGACACTTTGGATGGTGTTGTAGTTTGCAGGTTGAACGTTTCAGAAGGTTAGCCCGATGGCGAGGAGCTGCGGCTCGAGCGAGATAGAAGAGTGAGAGACTTGGGAACTTGAGGCAGTTTTAGATGAGCTGAAATAAGCGAGGCCAGTCGGTCTTTGCATGTTGTTCTACCTCAACTCCATCTTTTAGATAGTGAAAAGAAATCCATTGACTTTTCCTGAATTCTGGTCGAGTTCTAACTGCGACAACGAGAACTAACGTGGGCTGGTTCCTGTGCCTGGGAGACTAGAGCTTGTTTAAAATTCCCGATATCCACTGTTGACAGGCTGTAGAGTCTAACATCACGGTTGGAGCTTGCTGCTTTCCATGAGACAAGCTTCTAGGTGAGAGAATGTTACCTTGAATCTATTCATCTGCGAATTGTGGCCGTCCTGATAGGAATGCTGGTCAATATTATAGAAATTAGAATTAAGACGAGCAGTATTTCTTCTGGACACTATCGCAGACCTACGTAACGAGTACATCTTACCTCTCCAGACCTCGGTCTCTCAATGCTGCTGCCCTGAGCGCTACTGAGCCACACTGACCTCGCTGCCGTTGCCCGAGCCACACTCCTTCACTCACCAGCCACCCGCGCAGCTCCAGGCAACTACGACCACCTTCTAGAGCTTCTACGACCTTCCACGCCCTCCCTGCGAACCAATCACAGCCCCTCGCTTAGGGTCCCGCTGAGTCAGCACCAATTCCTCCTGCCTATATAGCGCCAGTCCCCCGTCCTCCTTCCTTCTCTCCTCATCCTAGTGCAAGGCAAGTCTCCCTTCCCCCATCCTTTCTTTCTCCTCACTCAAGCTTCTCACTAATACTCTCTCACAGGGCATTACGCGCGTCAGTGAGGATTCGTCCGAGACCGTGTTGTTGCTGGTTGAAAACTACCGACAGACCACTCCTGCTGGTCTTCGGATCGGCAGGGAATTTTTGGAAAAACAAACTCTCGAGTGAGATATCTCCTCAACTTCTTTTCTATCTTTTTCATTGGGCTACTCAGCTTGTCTGGATGCTTGAAGAAGAAGCTTCTCTTCTTGGTGATCACTTGGTGGGGTTGGCACGGTGGTGAGTTGTTGTGGTTGGGTTGTTCGACGCGCGGAGTTGTTCGATGCAATTCATCACCATTGTTTGTGCATGATTGTCTTCCTAGTTGGTTGTTACTGCTGGCGACACAGCAAGCTGGGTAGCCGCTCTCCAACACCATCAGATCTTGTTCATCATCACCTTCCGTTCAGTCCGACAGATAGCCTTGCAGGTGAGGTGAAGTAGTCCGAGGTAGAAGGCGTCATCCTCCAGGCCTTGTCGTTTCTTGATAGTGCACCATGCTGAAGTAGCGCTGTGTTATGAGCGCGCCCACAAATTTTCTCGTGATGTGTTTTGGTGTTGAGGCGCGTGCCCACCGCGATGCACACTCCCGAGGACGGCGAGAAAGATGCATGATAGATCAGACACCTGAAACAATGGAATTCTCTCGGTATTTACCAATGTCCCGACGCCTCTGGTTGTGGCATGTCGGCCTCTATGGGCGTTGCCCACGCGCCGCAGTTGGCATGGTGTCTCAAGATCCAGCGGCGTTCAGATGCGCAAGCTGTTGCCCAGGCCTATGCTACGTCACATCTGGGTTCTTGACACGGCACAGAAGCCCTCCTAGCGGCGGCAGCCGTGTGGCAATATGAGACCATCACCAGCCCAGTTTGGACTTCAATAAAGGCGAACGAGATATCTTTACATACAGAATACAGTACGTCGTCATAGATATCCGTACACTCCTCTGCCACCACTTATAGAGCCTTATGGTGTTTTCAGAAATCCAGGGCGACGGATCATAGTTCCCATGTTTGTACACTCCTCTGCCACTGCTTGGGATGGCCTAACGAGTTTACTAGATATTCAAAAAGTAGGCCTTCTGTCTGAGTCGGAACTCTGAAAATAGCATGAGGCACCACAAGCGGTGGTAGAAAGGTGTACGGATATGTACGGCAAGACACTTTAGATGAGTTTCTTGAGGCAATGAAATCGCAATCGCTCTACAGTTCTCTTGGCCGCCGTGATGCTGATGCTGCGATGCCTCAACCCACGATGCACCCATGTAGCTAACGGATGAAGCTGCCGCAATTTGCGACTCACAGAGACATGTTGCTCCTTTGCCATAGCTTTAAGGACTGCAAGTTATCACCCAAGATTTGAAAGAAATGATCTAAGGAGTTCGGAGCCCCTGCAAAGATGCTGGGGGCTTTCTACTGTGAAGGTTGACCTGTCTACCACCATTTCTACCACCATCGCCGCGGAAGTAGCACGTAGCTACATGCTCACCTCCTCATCTCTTCTCCAGCGGCCCGGAGTTCTTCGTTGTGTTTGCTGTATCCACATCGAGATTGCCTAGATGTTGAAAGTGGAGAGGCAGCAGGTACGCTCGACGTTACTTCCTGTGCTAATTACCCCTAAAGCTAACAACACCACCGGTAAAGAGGGTTAGGATGGCAGGCATAAAAGAAGTGGCACTCTTAGTTTGAACAAGGCACGGGGTGGGTGTTTACACGTGTATGCTACTGCTTGGGCCGCTTCAATGCAGTTTCAGAGATCTGAACGGCATAAAAGCTCTTCACTTCCCTTGTAGGGTTTTATGAAAACTTATTGAAGCACTTCAAGCAGTGGTAGAGAGGTGCACCATTACCTTTGTATGACAGCGTGGTTGATGAGTGTCACCAGAAAGTGGCAATCCACGAATTCGTGATGCTTTTATACACTATTTCTATGCGTGCGTACGCTTGTTTGGCACCGCTTGAGATCCTCCCGTATGCAACTTTGGCGAGCCTGATAGCTCTCCGGGCCATCGCCTTGTTTCCTGCCTAGCGTGCGCGTTTCGGCATTCCCCGCCATCACCGCTCATCCTCAACACCACGCTTCCGCACCATCAGTGAGCTCGAAGAGGCCATTGAGTCCCTCACAATGGATGACGAGCAGTTCCACGATGCGCCCGAATACGCCCCAAAGCGTGCCCTCGAACTTCCCTCTCCGCCCTCAAGAAAGCGCAAACGGCCCTCCTTCCTCGCCCTCAAAGACCAGACAATCGTCACCCTCAAAGTCGGCCCAGACGCGCAGAGCCTCTCCATCCACCGAGAGATGATCTGCCAAAGCTCCAAATACTTCACAAAAGCCTTCAAGGGCGGCTTCAAAGAGGCCGAGGAGAAATGCATCACCTTGAAGGACGTGGAGGTCCTCACAGCGCAGCGCTTCATGCACTGGCTATACACAAACACACTAGAAGACGAAGACGGCGGAGAAACGGGCGAACTGTCTTCTCTATCTGCCTTGGACCTCGCCCGCCTCTACGTCCTCGGCGACCGCTACGACGTCCCCGAGCTCCGCAATCAGATCATGCGCGAACTCGAGTTCTGCAGACAAGACGGCATCAATGCCGAAGTCATCATATACGCCTACGATAACCTGCCCGACGCCTCGCATCTCTGCAGGTGGCTTGTGAGATGGTATGCACACTACTGGGACCCCAATGGCACCACGCCTGCGGAGCCCGATCTGCTGGAGAATGACCTACCCCCGCCTTTCCTTCTTGGAGTCGCGATTATGTGCCGGAAGCGATTCCAGCACCTTGCCTCGAAGCACAAGTACCGCCCCCGCATCGGCGGCCAGTACGGCAATGCGTATTGCGAGCACCACGACCACGAGCACGGTGACAACGCGGAAGCGAAGAAGGCGTGCCGAGAGGAGTGCCACCGGCTACACGAGAAGCGCGTGGAGAGGGATCGAGCAGAGGCATCGCGGAAGCAGTTCGAGGCGGATAAAGCCAAGGCGCAGGCGTCGAATGCTTTAGCCACCTGAGCAACAATGCCTCCTCGTAGATATCCGTACACTCCTTTACCGCTGCATGAGGAGCTACATAGTGTTTTCAGCATTCCGGATAAGCGAAGAGTTCGGCATTTTGGACGACCAGTAAACTCGTGAGGCTACCCCAGACAGCGTCAACAGGCTGTACGCAAATCAGATTAGCCCTCTCAAACTTTGGGACGACATCGATATCCAGCCGAGACACCTCACAGCATTCTACATCTACGATCATATATTTACGACCACCGAGGCGAAATTCAAAGCCTCCGCATCTACCCCATCGCCTACCAGCTGCCCCGACGCATCAAGCCGCATCTTAGCACCGCACCACTATCTACACAACCCCAATCCGACGACATCATCTTAACACGCCGGAATCGCCCCCACGCCCGTCGCCGTCTGCGCCAGCGCCACCTCAGCCGCCCTGCGCCTCGTCAGCCCTGGCAGCGTCTCGCCGCCCGCCTGGTCCCACTTCGGCAGCTCCTGCTCGATGACCGTGAGTGCGTCCTCGCCCGCGTTGAGGCGCGAAAGCAGCGTTGAGGACGCGACGTTGCCGTTGCCGACGTTGTACGCCCAGGACACCAGCGCGCCGTACTCGTTTGCGTTGAGCGTGACGGCGGCGGCGGTGTCGAGGGTTATGGCTTGTTGGGGGGACTGGAGAGAATATCTCAGCATTGAGAATATTGGAAGAGGAATATTAGGTCGAATCGCAAATATTTGTTCTGGATCATTTTCGTTGCTTCGTCGTGAAGTTGTGATACCGAACTACCCTATCCATCGAAATCAAAGATGAAGAACTGACATACCACCAAGTCACTCATCAGCAAACTCGTCGCTGTGCTCTCTGATAGCGGAAACGAGTACGGCACCTCCGAGCAGTCGGAAGTCGTGCACTGGTGCCCATAGCCTACTGTCGGCAGCCCGATGGGGTCGGAAGCGGGGGAGGCGACGAAGCCTTCGAATTCTTTGATCAGGGACACGGTCGCGGCATTGACGGTTGGCCCAGTGCAGGCGCGAGCTTCTTGAGAGGTGGGGAGGGCGAGGGTGAGAGGGAGGAGGGTGAGGAGGAGGGTTTGGGGGAGCATTCTGTATGTATCGTACTGTAGTATTTGAGTATGTAAGGCGGGTTTTGATATTTAATGGTCCCTCTAAAAGCGAAAGAGATTCAAAGGCTTTATACATCCTTCGTCGCTGTACCAAAGCGAATGAGGGTACAAATCTACAAGCCCGCCTCGCGGTGTTACTCAGAGAGGGAGGTCAAGGCTCTATCCGTCGTCTGCAGATCCCGATCTGCCGCGTGCAGTGGTGCTGTCTCAGATGCCGAGATGGGCATGGATATATAGTACTTCGTTCCCGAGAAAATGTAGCTCAAGTGGGGTCTAAATCACACCCTCTCATCCTTGACATCGTACCCTCAATTTTTAACAGTGCTGAAGGACTTCAAACGCTGGTGGAAGTGTGTGCATTACTATATTGATCGGAACTAGAAACTAGACTACACCGCCAACGCCCGCTCATATACCCCGTAATCGTCAATTTGTATACAGGACACCGTGAATTGGAGCACCTGTCTTAGAATTCTGTGTGTTGAAGTAGCTACTTGGGGCCCTTCACGCCTATCTACCGCCTGGAAAACACGCCAAGAAGGAGGTTGATTGGGAATGCAACGTGCCACTCCCACCACCACGCCCCCGCATCCGCCCACGCCCACCGCTCCTCTTTGCCGAAGACGATGCACAGCCCGAAGGTGGCTGCGCTGGCTATCACGTCTACCAAAGAAGCGCGTAGGAGGAGCAGGTTCAGCAGGGGTAGGACTAGGAGGTCCAAGATCAAGCGCGGCAGCGAGTAGAGTCCAAAATGGCCAAGTTTCGCAGTCTGGTTCAGCGTCACGGGTGCTGTGTTTTGGCTGCTCGTTCCGTTGGTCAGGGGTGGAACAGAGGGTGAAGCGGCCGAGGAATACGCTGCTGCGATCTGCTTGATTTGAGACGTGTTGCTGGAGGGTCCAAGAAGCAGTGCAAGCGACGGGTGAGGCGCTGTGGTACACGACCTGGGTATCACGATCGTAGCCGTGCCAGTCGGTGTCGGTGTTTCGTGAAGATGGAACAAGAGCGACAGATGCGTGGACGTCGAGGCTGGCATTGAGGCTGCGAATGAGGCTGTGAAGGCCAGGAGCGTGGAGTGCAGTGCGGAAGACGAGGACACGATGGCCCCGGAGCCGCTGAGGACGTTGGTGGTGGCGGACTGGGAGGGCGTTGAGGTCTTCGAAGAGGTGGAAGATGTCGCGATAAAGGTCTTCACGGAGCTGTCGACGATGAGACAGTGTGTGGAGGCTTCTGTGCCTGAGTCATCCATGATCTCGTGGAGGACCCAAGGCTCGTCGGCGGAAATGTGGCGGGAGGCGAGGGCGCTGTATGTCTGGTTGATAGTAGGCTGTGGGAGGAGCAAGGATGCGAATATTTCGGTCATGTCTCCATCAGAACTGATCGTAGGGCTAGAGTCTAAGCTCAAAGCCAGGCCAGAATCTCGTTTCGTACCATTGCCGTTCGTGATAGCTGTCTTTTCGGTGTCTGCGGCAGGCTGGAGCTTCTCGAGGAGATACTGGCGACCTTTCGGACTGCGGTGTAGGATCCGATGTATCTCTCCTCTGGTTTTTACGACTCGTCTCTCAGGTGCTTTGATAGGTGTGTCTAGCGCCCCGATGCACTCCCCAAAAGCAGCCTCATCACCACCGAGCTGTGCGAACCTAGAGTCCGCATAGACAGCTCCTCCGCCCGACTTGATTATGACCTCCCGAGCTGCTGCAAGCACCACCTGCGGTGTGGTCTGATCGCATGGTATCCATAGATCGACGCTACCCGCATGGTGCACAATGGCTTCGATGTCTCGGGCGTAAAGCTGCGCCTCAGAAGCGCTCTTCGCGGCAGAAGCAAAGTTGTGTGAGATTGATCCGAAGCGAGTGATTTTTGCTCCCCTGTTGCCTTTCTGGACGTGGTGGCTCGTGGTGGTCGCAGATTGGCCGAGTTTGTAGAACTTCGTTACGGCTTTCGAGGCGCGCGCGGGCGAGACCAGGGGAAAGGACTCTTGGTCGGCGGCTAAGACTTTATGGCCTTCAGCATGGAGGAGGCGAGCCAGGGTCAAGGCTAGAGGCGTATTTGCGCCCGTGATCAGAATCGTTTTGCGGGGTGCCGTGTGCTTCTGATTTTGCTTTTTCTGGGAAGTTGAGAAGGCGGGGAGACTGCTGTAGAGCAATGTCGCGAAAACAAAGGCTGTCGTTGAGAAAGAAAAGAAGAGAATGATTAACAGTAGAAGGAGATCGTGCCGTGAAGGCCGTTGGGAGCTTGTTGGTGCCATTGCGCCGGTCGTCGGCGAATGGTAGGGTGTGAGGATTGACATGCTCAGAGACGTGGAAATAGATCGAGTCGCAGTCATCAGCCGTAAGTGGAAATTGAAAATCGTGAAGAAAGTGTTGCCCGTATGGAAGTCATGAAGAGCAGAAGCTGGAATGTTGAGTGAAGTGGAAGAGGGCAGAGGGATGGTGAAGCTGTCACGGAGCTGTCTCGAATATGTGGCAGGGTTGGGTTGGCGGTAGCTGGAGGCGGGGGTTGGCACACGGGCCCATGCTGTCATCCCGCATTCCGTGCTGCCAAGTCGATTGCCGACTGATAGCTACCCGGAATCGCGTCATTCATTGGCTTGGGGTTGGAGACAAAGGTGCTTAGTGAATGAGGAGATCGAGTTGTTTTTGATCGCGTTCGAAGTGGTGAGAAACTGTCTGGAAAGTCCGATGAGACTAGTCTCAGATAATAGAGACCTGTTTTACAGTTCATAATATACATAGTATACAAGTCGTTATTAGGGTATAATGCCATAATGATCGTGCCTCTAGCACAGTGTATGAGGAGGGAACATAGAACGCCGTCAAAAAAATATTCAAGTCGCCACGAGGAGCGCCGTAAGCTGAGACAGAATGACACATTGCTGGAAAATCCTTGATAAAAGGTTGCTAGCATGCATGATGCTGCCGGACGCAAATCCGATGGCGGCTGAACAAACCAATTACAAGTGCCATAGGAGTACACCGATATACTTCTTAACCATCGTACAATCGCCAATTCTGAGTGGAGGAAAGATAGCTCGCATGTGATCCGAATCTAGAGGATACTGATGTTGCTGCAAATGCATTCGATCCAATTATTCGATCATCTCCTCGGGCGTCGGCGGACCATCCATCCCAATGCTCTCCAAATCGCGCCGTAAAATAGCCATATGCTCATCTCGGTTCTCGTTCCCCTTCCATTTGACAGCTTGTGAGTACCAAAGCATGTCCCAAGCGTCTTCGGGAATCATTTCGAGGAATCCAGGGACACGCTTAGCGCGCGAGTAAGCTCGCCAGAGAGCTTTCCGTACGTCTTCGTTCGCACCCATATAGGCGGTACGCAGGACGGCGTTGAGATGCTTGATTGCTGGATCTGAATCCGGCTTGAGGGCAAGGCGATTGAGTGCGACACGATGCTCAGGATCCCGTTGCGCGAGAGTGATGCGGTCTTCGATGGTCAAGATTGCGTTTGGATCTGTGCTGATACGTGTCTCCTGCATAGTCGATGGCGGGGTTTCGACGTCTGAAGCTGTAGTCGCTTCTAAGGCTATCGGTGGTGTCTGTTGATTCGAAAATTGTACGAGTCCTCTGTGCGCTCCTAAATCTTCGGCATCTTCCTCGCCCGGTTTAACTTTGAAGCCCTTCGATTTCTCGTATTCCCTCAATTCCCGGAGCATCACCGCGGCTTCTTCCTCATGCTCATTCTCATACTTTGCAAACTCCTTTTTTAGCTCAGGATCATCCAAGTCCTTTCCAATAACCTGCAATTGGGCCACAAGCTCCTCATCACTCATCCCTTCAACGAGCGGGCTGTCGCTCAAAGCATCCAGCTCTTGCATCTCCTCCCTCAATTGTTCCTCTCCAAACTCTTCATTTTCGACCTCCATATTCGGGAGCTCTCTCAATATCCTCTTCAACTCATCATGTTGATCTGCCATTTCTGGATCTTGCAACAAGTCCGCAATGACCTGCCTCTTCCTTATACGATCCAGCTCCCTCTCCTCTTTCCCCCATTTCCCGTCCCCCACCATATCCATCCTCATACTCCTCAGCTCCAATTTCGCATCCGCTAGGTCCGGATCTTTGATCAGATCGCTGAATATATCTGTCCGTGTATTGTCGTCCTCAACATCCAGACTCGCTTGTCTATGAGCCTCGGCCTGGTAGCGGCGGAGGTCCTCGGGGGTTTCAATGGAGCCAACTTTGATCGGTGCAGCTTGCCGGTCCGCATCTTGTTCGTAGAAGCTAATTTTGGGAATTCCAGCTTTGCTTTGCTTCTTCATCCGCAGCTTAGCAGCTTCGATTTGGGCGTTGATAGGGGAGGTGGTTCGTTGGACTCGGGGAGCTCTGCGGAGGATGGGAGTGGTGCATATTCGCCGTCGTAGAGATGGGGCTTGTGGAGCTCGATTGCGCAGACATTGGAACAGTGGTATCCTCAGAGGAGGCATTTCTATGCAAAACAATCAGAGCTGAGATGCATTGAGCGCGTTGGTGGTTGTGAAGTGATGGTGAAGGGTGAAGCTCGAGAATTTCGGGATCTCCATTACGTAAGCCACCCAGAGCCACCGTCCTCGTATCTTACCGTTCTATATCCCGTATCGACCCCGCCATCCAATCACTTCCCAATCGCAACTCCCTCAAGACAACAACACACTTCGTGAATCTCTCCATGTTCAGCCGCACCCAGAACTTCAGTCACCATGCAGACTGACCTTAGGTCCCCTGCATACTATGACCCAGCCCTCTATCCCATAGGCAAAGGCCGGCACTTGCCCACCTCCTGGATCTCCCAGGCTCTCATTCCTCAACGTGTTCCCTCCCCACCCCCCTCAACTCCCTTCCGCATCTTCGATCTCCCCACCGAGCTGCGCCTCAAGATCTTTCGCTATGTCCTCCCGCACCACTGCGTCATAGAGATCGGTCCACGCACCCTCAAGCCCTACCTCGCCCGTTCCCCCCGCACGCCCTCCTGCATGATCCGCATGCGCCTCACGCAGCTCCCGACCGACCTCAACGCGTCCCGCAACATTCTCGCCGTGTGCAAGAGCTTCAGGGCTGAGGCCGGCGACATCCTGTACGGCGAGAACACGTTCCGCTTCGTGGTCTCGCGCGACATGCTCGGCGCGAACAACATCGAGAACCCCTTCACCTGGGTGCCGGACGGCGTGCTGTCGCAGATGCGGAAGTGCGAGATCCTCATTTCGGAAGTCCTCGAGCGGCCAGCCGTGTATCGACGCGTGCGGCGGTGGTTGGAGCGCATGGTGCAGCGGATGGGTGAGGACTACGCGTTGCAGAGGCTGAAGGTGGAGCTGCTGAAGGGGAGATTGGTGCCGTGGGGTCATGCGTTCAATATGCGGGGCGGGACAGTACAGCGGTTCCGGCCGAGTGCAAGGGTGGAGGGGAGCAATGGGTATCAGTTCGTCCTGGAGCCGTTGGCGAGGCTGAGAGAGGTAAGGGACGTCAGGATTCAAGGCCACGTTGATGAGGGGTTCAAGGGAATGATTCAGGAGGTGATGGGAATGGAGAGGACCTGGGATGGATTGAATGCGAGAGTCTATCCGGAGAAGGTAGTGTTGCGGAAGAAGAAGGCAGGTGTGAAGAAGACATACCAGAAGATGTCTACGAAAAAGTTCTGGCAGCCGGAGTATGATTGGGGAGTCGTGGGCGAGGATGAGATCATGTCGAGCGATTAGGTGTTCGGGTTGCTTTGTCGATGGTTTGATGGCTAACCTGTCTCCTTGCGTGCTGTTTGTTGTCATGATACCCACCACTACCGGGGAGTCTCTGGTTCATCAAACTGGGTTTGAATTCCTTCTTCTAATTGCTTCAATATCAAGTCTATTCAAAACCAAACGTCTCACTACCTCCGATCCATTGTGTCTAGTAATCCTCATGTTCAATATCTCGCCTCCAGAAAAGAGTACCCATCCTTATCCGGTAACAATTGCCCAGGGGAGCCCACCATGGTACCTTACCACCCAAATCCACGCTCCACGCGGCCTGGGATAGACTCTCTCATCTTAGCCGTGTACAGGGCTGATTTGAAGGCTTCGATCCTTGACATCATGAGTTCATCGAGAGTCGAAGGGCCGGGGGTTGGCCCAGTATCATGCACATGGTCTCAAAATCAGAATCCCAGCCTCCTAGTTTAGGCTCTCATGTTACAGCAGTACAGCGGTCTAATCTAAAGGCTTTACTCCTTTACATCCTAAGGATTATCAGGTTCGGTAGGCCAAGGTGGTCCAGTACGCCTAGCGCTCTCACGAATTCAAGGTTTGTGATGCGGGCTCTAGAGAATAGCATTTGAATTGATAGTTTATAAAACCCTCAAAGGTGCCGGCCGTATTTACTCGCATGCTAAATTCAAATATCTAATATACAGCCTTCAGAAAAGAGAAACTCCAGTCAACCTTTACCATTCATCCAGAGGTGCCCCACGTACCCAACCTCCTCCCATATTCCAAGGTCCAACTTACGCCCTCGAGAAAAGTGTAATCTCCATCCAAAATCATGATCCATCCAGAGGTGTCTTCCACACCTATCCACTCCTGCAAAACTCCCTCTCAACCCCCCCAAATCATCCCCTCCTCTCCAACTCCTCCATCTTCTCCCGGTTCTTCTTCTCAAACTCGTTCATCCTTACGATCTCTCTCCACGGCACGCTGCCCGGCGCCTCCCGGAACCTCCGCTTGACGTCCATGCAGTATGCCTCCGCCGAGCAAACGCACCACTTCCCCACCAAGACCTCCACCGTCTTGGCCGCTCTTTCCCTCACTTCCAACCCCATCCCACCTTCCGCGCACTTCTTCCGCAACTCCACCCCTTTCTCGCTCTTCTCCCACACCGTCGCCTCCTTCCTCACCGCAAGCACCACAAACTCCAACTTTACCGGCAGATATGGCCACGCTTTGGTTATATCTTGAAATCCCGCCACCGCCTTCTCCCACCTCATCGCCCCCATCATCTGCCCAAACGCCTCGAAAGCGTACAGCTGCACCGCGATGCGCTGCACCTGCGCATAGCTCCGCCGCACCCGCATCCGCGTCAACACGCCGTCGAAGAGCGCCGCCAGCGCCGCCACGTCGAGGGGTTCGCAGTTGTTGACGGGCGCAATGAGGATGTTCCGGAAGTAGAGCGCGGGCCAGAGGACGAGCGGGATGGGACACCACGGCTGTACGGGTAGGTACAAGGTCGTGTACTTGCGCAGGATGGGGAGGGCCTCGTCGTGGATCTGGCGGCAGGTCGCGAGGAGGTTTGCGGCGGGGTTTGGGGCGGGGAGGTCGGTCGCTGTGTTGCAGTCCGAGCACGTGGCGTGGTGCACGGCGTTGTGTTGGCACACGTATGGGGTGACCTCGACGGGGAGGGCCCAGTAGTAGATCTTGTTTCGCAGCTCGGCGGGAAGGTCAAGGAGGCGGAAGGGTCCTGTGATGGTAGAGTGAGTGGCCATTGTGGGCGCGCTTTAGGTGGTTGTTGTGGTGCTTGAGGCTGTTATTGTTGTAGTTGTTGGAAAGAGGAAGAGTAGAGAGTGTGGAGGAGAAAAGAGGTTGTAGCTGTCAAGTGCTAGAAGGATGGAAGGCCTCTCTTATACGTGAGATTGCGCTAGCGTGGTGCTAGCGACTAGCGTGAATCGTATTACTAGAGGGCGGTAGGAGTATGGACTGAAGAAGAAGTAAGGTGATTGACTGTTGTGCGTGTGCTGCCTGTCTGCAGTTAGCGATGTCAGGGCTCTATTCACCCACTTTGCTATGCGCTATAGCATTCGAATCTGACGCCCTGGACTTTCCAGCATATTTGCAGCAAACTGACAGCTTACCTTGAACCCACTACCTTGATTTGTGAAGGGTTTGTGCTTGTCCGGAGCAGAATCGCAAGGTGGTGAGTGCTTTGGCGAAAGCTGATGTTTCAGAAATCTTTGGAGAGGCCGTCATAGTCTAGAGCTGGCCATATGTACCTTTGTTGAGCTATTGGCAGGCCTATAGGGCTACTAGAAAGCATAAGGTGTTGTCGCTGTAGTGAAGTTGAATGTGTAGCTGTGAAGTGTTGGAAGGACGGAAGGCGTAGATTTATAGTTGGGCCCGTGCGAGCCTGAAGTACAGCTAATAGAGGGCGGTAAGACTGTCGATTGTGGACAGAAGGTGAAGTAAGTATGACGCCTGTGGTCATGTGCATGTGTGTTAGCTGGTCGGCATTGTAGACATTTAGTTCATCCAACTGGTACCTTGCACTCGCTAATTTGTGTATTTTAGACCACTCCACCGTCTGAACCTCTGACGCATGGGCATTCCTAAAGTTAGCTGCTGGTTTACTGGTACCTTACTGTCTGCCTTATTTTATGCAAGGCGATTTGTGGGCGGAGCGGGTTGTTAAGGTGTTGTGTTTGGAGAGAAACACTGTTGAGGGTTGGACTATTCGATCGGGTGCCTTATTCCTTGCACTTCTACTTTCCTTTTTGTTGTTGTGTAGGAGCCGTCTAGGAGGGCGCTCTGCTAGACTCTAGAGATGTTTTCAAGAGGTGCATTATAGGTAGAAGTACGGCGCTTAGTGAGGTTGTGAGTGAAGGGCGTTACAAGCTCGACAAGGCTGTGAGGCGTTGGACTCTCTGCCAACACGATAGGGGGTTAGTTTAAGGTCTAGTAGGCGCTTCTATCACTTCACTTCATGAAGCCCTGCTGCTAGAAGAGGTGAAGTAGTCTCGACAGATGGATTAGGTCTGTCACCTTGTCCGTCTGCAGATTGGTGGTGTAGCAAGGAGTTGTCGTCGGTGATCGTCCTGACAGTGAGCGAACTGTTCAGACCTCCTATGAGGTGAAGAGCTTAGGCTGGATATCACAACTTGGATCCGGCGGCGAAGAACAGTGATTTAACTGATGTAGTTAAGCTGGAGATTCGCCAAAGTAAGTGGTTGTTAACATGATAGAGATGGAGGAGTCGACATGAGTCGAGATTGTGGAGTTGAGATGATGGACTTTCACGCTTGAAAAGAACCTCAGAAGGCCATGATCATGGAATCTGATACATGAATTGAACTATGCTACAAGAAGCTGACGCTACCTATGTAAATGCTTCGCTGAACAATTCGACGCCTCTAGCTCTCCTACCAAAAGCAAAAGCGATATTCATTTTCGCGACGGCGTTACCAATCTCGCTTGCCATCCCAATATTGGCACAGACACCGACAATCTGCGAGATTTCGTGCGTTGCCGGCAAGACAGTGTCTAGAATTGAAGAGACGTTTGGACGTTGTCCGTAGAAGCGCTGAATTGTATCGTCTAGGTGATTTTTTTGGGCGCGATGTGACTGCATAAGAGGCCGCTCCGCCGCCGCAAAAGTATCCACATCCATCGGCGTCATCGATTCGTCTGCAACGTTTATGTCTCTGTGGATGGAGAGAGCCGTCAAAGCAAATCCATCTCCATCCGCGGACACGAGAGGATTTGTATTGTCCACCTCCTCATGATCCTCACCATGCAGACTTGAGGTCGCCGACGCTCCCCCAGCAGTATCCATAGGGCACAGTCCGCTCTCTTCCATCCCTTGACTTATGGAATATGGAGACGTTACAAAGATCTGGATACTGATTTCGACACCAGTTTCTCGAAGTTTGGCTGCATGCGTCTTCAGCAGGGCTGTGACAGCCTCGTCAAAGCCGGCGCAAAAGTGTCGTGTGACCCAAATAAAGTCGATTTGCTTCAGTTGCAGGGTTCTGGAAGATGGCCGTTTGGCCACGGCCGCTCTTGCGAGGTGGTCCATGATTGAAAGCGTGAAGGAGACGCCCGTCGAGGAGGCTATGAGGCAGACCTTCTCGTAGTTGGTCCAGGATGGCGGAGCACCGAAGGGCCCGTCAATGATTGCAGTGCGATGGACGCCTTCTTGAGCAGTGGCGATCAGTCTGCGGGTGAAGCGTCGATGAGACAGGACGAAGAGGTCCAAAACGCGGGAGTCCATGTCTAAGTCATCATTGTCGTCTATATCAGCTTCCGCCTCAAAATCTTGCTGGCCGGCTTTCTTAGACACCGAAGTCGTAGGAAAGTAGCAGGTTGCTGGCGTAAACGGGTGGAACTCAAGAAGCCCCAATCTTGGAACGCATGTTCGAATGTGCTGCCCCGGTCTCCAGCTGAAGGGCAGTTCACGGAGACGGAGATGTGTGATCGTACCCTGTCCATGTACGAGAGAATAATCAGTATCTGAATAAGTCTCCACTTCGGCAAGATGACCGAATGAGACACCTCCGCTCGCATGATCCTTGTCCTCAAGTTCAGACGAGATCGCCGCATATCCGCTTCTCCAACCCGCAAATTGAAAGTTGTTGCGAACTACGTTCATCATTCGGAAGAGTATATCGAAGCCGATGATCATCAATGACAGATAGATGTTGTATCGGGCATGCTTCGGGATATGCAGCCAAAGCAGGCAAAGGAATGCCGTGGTCGATACTAAATGATTGAGGTAGAACCATTTGTAAGCCCAGCGTCTGAGAGGAAGCATACTCGTAACCGCAATCCACACCAAGACACCATACGCACCAAGCCCGTGTCTTACTACCTTCATCATGTTTAACTCAGTCCGGACTACGCCATATGATATCCACAGGGAGAAGAAATAGCCCATATGCACGGTGGTGCAGATGAACAGTATTCGGCCGATCCAGCGATGCGCCCAGTTGATTCTCTCGTATGAGAACCCCGCGAGGGTATTGAGAGGGCCAAACTTGGTAGCGAGGAGGTAGATTAGCGGAATTTGGGTGATGGAAACCCATCCGGCGCGGAAGGCGATGTCCTCGATGAAATGGGTCGATGATGTGGGTGTACGGATGACTCTGATCATGAAACCAATGACAGTCGCGTATGTCGCGAGGAGAAAAATCTTTCCAGAAGAGAATCGGGAATACTGGATCCATGAGATATCGAGAGATGGCGGAATTGAGAGTGATCCAACGCCGGTAGCGAATGCTTGAGTCCGTCCAAGCAAATTATGAATGGAGGACAACGTCGGACTAATCTCAGGGAGTTCCAAGTCTCCAATACTCAAGCTAGAAGATCTGTCAGCCACGAAAGAGAATCGGAATGAGTTCTGGCGTACCGTTGACGAGCGATGTACCATCCTAGCGCCCGGAAGCATGCCTTCAGCAAGACCAACGCCAAAACAACACATAGAAATGATACAGCAACTTGTTGATTGTCCTTCGAAAGACCATGGGAATGTCCCTCATGTCTTTTCGTTGCAAACATCATTGTAAAAGTCACGGTCGAGACGAGTGTGCATGTTCGGTCGTCGGAGTTTGCGTTGTAATAACTAGGTGTCCGCAAACATTCGGACAGTGAGAAATTGATACGGCGCTTATATGAGTATGGCTTCTTGATGAGGTATCTCGACAAGTCTACGCGGCTCCTCGTACGCTGGTGATGGATGTCCTCGGAGAAAGTCGCCAATTCTTGCGGCGATTTTGACTCTTCTCTTGGTTTGTCTTTGTTCGCGACCGGCCAGTAGAGACCAGTCAACTTGACTAATGCTAACAAGATGAGCTCTCAGTCGTGTTTGGATGCACTGACGAGCTTGAGATGGAGAAAAGATGGAGGATGAGTTCATGAAGTGCAGAAGGAGTCCCCAAAGCCGGAAACCAAGTAGTCATGAACCTTGGCTCTTCTTGAACGTAAGCAAAGCTTATTCACTATGCTCTCTTTGGCATAGCCGAATGCAAAGGCGTTAGAATGGACCGTCTCGGATGTAAACTTGCTCAATTGCGCGCAATGCGGATGCCGGCCAATAGCAACGTGCCATTATTGAAGAATGAACAAAGAAAACCCCCTGACAAACGTGCGCCTATAGAATTCGTGTATAAGCTGTAAGCGGCGGGACGTCGTGTGTTTATGGACGATTTCGCGATGGGATGAGGGTTGAAGGGCAATGGGGCTGAAAAGCGATGACTTCAGTCAGGTGTTTTCGCGATGTGCCAAATGGGGGTAATTCACGTGAGACGTCATCCCAACAATCTCTGGCATCAAACGTCCTTCAAGCACTGAAACCCTTTCGGATGATTTGGCTATTTCAATTGACTTTCGGTGCGGTCAATCGTATTGCGGCTCGCCTTAGATCTTTGACTGAGCTTCCAGTGTCTACACCGTAAGACCTCCCAAATGTGAATGGCCATAAAGACCTTCGATCTCTTCTAACACGTGGAATCAAGTGCCTACTAAAAGTGACATATGTGATTGCTTCCACTGGTCTCGATAGTGCAGCCTTATTATAAGCAGCGATTTTCTCAACTATCTAGGTACTTCTCCTCTCAACAACCACCACTTTGGCACGGTAGTAAGTTCGTCTCGGTACCCCGCTTTCATACTGCATAGTCCAATACTCCACCAGATACTCCCAATCAGTACTCCATCGATGAACTCGCTAACAAACGCCTTAATTTACATGCCAGGTACTAAGATGTCTGACTACTTCCACAAGCCCTTCCGTCCCATCGACCTGCCCGCCGAGCTCCGCGTGGAGGTCTACTACTGGACCCTAGCCACCACTCCCGTCGAGCCTTTCCGAGCCACTTGGTGCGACTGTACAGTCTGTACCGACAACAACAACCTCCACCACCCCCTCGAACGAACCGAAGTCGGCGAACCTTCCACCCGAAGCAACCTCTTCGTGGCCTGCAAGCAGGTCCACGCCGAAGCCGCGTGGTCCTCTACAGGCGCGGAATCTCCGAGTGCCCCGCCATCTGCTGTCCAGATCGTCTTGGCGATGTCGTGGAGTACTGTTTACAATTCGAGCGGATGATTATCTCAACACACCGCGCTAAAGACCCCTCTTGGTCAATCATTCCCGGCACTGTCGTAGAAGTGGTCGGCCGCGTTATGAACCGCACTGAGAGCTTGGGGGCTGTAGACAAGAAAATCACAATCAGCTTCCCGGGTGTGGAGGCTGGCAAGCCAGGTGAGCTGATTGACAATCTTTCTGACGATCTGTCAGCAGCGGAGCAGCGCCTGCGCAAGACTCCGGTGGTGGAGAAGTGGCGTGTCGTGCTTGCTGTGCATTGCCAATGGAAGGAGAAGAAGAACAGGCACTTGGAGGTGCTTTGTGGGGAGGAGCGGTCTGAAACCTCTCAGGTCCCAGGGTATGAGAAAGGCATGTCGGAATTGATTTCGGATTGGTTGCAACGCGGTCCTGGCGAACGCATCAGGCCGCACTTCGAGAACATTGGGTTTGAATTCGAGGTACGCTACAAGTAGGGGAGTTATAGGTAATTTACATGACACATTTTGAGGGCGTTGAGGGCACTTAATATTCTATTTCTGGAGTTTGCTGACAAAAGAAACAACAGAATACAGAACTACGTCGTAAGTTCAGGCACATGAACATACCATTGCTCGAGCTCGACCTCTGCTCTCATGATGCCACCGTAAGGAGTGGCTCAGCTAGCAAGTAAAGGGTCAGGCAAGAGACAGCCTAATCCTCACTATATCAAAATATGACTTCCCACTCAACTACGCCGTTGCGCTCATTTCTCCGCCGGATTTCTGGGATGCTTCAATCTAGGCTGCAACCCAACGCCTCTTTCCCTCGTCCAGCTATCCAACCGTTCCCAATCGACGCATACTCGCGAGCTATTCGTCTTCGTCTTCGGCTTCCTGGTATGCTCCTCGCCCTCTTCAGGCCATTGAAACGAATACAGTGCGACATTCGCGGCGCACATCAGGCTTAGGCGGATGGACTCGATACAATGATTCAAATGTGCCAACTCGTAAGCGTTCTCGGGGTCGGCTGGGGAGGTAGACAGATGTGGGTAGTAGTGATAGGAGTGGAGGTACAGTTTCAGACGGCGCTGTAGCGGTCAGCTTCTCTGTTCCGCCGATGCGAGGGACGAAAAAAAATAGAGTCAAAGAGTGGGAGTCATACCAAGCAATGCAGTTCATGGTATACGCCAAGTGAAGTCATGTATCCGCCCCCTTCAAACATATCCACAGATTGCTCAGGATTCTCGCCGGCTAGGGACATTTCTTCGTAGGATGAGCGCATGAGTGCGGCTGCGAGGGTCGATGTCAATCATAGCGGGACTACTGAGCGGATGAAGATGTGAGGAAGGAAGAAAGGTAGCATACGCGTCACCAGATTCAACCACTTCTCATCATGCTCTTTGGATGGCATGCCGCCCATCGCTTCGTCATATTGCGCGGACTTCACTGTCATGCGGGAGAGAGCGGACTTTGCAGGCGCTACGGAGGTCAATTTGCATAGCCACGAAGAATCGGAGAAGAGCTCACAATAAGAGGAGTCGAGAGGAGATAAAATGTCGGACGGTCGATCTTCGAATACACAATCACCTCGGAAGGCGACAGTGGCGAGGAAACTGAGTAGAACGAGGAAACATAGGGTAATGAACGTCGTATAAATGAGGAGGTACTGAGTAAACTGAGACACTGTGCAATATTCATCGCTCTCTAAATCCGGTATTCTATCTCCATCGTCGAAGGATAACGAGGAGGGAAGAGCGGAGCTTTCGCAAGAGTCTTTCGCTTGGAGCTTTGAGTATTTTACTTCACTCATGATATACGCTACTAAGAAGAAGCAGTACGGATGGACTTCAAAATGGGGAGACGAAGATTTTAGAGCGAGCTGAAAGCAATGCGATGCCGTAGTAGGGTAAGATCTCGAAGCTGGCAGATATGCATCCTCGCCAACCTTCATTATCCTCGACGTGGACCTTCCCACACCATTACACCAACCAGGATACGACATGCTGTACAACTACTTCTGTAAATCTTCGTGTCAAAATCTTCGTGTCAATCCCACGACCTCGTGATTGTTATTGCACCCGAGGCGATCACAGGTCCTACTTGAGGTTCACCGGCCGATATCGAGAATGATCCCCAGCATGCAGTGTGGACTGATAGCAAGGTTGCTTCACGACTAAATGAGTGGACTGATTGCCGAGCTATGCAGGAGCGGGCCGCATCCTGCAAGCCACTCGTCTGACGTGAGATCGCACAAATTGCGGGGGTGGTACTATGCTCACCGCATCCCAGTGAACGATAAGGCATGTTCATGGAATATCCTCCGACCTATCCCCTCCCAAAGGCGGTCAAGATCCTCTGGCAAGTCCAGAAAAGAGAAGATATGATATTAGGAATGTGACCAGATGACGGTCTCGCAAAAGCTAGGGGATTTGGAGATCGCAGTTTGGGTACTAGAGTTTGGAGTAGTACGATGAGAGCAGAGTTCTGCTACACTTCAACGTTGAAACTACTAACGAGACGTGGTCATCATATCTTGATGCTCTTAAGCAGAACAACATCGAGATATCTTCACAGTTCATCCATCCCCTTTGCTCAACCATTTCACCAGCGAGAAGATATACTTTTCAGTATCTCCAAAACGACTCCCAACAAGCCGAACAGGCCCCAAGGGCACAACATGCAATTTCAAAAGCTCACCCTTCTTCTCTTGGAGTTCTCTGCATTGCCAACGCTCGCCCTATTTGCTGAAGGTCACCCAATCGAAGCGATCGACGATGGTAAGATTCCTAGAATATCCGTGAAATCATCACGCTAATGCACACTATAGGCGACGTCTGTCCTACAAAGCCCCCAACGGGAGGCTCAGATATTTCTATCGATGGTGTCACGTGTCTGTAACTATCAAATCCTCGGGTTGTTGAGTGGAGGGAGCCTGTAGCAAGGGTAAGGCATCTTTATTGGAGATTAGGATAGCAGTGTCGGAGACGATCAATGCCTGAACATTTCAATATATTCTGTGATGCTGTCTCAATGCCTTAATCTAAACTCCGCCCGGTCAAGTCTAGGGTCTTGATGAGGCATGATGTACATGCGTGATGCAACTTGGGCCTAGAAGAGAGCATTATGTTGACGACCTATCCTGAATTTCGATCCTTGAATGAGTAGGGTTGACAAAAAGAGAAGAAATGTCCCTGCCCATGCTAAGAATGCTATTTGCTCTATAGCTTGTTGGTCTTATAGAACAAGGTGTACCGGGAAGCAACTTGAGTCTACGTTTCTGCAGGCCGCCGTTGCAGATATCTATGCAAACTCTGTTTCGTAATCCCCTGCCTTAGCCCATTCTTGGTCCGATGCTGTTCCTTAGTAGATAGTGCTGGATGCTGGCAAGCACAGCATCAACGACGTGGACTGGTGACTCGTTCCCAGAAGAAGAGTTGGGTTGAACAGCGTTAGGATTTCAAATGACACGGCAAAGAACCGAGTTTTGTGTCCAGTACCGCAACATAAAATGGAACTCAAATACGACAAATGCTTCCAGCCCCCAGCTCCAGTTCCCAAATACGAACCCGTCTCCGCACTTACGACTTCAGCCTCCAATATTCTCTTGTCAAGCCACTCACAAAACTTCGTCCGGTTTCGTAAAGTCCGACTACCCGACAAGCACCACCACGATTGCAAGAATCTGTCAACATGAAAAGCCTACACATCATTATCATCGCCCTATTCGCTGGCTTCGCCGTAGCTCGGCCAATCGTCGACAACGGTGATAATGGTAAACGCCCTAGCCCTTGGATAATTTATTGATGTACCTCATTGACTCATAGTATAGTCGAAAGTTGCGATGGCGCTGTGCATCAGCCCGGTGAAAAACCGACTACAGGTGTCCAGTGTCTGTAGAGAGTGAAGCATTCGGAGAGCTTGACCGGAGGTAACAGAATGTCCGCAAGAGCATTGAACGGTAGTGCCAACGGAGGCGAAAACAGCGTTATCCTGGGCATTCAATCTATTCTTGCTTCAGCTCCATTGTCCCCTGTGAGACCTGTGTAAACCAAGAGACGCGAAGTACGGCAAGGATGCCCAAGAGGGTATGGCGTTGTTCTTTGTGTCTCCCACTACAAACCTCGCGGATGAAAGATACGAGATCCTGCATTTGGAATGGGGGTAAGTGTGAGGAGTTTGGCCGCCGCATCGTATACGCATACAGTACCTAGTTTGGAATGTAGGACAAGCAAAATGGATTCTTCAGCTTCACCCCGGCTCTGAGCAATGTCAAAGCCAGACCCTGCGCATGCGTCTTGACCGACATTCTAGGCTTCATGCCGTGTCACCGCCTTGAAGAGCTCGTGGCCATCCATCTCGCGTCCTCCGTCTGTGAAAATCTGCAAATAACTGGTTCACACTTTCATTCGAGCGAGCGCAATCAATCATGTCTTAATTCCTAATGCATTTCGCACCAAGTCTACTGTATATTGTTGACGCATATCACGCTGAGGTAGCATCAAATGGCATCTCTATCCCCTTTTCGAATTCTCCTCCGAAGCGCTTTGATGCGCTCCGCAGACCCGTATTGCCGAGTCGAAAGCCTTTCCTCAGCCCTCACTTGCTCGCATCCACTTCCACAACCGGGCCCGTGTACGACCGATTGCCCCAAACCAGGTAGTACACCACCCCAAAGATCAGTACGGCACCCACCATGAGCGAGCTGTAGTTCATCAGATCTGGCGTCGGGTTTGCCTGCGTCGGCCAGAAGCTGAAGACCAGCATGACGAAGAGATAGATGCATCCAAACGCGTTTACGATGGTTCCTAGCGGCTCCGGGATCTTCCAGGGGCCCCAGACAAGGTGGTCGGAGTCGATGGTATTGCGGAGAGTCGTGTCGGACGCGGAGTAGGGCCTGACGCCGCCGGTGAGTCGGCGGTAGAGGAGAAGGCTGTTACCGAGGAGATAGGAGGTGTACAGGCCGTTAATGGCCAGGGAGACGACATCGTTGAAAGCCACGGCGGAGCCGAGACCGATTAGGGAGAGGAGAATGGCGGTGATCATGGTCAGGGCGATAGATACTAGGGGTAGGGTGGTTCTGGGCTCAATCTGATTTCTGAGTTTAGCGCTTGATTTGGTGATGTGACTCTTTCGTAAGGATAAAGGGGACTGACTTGCCTTGCTCAACGTTGCCCAGCCAGGAGTCCCTCGATCACGTGCAAACGCCCAAGTCATGCGCGAAGCCGTGGCGACGAAGCTGATAGTTGCGCAGATGTTCAGGGTCGTGATGAGGGCGGCCATAGTCAAAGCCCCGGGCAAAGAACCAACCGCCTGTTTGAATATTGCCATGAATGGATAGCCGTAGGGACTAGTGAGGACTTCGTCGGCATTACCGAGACAAAAGAGCGCGGCAATGAGCATCCCGAGTCCGAGGGTTCCGTTGAGTAGGACACTGAAGACCATTGCACGCGGAACATTGAGGGCCGGGTTGTGTATCTAAAATTATGGATATTACTATCAGTCAAACAGATCAACTAGTATATATAACATACCTCTTCCGACATGTGGACTGCGCTATCCGCGCCTATCAACGTCAGCAGCGGAATAAATCTGAGGAGCTCTGCAATGATCTTACCCAGAAGATTGAAAGTTTGACCAACCGTCCCCACCATGAACGAAAGACCCTGTGTCGGCCATTTCCCTCCATTGTAGAAGGATGTAAACACCAACTTAGCATGTCCATGCGGGCCGAAGTAAACCAACGGAATCAGGATGGCGAAGAAGCCGAAAGTGTGTAAGATCAGAATGAGACTCTCAATGTTCGGCAGAAGCCTGCTAATGACCGTGTTCACGGAGATTGCGAAGACGATGGTAGCCCAGTAGAAAAGCATCGTCTGCCACGCCTTGGGGGCGTAGTCGCCATCGTTCATGATGATAAGTCCTTCGATGAGAGTGGCGCAAAGAAAGCATCCGGATGCAACGATTGCTTGCCAGCCGGTGACGGTGAGCCAGCCTGGACGAGTCAGCTTTGTGGAGTGGGATTTTGGGTTTGAGATCCTACCAACGAGATAGCTGAGGATTTTGCGGGATGATTTCGGGGCAAGCATAGAGACCCAGTGATACTGGCCTCCTGCCGTGGGCGCCCTGGATGAAGCGGTCAGCGATGATGTACTATTGAGTGCTTCGAAGGATCTTACATGGATGCCAACTCGCCCATCGTGGCGAACGTCGTCGCGGTACCAGCCCAGACCAGCATGTATTCGTAGACCGAGCCAGCGTACCCGCCATTGTTGAAGCTGATGGAGAAAAGACTGCTCAGGGGTTAGATTTCGAAGCCTTCAAATCTGCGGTCATGTGCTCACAGCAAAACTCCCTCCCAAGTGATCATGACGGTGCAAGCAAACGCCAGCATGGAGACGAACCCAAAGTTGCGCTAATCTTCTCATCAGTCAATGCAAATATGAGCTTTGAAGAATTGTATACCTTCAACACAGGCTTCTTCCCTAGTCGCGCGAGATCCTGATTGTCCTTCTCCTGTCTCGAGGGCTCTGCCGGGTGCTCCGCGACCGCCACACCTTTGTCGTCCAGAGAGCGGAGCTGCATCGAGCCCGCCATGATTTGCGATGAGGTGTCTTCGAGCGGGGTCTGCAGTGAGCAGGCAGATGTTCGAGACAGGTTGTGTCGTTGATGTTGAAGTTGAAAGGTTCCTACACGGGATTCGAGGTTGCACTAGCGTTGTGGAAGTTGACGCGCGTGGTTGGCGGACCGAACGACGCAGAGGATCTGTGTTACTAACTCGCATTCCGCTGCGTTGACCTACCGGAGCGGTATCGCAAACGATATAGTAGGATTTACTCTTATTCTGATTGGTCTCTAACACGCGGATGCAATACTTACTTCTTCTATGCATCATGTACTGCAAGGTGCCTCTGCACTCAACGCGTAACCTCCCAAATACGAAATGTAAGAATTAATCTTCTTCGTAACATGTGAACTAGCATGCCGAAGACCGTCGCACGCTACGCATCAGAACATAAAGGGTTGCAGCATCTCGTTGCACAGGACCGTATTCCAGATCCCACTAGCCACCCTGGCGCGGTGCCACTCCAGACCCTCTCACAGAGAGTGCAGATGATCAATCCCTAGCAACGCTGTGCACCCCGACTTCTACCACCTTCCTTCACTACGCGTGTTCGTGCTCCGCTGTCCCGCTGCTAACCCTGTAGCTAGTCGTATGCCGAATGATCTTTGTACGGCTAGACTGACTCTCGCGATCCCACCCCCCACCACCTTGACCCTCCTGACCTGCATCTGAAGACACCACGGCGTGGCTCCAGCCCTTGCCTGGGGGTACGACGGGAAGCGCGGTGAGTTCGTGATCGTCTGACTCCAATGCAAAGCTGTCCGTAGCGGCGGTGGAACTGGAGAACTTGCTGGCCTTCTTGGGACCCGAGCCGTACGTGGCGGTCGAGCCTTTGGTGCCGTAGGTACCGGTGACCGTACCTGCGCGGCGCCGCTGTATGTCGTGGATGCCGAGCATGCCGGAGCTGGCGCCCTCGATGAACGGGCGGAGGTAGGGGCCGCAGGCTGTGATGATGCCCAGGGTTTGGATGATGGTGACGAGGAGGGCGAAGGTCCAGGAGATGAAGGGGTCCTCGGTTCGAGTATACATGGTGGCTAGCTGGCCTATGGATGCGGTCACGACCCTGCAGCTGTCAGTCTTCACCCGTAGATTTGGTTTGACAGACTCACAGAAGCCTGCTCATGAAAAAGGCGATGGTGATGGCTTTTTGCTTCAATTCGAGTTGAAGCCCGAGTATTATCAAACTCGGGAAAATCGCGAGAGTTGAGTCGATGACGATGTTTAATACTTCGACGTAGGTGTAAAAGGCAAGGCGATGGATGCATCGATTGTTGACGAATATCCACGGGTTAGGAAGACGGCACTGAAAAGCGAAGCCGAAGACCGAAGAGGCCATCCAAATCGTACTCGTTGCGCCAATAGAGTATGCGAATCTTTGCTGCTTAATGTCCGGAGTGATTGAGATGATGAATGAGATGATGGAGAACTTCGCGAAGAACTGCCCGAGCACGAAAAGGATTGTAAAGGCGTAGATTGACTAAAATCAAATAAGCAGACGATTCGACAACCTGACATCGGGTCGCAAAAAGGCTGGTGTTTACCTTCTGCTGCGCAACGCTCTGGGTGCTAATGAACTGGCTTTCTAGCTGACCGAGGCCATGTCCTACGCCTATAGAGACCGCAACCGTTTGAAGAATTGACAAAACCTGAAGGAATGGTAAGTCGAGGGACGTGGCGTTCATGTATCAGCTTGAAAATACTTACCATGGAGGCCAAAATGAAGGCATCGTCTATCCCAAACGATCGCGATTTCACCCATCTACTGAACAAACGTGTTAGTATGATCCCAGTGATAAGAACTACGCAAAACCATCCGAAAACGTTGATCAGGGACCGATGATCGTCTCTGGAGTCTAGAGGGTGTGAATGCGAGTCCTCCATTGTGTCCATTTGGCACCGCGAAGGGTCTGATTTCGCTCCAAGATAACCACGAAGATGCCTTTCACGCCCAGGATGGCACCATTGACGGGTGCTACAACAACGGTGCTCATGTAACACCAACCGGCGTGTCGATGCACGAACACGAGGCGTCTGCTCGACCACGGTAGTGACTAGACTACCCCAATCAGCAGACGTCACGGTAAGGAAATGAATGCATTTCCACTTCTGGCCGATTGTATTCAGCGCTTTTACGGGACTTTGCAGGCACGAGTTCGGCCTTCGAGGGGTCCTCAACGTGTTCTAGGCCTGCAATAACGGGGTGCCACCGCAACGGTGTGGCTCAGCCTGTGCCGCCTCACAGCGGCTAAGGCGTCGAAGCAGTCACCCACAGGCATGTCAAGCTGTACTTACCCTACCTCGTAACTCACACGGCGTAGCTCAAATTCAGGCCTTCGGCCTACCCCTCTTCTTAAGATCTGCCGAAATAGGGCAGATCCAGCCCCTTGGCGGTGCAATATGCAGGTACAAGAGCGCGAAGATCCAGAACATCTTCGCAAAGGGTTGACGAGGAGACTGATTAAGTGGAAGTTGAAGAAGAAAAGGAAAAGTGGAGTACACGCGCGAAAATTTCGCAAAAGTGAAGCACTTCCAGTATCAGTTACTTTTGATAAGACTGCCTCAATTTTTCCGCTATCAACTCATCGACACCACCAGACGATCCAAATGAGGGCCCCAGCCGCCTCCATCTGCGGCACTGATCAATAGCTTGTTACCCCCCTGGACTAATTCAACGAGCCAAACTTGAGCTCCCTGGCTCGTTGCCAGATTCAGAGGGTAGAAATGCTATTCTCTGCGCAGCACCCCGTTTACGGTCACATCTGCATACCGTTCGCCCCTATCGCCATTCCAATGCGTTATGCTGATTGTTGTGCGCGTGTTAACATAGCTATGAAGCTTCCCGGACGCTTTCGACGTGGTCGGGGAAGAGGTGGTTGGTGCTGGCGACGGAGAGGTAGTCGGCGGACAAGAGGTTGATGCGGAGAGGGACCATCGGAGGCATGCGGGGGTCCATACGTTTGTCTATTCAAATGGAGTCAGTAGACACAGGATGATTCGAAGAATGTTGTACTCAAAGGGAGGCTCACAGCTGTCCAGGTCGCCCCCGGAATGATTTGCAGCGAGCAGCAAGCCCGCCTCACCACCGCGAAAAAAGACGGGAAGGGCGGCAAGCAAACACATTCTGGGGATCTCATTGCTCTCTCGCCGAGTAGAAGTTGGTGACGGGAGTCTTTTCAATCCTTCGCATTCACCTACACGGGGTTCTCTATCAACATTCCCGCCACTTCCTCCGCTCCATCATAGTATGGTATCCCTGCTTCCTACGCCGCCGATTATCGATACTGAAAGATGAACATAAATGGTGAACAAGGTTCCCCAGAAGAAAGGTGCACAGGGGTCGAATGTTATGCCGAGCGGCTGAGTAGCGTTTGCGGGGGTTCTGCGGGTATGCACGAACATCCGATTGGGCTGATCGAACGAGCTGCAAATGACAATGTTTTGTTTCAAGCGGCCCTGATTAGATGGAAACATGAAAACAAATAATTTACGTGATGCGTCGTGGGCGAGAGGGGATACTGATGCTGCGAGGGCTCCTTGATTTGCCGACTTGAGCACAGCGTCACGGAGGTCCGTTCACGATCCATCACAAACCAACCTCGACCATTGAATGGAACCTCTACTGTTCCTGTTCCTCTGCGTCTTCCCCAAGTGAGAATTGACACGCCAGGAAGAAAAATACGTAATACCTTTTCCGATGTCTTCCCTGTGGTCTGCCTCGAGCCTGGACCACGGTTCCACCCCGATCTCAATTTCATTCCATTCGGCGTCATATGCTACTTTGGAGTCGCGAAAAAGGTTCGAGATGTCCTCCTGACATTTTGTGCTTGGTTTGCGTTTGCGGGGATGTCACGACCGTCGCACCTGTGTCTTTTACCGCGCTGTCAACAACTCATTTATGAGTACCGCTTTCCGGTCTTCTAAACCCAGCAATTCAAATTCGAAGATTTGAAAGAAGAGAACACAGCTTCAAGAGGATATTCAATCATACCAACGACACCAGCACGATGCAGCTACCAACCACAACTCTTAGCCTCTTCCTATCGCTCCTAGGCTACGTCTCCGCCTACAACATCTGGACATGCTCGGAACCAAACTTTGGGGGGGAGTGCCGACTCATCACCACCGGGTGGGGAGGATGTAACGACTTGGGCGACTGGTATGAAGCGTCCTCACGATATTCCTCCTCTACTTTCACTCATAGCAACGCAGGGGCAAGCAGATATCGTCAATCGGTCCTGATAGTGGAGGCTGGTGCGACTTTTGGCCAGCCGGGAGTCCGTCATGTCATACAACGGCCGGATACTGGAAGTACATCACGTACCCGGGCATCGCAGATCTGGGGGCGGATGCGCCTGCTTTGAATAAGAACGTCGGGACCTATTATTGCTATGCAAGTTGAAGAGAGCAGTGAGCTGAATAGGACCTCGAGTTGGCAGGCCATGAGAAGTCTAAGGTCGATGAGGAGCTGATGGATGATGATGGTGTTGTTTCGCGATGCCGCAAAGGGGGAGGCAAAAAATTGGCGGGGGAATAGTGTGGTTTTGTGCTCGGCAGCACCAAGATTAGCAAACTTTCCACATTCCTACAGCCTGTAAACAGCTGCTGCCCAGATTTCTCGTCGTGAGGTACATATAATTAAGAGGTATAGTTTGCAGTGATGTCATGCAAGTGGTCCTCTCATCCGGGAGCAAATGAATTGATTTCAAGACGCTGGTGTGCTGGTGTTTTCTTTCATGTGAGCAACAGGGGCGTCTGTAGCGTCGGAGCGGCCTCCACCAGCAAACAGCGGGGCGCCCGAAAGCTTGTTCACGGCTGCATTAGTTTTACACGGAGACAAGATTGCGATCCTTTTGCGACGAGGAGTTGAAGGAATTGACTCCGAGTAACAGATTCTGCGCTGTGCTGTTCGTCTGGTAGAACTCCGTCCCTCGGCACTGGTCAGTGAATGCATCCCCTTCGCACCCCCTTTACCCGTGACAGTGAATCGCTGCCATATCAAGCAGCCCAAGGCGAGTAGTGACTCGGGATTGGCCAGCTCTCGCAGGGCATCTAGGGACGAAAATCACCTGTCCCGACTCACCACCACGATTTGCTCGCCCTCGATATCACCACGCTCGCTACTGTTCCGTCCTTCGTTCATTCCCCAGCCCGTATGCCCTTCTTTGATACTCCTGCGACGTCCTCCATTGCTCCTCGCCCGTGCGGGAAATGACGACCGACGATACGAGATAGCCGGCTTCACCGCGAGACTCCGATCGATCCTTCAGGACCGCGCCTTCGCGACTGGCTCTCCCTCCAATTCACTCGGCGATACCTGCCCTCGCCAGCGCATCGCCGTCGAGGACTTCTAGACACTCGGCCGCGCCGTGTCTTCTCCCATCAACCGCATCTCCAAGCTGCACGCGACATCTTTACCACGACGACGCGATAACGACTGCCGACCATGCAATTCACCGCTCTCGTCCTCTCCGTCTCCGGACTACTCCTCTCGAGCCGAGCCTCCGCCCAGTCTGTCATTGACTACACCAAGCTGCCGGCGTGCGCCAAACAATGCTCCATCCTCTCCCAAGCCGAAGCCAACTGCGTCCCGCCCGCGGCACCCGTCACGAACCAAGATACCTACCAGTCCTGCTTCTGCCAGAGCGGACTTCTCACAACCCTCAAGACCTCGCCGTCCCTCTGCCAATCGTCCGCCACCAATACCATTTGTACTCCCCAGGACGCAACGACGATTGAACAATACTACGTCGCCTTATGCAATGGCCCAACGGTGCAGCCGGCCGAGACTACCACGACTACAACTTCAACCGCGACAAGTACAGCCGCCGGCACTGCAACAGGGACAGCTTCTGCGGGTAATAAGGGCGTGAGCGAGAATTCGAGCAACAACGATTGGTGAGTGCCTACAATCCACAGACCGCCGAACCACAAGCACTAACGTCTCCCAGGTTCTCCACACACTGGAAATGGGTCGTCATGCTGATAGTCATCTTCCTCTTCATGATTATTGCCTCCGTCCTCGGAGTCTGGCTCAAACGACGCCATCGCCGTCGTGCGGACGCTCGCCGCGCAAATATGGCTGCCTCGGATGCCCCTGTCGCTGATGCTGCCTTCCACGATGCCGTCGCAAAAGACATGGCTATGTCAGGCGTCCTTCCCACTCCTCCTCCGGTCCGTACTCGCTCTGGCACCATGACATCTAGGGGCTCCTCGAGACTATCGAAGCACCACCCCCCATCGGACCCGGTCGTCTGGGGCCCCCATCAGTACGCGAGTACATGGAACGATGGGAGTCAACAGGATTACGTGCGTCAGCCGAAAGCGCAGGCATTTGGACGCCATGAACAGGTGAACGAGGCGGAGCCTAGCCACTTGAGGGAGGTCAAGTTGTGAGCGCTGAAGCGTTGAGAGATGGTGTTTGGAGAACTATTGTTTGGAAAGGAGTTTTGGGCCTTGTTTGGGGTCTGGAACGTGCTGGTTCTCACGGCGTTGAGCGTCATGTACTTCCTGATTGAGATTGTCTCTCGGGATCCCTTCTAGGTAGAAGGGCTATTAATGTCTCATGCATTCCATGACTGATTTATGACTAATTCTGATCTACTGATGGTAATCGCCTAAAGGGTGCTTTAAGTAAAGGTATCTATTACGAGCTGCTCTACATGTTTTGAACTAACTTGATCTGTGCTTTCAAGCTGTTTCCTGGGATCGTTGCATGGATTTTGGCTTATGGAGTATTCACGTAGACGAGATCTTGGTGGTATTCGATTTGATCACGTGATAAGTGCCATTATTCGAATCTGCAAAGGATGCATTCTTCCACATAGCATTCGTGACTTCTCTCGCATAGTTCACGAGAATCTTTTTCTTAGGCGCGAAACCATTGCTTCTTTGGGCTCCTGTTCTACATGACTCGCGGCTTGGCGCGGAATTTGACCACCAACCAGCCATTATTCTCAGCCATATCACAAATAGCATCCCGCCTTCCCAAATCCTCGGATTCCTGCAGTAGTAGCAGCTACCTAATGGGAGTCATCCACCATGCGACAAACCAATTCTCAGCAAACTTGCGCTGACTCACGATGCGCAAACCACGGTTGCATGCACCCACTTTAACCATTATTGCGCAATCGCGCCCTATGAGGCGATCCTCGAAGAGATTCATAATCCACCAAGCGGCCGCAAAGGCATCAATCTCGAACCAACACCAATAATTACACCTCCCTCATCCAGTGAAAGGGCGCTCAGCCTCAACAACTCAAGATGCCGCTCGTGCTCAGTAAAGTCACGGAGCAGGACCTCCTCGCCTTCACGCACATCTGCAACGCCGCCTTCAACACCGGCATGGCCTCCAAACTCGTCCCGAAGCCCATCACCTCCGAGAAATTCGCATCGCAAGTGGAGAAGCACCGGCATTCTTTCTTGAACGACGCCGACGTCACGCACCTCAAAGTCATCGACACCGATATCGAGCCAAATGCGGAGACGGGCCAGATGATCGCGTGCGCGAAGTGGAGGATTAATCTGAAGGAGCGGACGGTGGAAGAGGTGGAAGCGACGTTGCCGAAGCCGCCGGAGGGAGAGGGGGCGCAGGAGGGTGGAAGGGGGCTGGCGGAGAGAGAGTTTGTGACGTATCTGGCGACTTCGAGGAGGGAGTGGATGGGGAGGAGGCCGTTTTATTGTGAGTGCTTTTCTCTTGATTTCATGAATTTTTGAAAGAATGTTTAGGATGCTTCAAAAGTGCTTCGAGGGTTTCGAGTTGGAGAGACGGCTGACTTGATGTAGTCCTCCATCTCCTCGTCACTCTCCCACACCATCATCGCCGCGGCGCAGGCACTCTGCTGCTGAAATGGGGTCTGGATCAGGCTGATGCGGCAGGCCTACCGACTTATCTTGAAGCATCGGAGATGGGGCGCCCATTGTATGCAAGGTTGGGGTTTGAACCCAAGAAAGAGACGCGGTTTGATTTGAGTAGGTATGGGGGGTCAGAGGGGGTGGAGATCAATACGGCGATGGTTAGGCCGGTACCGTCTTAAAGCATTGAATTTTGGTCATGGTCACATTATTATGGCTCACGCTAATATGAAATTGGGCGATCTCTGATATCTTCACCGTGATGGATTGTGAGAAGATGGACCTCCTAATCGAACTACTTGTGTTTTCTAGGCCACTCCATGATGCGGGTTCGATACTATTGGAGCTTTACAATGCCGGTGCCGGTAAAGACGGTGAGCTACCTCCAACATGCGCAAAGTAGGGCCGCTCCAGAAATCCATCAACTTACTTTTCATATCGAAGCAATAGCAATCTCATTACACTCCTCATATCACAGTTCCCTCCGCTTCTTCCAAATCCAGGAAGCAAGCTTCGAAGAGCCTTCGATAAGTGGTCCCTCCTCCCCAATTTCCTCGTCTCCATAAAAGAACTCCGGCGTCAGCATGAATCCATCCTCCGTCTCCGTATACCGGACGTCATCTCCACAAAGCCAATTGAAGTACGCTTCTGGTACTCCTAGCTCTATTCCTCGTTTTCTAAACACCGAGTCTGCCTTCAAAGCCGGCCGTCCGTCTGGGTCTCGTGGCTCGAAATGCGACCAACCTACCACCATCACCGCCCAATTCAAGCTCAGAATGCCGCCGCGAAATGCAGAAGATGAGGGATGAAGTAGCCAATAGACGACTACTTCTGGCAATGAGGATGAGAACGTTTCTAGAAGAGCTGCAAGATGAGCGGAGAAGGCAGGGTTGTCTAAGAGGCTGAACCTACAGCGAAAGAGAGTGGAAGTTGGATCGCGTTCACCAGGCATGGCGGAAGAGACATCGATTACAGAATTTGCGGCGGCACTCATCGCGTTGAGTAGGGCGACTGATGTCGGTGGGGACGCGCGAGTGTTGCCGGAACAAGCGTCCGAAGGGTTGCCTGGTGGTACCGACATGATTACGAAGATACAGTCTTCCTTACCGCTGGGAGTTTTACGATGCGATGAGAGAGAAAGTAATCTCCGGAAGCGTGAGAATATATCATGGTCCAGAGAACAATGCTAAGCATTCGAAGCTTTGGTAGTACTTTGTCTTCGGTAACCGACTAATTTGATTGGTTGAGTGGTCAAGTTTACCTCAGCATATTGATGCTAGCAGGAAAGGTTGAGAGGATCCCTCAGGATGTACAAGGCTATCTAAGGGCTGCGTATTCGGGTATGTGTGGAAAGCATGTACGCCTATAGAGGCAAGTTAATGGGGATAGAGAAGAGCCACGGGCGCGATATTCCGGCTACGTACTGGCACGCCGTACACTACAAAACTGAACAATAAGTTTGTATACTTCGGCTCCATAGCTTCTTTGTCTAACTCATCTCCTCTTCCTCTTCGACATTGTGCGCCATGATGAAAGGTTTTGTGCAGCCATTTACACTTCTTCAAATACCCCTCTCACGAGTAAACACCATGACTACGCTTCGTTGATCTGATTTCAAAAGCCTCTTTTGACGTTGTTTTCGACTTCGTGGAAAGCATCCTGAAGCATTTCAGCGTCTTTCATCGTTCTAGCGCCAAAAGCATGCTTTTCCCATTCTTCTCGCTCCTCCTTCTCACCCTCGCCAGCTGGACTGGCGCTCAACCTACCCAAAGGAGCTGCAACAACTCGCCCTTGCTATGTTCGAAGCCATACGACAGCATCACGCATCTTGGTGCCCATGACAGCCCCTTCGTACGAACAGCTTTGAACAACTTCAACTCATTCGGCAACCAATTCTTCAACACAACCACCTAACTCGACGCCGGCGTCCGATTACTCTCCACCCAAGTTCACGCCGTAACATCCCCAACTACCGGCGCGCGCGAATGGCACCTGTGTCACTCGATGTGCGCCCTCTTCGAGGTAGGCCTCCTCCGCGACTGGCTCCTCGAGGTCCGCGTATGGCTAGACACGCACCCCGACGAAGTCGTCACGATACTAATCGTAAACAGTGACGCCGCATCCACGGTCGAGCTCCTCCCCGAGTTCTCAAGCGCAAAAATCGCACGCTACGCTTACATCCCCAAAACCGGCGTCGGCGTAACTCCCGCGCCCTCGACTCCCTCTGCCTCTTCCTGGCCCACACTTCAAGAAATGATAGACGCGCACCAACGCCTCGTGGTCTTCGTCGCAAACATCACCCCCGACCCCGTCATGGCTCCGTACCTCCTTCCCGAGTTCACGTTCGTCTGGGAAACAGAGTTCGAAGTCGTTGGCCTAGAAAACTTCTACTGCCTCCCCGACCGGCCTAGTGGCCTTACTCTCGAGACTGCGAAGAGCTCCGGGCGCTTGTTCCTGCTGAACCACTTCCTGTACTGGAACCAGGCGTTCGGGATTCAAGTTCCCGACGTCCGCTTTCTCAATGTCACCAATTCGATGTATGGGGTTGGTAGTTTGATGGACCACATGAGAAATTGCGGACAGCAATATACGCAGCTGCCTACGTTTGTGCTGGTTGATTTCTTTAATGTGGGGCCGGCGATTCGGACGGTGGATGTGGTTAATGGGGTTACTGACCCTGTGGAGAGGCGAAGCGTGAGTACTGATGTCTTTGATAGGCAGTTTGGGACGATACATCGGAGTCGGAGGAGGAAGAGGGGGCCGACGAAGGGAAGCTATGGCACGCTTCTTGCTTTCTGGAGTCTGGTGTTTCTGAGCTGACGTCTGACCTCTAAAGCTCAAGAGTGGGGAACTTTTAGCCGGTGGGACTTCTAGATTTCTAGGGTTCGTTGATGCCGTGAGTAAGTTAGCAGGAGGCTGTCAAGAGCGTAATGACTTGATGGCTCGAAAATTCATAGTCCTGAAATACGAATTCTGTTACTTCAGCAAGTTGTCTCTCAAGTGATTCCAATCGATGTGTCTTTGACTGTGAGTGTTTTCTTTTTTAGACTACTTTCAGATCTGTTTTGACGCCTCGTGTAGTCATCCGCGTTCTCCAATAACCAATCCAACCCAACCACCCCCGGTATTGCGGCCACGAGCCGCCTTTCCCCCTCCACATGTAGATCCATTACAATCTCCGCCCATCATCCTTGGCTTTGGCTCGCCTACGCCCTCCTACCACTCAAAAGCATGTCGAGATATGGCTTGAATTCGTACTTCATGCCGAAGCCTCCACCGGTAGTAACCTTGACGTCGCCGTTGGAAACTTCGTCCTCCTGACCATCTTGATCCTCTTTATCCGCGCGACTGGCCACGTTGACTCCGTTCAGGCTCTTGCCCGCTTCGGCTGCGGCGGTTCTTTTGACGAAGGTGATGTTAGCAACGCCATGGCAAATATGAGAGTCAGAGGAGGTCCGAGGGCTGGTTTCATACCTACTCTGTTCGCTCAGTAGCCGAAGGGGTGATTGTCGTTGGCATGTCGGGATTGCATCGGTGAGATCAGTCCATATCCAGGCACCGGGTAGTGCGCGGCCGCCAGATCACGCGGTGTGCCACGGTCGAACATGGAGAAGCCATCGCGCCAGGTAGGAGAGGCGCGGCCGTGAAGAGGGAAAAGGCCTAGTTATGTATTGTTAGCGCATGCAACGTGGAATGATTGAAGAGGCAACACATACCAATGCTCTGTGCGTTCTGGATGGACCGCTCCAGTTTCTGCTCATTATCAGGCGCTGGGAATTCTACCTCGGTGTCAACCAAGCCAACGCAAACGTTATCCTGGAAGGTGTAGAACAACTGCATTTGTTAGATCCATGTTGTTGGAAGGGATGCATCGGAGACTTACCTTCGAACGGCAACACTTCAGTTCCCTCATAACTGAGGAATTGCGAAACTCCTTCACTGCGAGCAAGTCAGCATCATTAGAAAACATTGATTGCAGGCCTCGCTAGGCTGAGATGCTAGCTGTCGTAGTCCACGGGGGTGCAATGACGCCAACAGCCTTGCCTAGTGAAAGTGAGCATCATCGAGAACGTACCTTTACCACCTCGGCCCCCCGGGACCTCACCAGAAGAAAAGAACAAACATGAACCACTGCATTAGGGAGGTTGATCGCCCAAGCAGAGACCGTCTTCGAAATGTCTGCGTCGTGATGAGGAGAGAGAAAAGCAGGGCGGGCCCGTCGGGCGACCTTTTTGTAGTGGGGTTCTTGGCAGTCCCGTGACCGGCCCCACCGTGCCACCTGGTCATCGTCTTCCCCTGGGTGCGGGGGTAAAATGGCGACGAAGTGGAGGCTGAACTTCTACGGACCTAGCAAGTCAAAGGCTCAATAGACACCGCACGTGCTTGCCAGCAAAGGGCGGAGGCCATCAATCCACAACGGCCGTGGAGGGAAACTTCCCTGAATAGGAAGTTCACTACTATGTACAGCTTATTCAACATGGCTCATAAATTTCCGGACGTTCGTATAAAGGCTCGAGGTAATTGTAGTGATTTCGGGACTCAGCACGCCAGATGTACACTAGATCAAGTCTTCCAGGTAGTCAGGGCTCGCTAGGAGTGACTAATCTATAGGTTCTCTAGTTAATGCGTTGCAAGCAAGCTTATGTAGACGACAAGTGACAAAGCACTTCGTGATCGTGAACTACTCAACGCACATTAAAGGAGTGGTATTGTCGTGAAGCATACATGGCCTCGTAGTACCCCATATTCATTGGCCTTATTCCAATAAATCTAGAAGTTTTTGACCTAAGTACAAGCAAAAAAGTCTCCTAGACCTGACTGCGCTACTGGAATATTCATCTTTCCCCAAGCCATCCGAAACCCTTTCCCGTCCTTCGAATCCGATGGCACCAACTATCTTCCTCACGGGAGCAAGTGGCTGCACCGGCGGCACCTTCTTGACCGTCTTCCACCAGCGATTCCCAGAGATCAGAGTCCGCGCCCTCGTGCGCACCCCCGAGCAAATAGAGATCCTCCGTGCCTTCTACGGCCCAACCGTTGAGCCACTCCTCGGATCCTTGGACAACAAGAAACTCCTTGCCGCCGAAGCCTCTAAAGCCACGATTGTCTTCCAAGCCGGCGCCAATCACGAAGATGCCATTGTGGCCCTAGTCGAAGGAATAGCCACTAGTCCCGAGAACAAGTCTCTGTCACCAGTCTTTATACACCTTTCCGGCACCAGCAGTCTCACCGATCCAGCTCTTCCGTATGGCGAACTCAACCCCAAGGTTTATTCTGATGTCGATGACATGGAAGAGGTCCTTCTCCGCTGAGCGTGGCGTGCGAAGCGTCATCCTCGCACCTCCGACTATTCTTGGCCATGGCCTAGGAGCCCTCAAGACAGAAACGTTCCAAGTGCAGTGGTATGAAGCCATCATTGCTGACGGAGCTCCCTTTGTCGTGGCAAAGGCGAGAATGTGTGGAGTACGGTATCAATCCGGGATCTTGGAGAAGTGATCGTCTTTATCGTGAAATAGGCGTTGAAAAGAGAAGCAGGTCGGTTGGAGTATGGCCGCTATAGGTACTACTTTATCGGGTCTTTCGAGGTTTCTTTGTTGGGGCGAGCCCAGGCCGTCGCGAATCGGCTATATGCTCAGGGCAAGATACCGGCCAAGGCGGTGCGGTTTTATGAGGCGGAGAAGCTGGCGAAGAAGCTGGGTTCGTTCTTCCCGTACTTGGTGGGTAGTAGTTCGAAGGCAAAGGCTGACAAGCTCCGTGCGCTTGGTTGGAAGCCGACGGATTTGGACTGGAAGGTTTTTGTTGAGGAGCATGGTGGTATTCGAGCTGAGGATCTGCTTGGGGTGTCTCGATAGGCTTTGAATCTCTAGATATAATGAGAATCTCCACGCAGTAGGAATTGGGCTACTGTCTGACTGACCGAAGACGCGATAGCCAGGGCCCTCCTTACAGTGGTGTCAAGCGAGCAAGAGTGACGCCGGAACACTGAGATGTGTGTGTGTCCAAACCTATGCCTAGTACGGCACAAACAGTTTTACGTCTGCCGTGAACTTATGACTACCCTGAGGTCAGAAGATGCGATGCTCAGCACTGCTGACACGACGATATCTGGTAGGCAAATTGGTGGAAATTCCTACCCCCCATAAATACGGGTTCACCCCAGTCTTAACTTCAATGCAGCAGAGAGTCAGTGACCGAGAACTGATTATTGAAACCTAATCATGATACCGATATTAAGGAGTCTGATCGGGTTATATCTTATTGAATGACTATCCATATAGCAGGTAGGCGAAGCGAGACTTGGCGATCGAAACGATTGGTCAATATTTCGCCAATGGTTTCATGATTTCAGTGAACTGCCGCACTTGCAGAAAGCTTCGCCTTTTCGATCTCTTCATCCTCCACGACGTCTTCATACTACTCGCGTCACTTCAGCACACCAAACACGTCTCCAAACATCACACCCCTTCAATCGAATATGTCTTCGTCGAGCAACCCCACCGTCCCCTCCAACCGCGCCTCGATGAAGGCTTCTTCCTCCAAGTCTGCTGCCGCCCAGTCCGGCAAGCCCCCCATTCCGCCATACTTCCCACTTGAGCACACTGGATACACTTCCACCGAGCAAGGCGCCCTCAACAATGCCACCTCCGTCGCTACCAAGTTGCATCAGCTGGGCGAAGGTGTGATCACTCGCATGCAGATGGTACAAGTCCACGATGGAAAGTGGAAGGCCAGATGGAAGGCTGCCTTCAAGAAGCTCGGCGGGGCAATCGGTGCTATTGAACATGCATTGATCGCACGGATTGGCCTGGGAGACTACTGGAAGCCGCGCTACGAAGATGCTGAAGCCCCGGCACAAGACATGAACCAAAAGCTGCATGGCCTCCTGGCAACCTACAGCCAGGCTCCGCAGCAGACCCTGTCGGCAGAAGATCGCGCTGTTGTGGCCAAGCTGACCGCGGAGTACAACGATGCGGTCAAGGAGTGTGAGCGCAAATGGCCGAAGAATTTGAAAAAGGTCTTGCCTGAGGCCTATGTGCAGGATCTGCTCGGTTAGTCTTTGCAGAATCACTATGAGTAAGAACTGTTACTAATATTATAACAGGACAAATCGAGTCCCCACAGCCTGATCTGCCGTCCGCCCTCGTTCGATTCCACGAATCGAAGGCCAAGAGCGAGCAGCCTGGAGGAGCAGAGGAGTAGTCGAAGCTAGCCAAGGGGTTCTGAGATACTGGATACCAATCTGTGGATTGAGAAGGCGAGATTTGCAAGCAGCATCCGTAGCATCGCCACCTTGTCTGTCAATCAGCCGGAAGGATATACGATGTTGGAGGAGGTTAGAAGTTAGCCCGGTCGATAGGCTGTTCTGACAACGCGGATCTGTACTTAAGACCACCCCGGACATCTCATTTCTTCAGTGAGGCCAGTTCAAATGCGTTACATTGAGATTTGCTTCAAGGACATATATTTGTGACTATGTGGGATGCAGGGTGAGGCTCTTCGAGGCCGGAAAACGACAGTCAATCACTCGGGTTGTAACAGCTACAACCTAGGATCAACAACTCATACGGTTCACGGTCACCTACGTACAGGCACTCCCCCCCTTTTCTCTCTCCTTGATTCTCGTTCTTTGATTGGTTGCTACTAGCGCGCACTCAGCGTGGCGAGGCCCTCTGTTCAGCTACACCAGGGTCCTCTCAGTGACGGAGTACGTATTCCTAGCTAGCTAGCCTACGGAGTGTGGTACGGCTAGCGTCGGCTACCTTAATATAGAACACGGTTCCTATATTTAGCCCTCACAGTTCTACGGTACGGCTACGTAAGCCTCCACACACAGGAGTATATATACGGCGTACGTGGCCTAGATAGATGCTCATCCAATACATCACTTACCTCGTTCAATGCATTGTTTCACCTCCATCCTCACTCAGCTGTGTCCATTCCTTTCAAATGGCCTCTATTCAGCTGAGCTGATAAGACCTAGGGGGTGGGCCATTTCCTATTAGTATATATTCGGCCCGTACGGCCACTACAATACAAGCAGAGTTCACATCAATTTAACCTAAGTCAATCCTGGTCAGCACATGCTGCCCATCCAACCTCCAATCCTGGAAAGTGGGGTAGAGAGCACGCGTGAGTTTCACAGCCGCCATATGAGCCCATTTGCAACTGAATCTTCCTGGCAACTACACAAACTTGAGCCAGCTCACAAGATGTTGGAACTAAAAATTGAAAGTCTAAGATGCTAACAGGCCAATATGCTACAACGCCCTGGTATACTGCCATACAGGCTCATCTATTGAACCCTCTCCCTTGATTAGGTACTGGTGAAGCATCCTAGTCGCCTCGACGAAGCCAAGTACTTTAGCCTCACGCCACCTTTGGTACAAACGAACATAATCCCCGTTTTCCAGGTGTCTCGTGACGAACCGATTCCAATTGCCAATATGAAGATTATCGAGGCCGTACGTGGCAACCAAGCAACGGACCTTCCTCCACGCGGATCGCCACTCACCTTCAGTGAGAGCAATGTCACAAAGCGACAGGTGCTTGAGTGTAACCATGTGGCGATCCAGTAAAGACACGAGGGTTTCTTCCTCTGTGACTATGTGTCGGAGCACTAAAGACTGCAGTCGAGGCCACGTGATGTTCCCAACGATATTCTTTAACAGGAAATCCCCGCCGAAGTGGTTTAAGATGGTTAGATCTAAGTCTTTCAGTAGGGGCATGTCGCGCAGGAAGCGGTGCATAATCCCATGGCCTAGTTGTCTTCTGCATTCGTCCGATTCGTCGAAAATAATGTCGTTGTCGTGCAAAGTGGAGACCACTACGCGCATCTTCAGCTTGGAAAGCAAACTCAAAGCACCTCGCCCAAAGGCTTCGACGGGTTGAGCGAAGAAGCGCCAGCTCACGGCCTCGACTTCAAGAGAGTTTAGTCGAGTACCTGCTTCGTGGCATCCAGCAAGGAGAGCGTTCAGTTGCTGCACGCCTGCATACATGCCAGACGCGTTGAGAGACTTGTCGCCGCCGTAAAAGCTCCAGGAGGGTTCGGATCCGAATATGTCATACTCCTTAATATCTCATTCTTCTGGGGATAATTTGATTGCGCGCAGGGCTGGCAGTGCCTTCAACACGCCTGTTATGGTTTCGAAGTCGAGTTTCTGCGCCCACATCGAGTGCTGCCACCGTACCATCTCTCGATGCTCCTTCACTCGTTGGCTCAAGTCTTGAAGTACCTTCCTGATCTCCATGGAGCTACAACCTTCCCTGAAGAATGGCTCCACAACGCCTGTGAATCGTGGCTTATTAGAGCGCTCATTAGAGCGCTCGCTAAGATACTTGTTGAGGAATTCCGGATTATTGGTGTCGAAAAGCATCTGCGCAAAGGCGTCGAACTGGGCCATGAGCAGCGTGTCATCAGCTCCATCGGCTAGTAAGACCTCCTCGAAGCTCCACGAGCCGTCCTCAGTGCACTCGAAATCACACCCTGGGTCCTTCTTATAGCGTGCCTCTTGATGATATATATCCCAATTCACCTCTTTCAAAAACAATGACCCGTTTGTCTCCCAGTATGATGTAGGGCATGTGAAGCATTGGCCGTTGAAGTGCATCTCTTTGACGTGCTTGCGGAGTACTGGATGGCTCGTAATAGTGTCAAGACGCGAAAAGCTAGCCGGAGAGAGGTGGAAAGATACGCGAGGAATCAGGTGTTCTACGCCGATCTCGCCGAATCTCTTGTTCGTACGACGGAATGACATGATGTCGGAAGGGTCGAGGTTGTTGCAGACCATGCGTACTAACTCGACCGGAAGAGATGCAATGAAGGTTTGCGTAGGAGGAAAAGTGTCGGAAAGCTTCGCCGTCGTTGATAATAATTGTCCTTCTTGATCGGCGAAGTGTTTACATCCTGTGATCTCCATGTCTAGTTGCTCTGGCCCTGGGGACTCCGTAGAGGTGCTTGAAATAGACGTGTTGACCTTAGGGGAGATGCCCTCCTTGGATAGAGTACCTCGTTGACGTGTAGTGCGGTGAGAGCCACGTAGGTGTTAGAATGGGTGGTGAGCGTAGCGCGGACGATTTGTATGGCGGTTGAACGCTGGTAGTGAAGGCGTCTCGGGGTGGGGATGTTGTTGGGAGGCAGAGGACGACTATGTGTTTTTATGTGGGAGGGTGGTCGCCTATGAACGAGGCACAGCTGCATGGAGCATCAACAGGGTAGAAGAAAAAGTGTGATGGAGTGGTGAGTGGACCGCAGAAGATCGTTGGCGGAAAAGGTCGTCAGTGGGAAGGGTCGTTAGTAGAGCTATATATTGCTTTTACTCTATTCACCTAGGGCTCCTGGCATCTCACTGATTACGGCGAGACAGATCCTCCCGCACCTAGAAGAGTATAGTTTCATCCGTTAAAGCAATGCTAAACCTCTTAAAGAGCAAATGATTCCAGATTCGAAAACTCCGACGAAGTGGAAACCGGGTACCCTGCTAAGAAGGCATTATTGCATTATATAGCCCGCTGTGCTTGCTACATCCTTTCACCACGGCTTGCCTTCTAGATTAACCCTTGCAACTTGTTCCGTCTTATTATCTAAGGTCTTAAATCCCTATATAAAACCTTTTAATGCACTAGGTTACTATAGCCAGCACCGTCTAGCTAAATGCTAGCGGAATTACTAAGAGTTTGTTAGATAGATTAAATTAAACAGAAGTTTATATTATAGTAAATAAGTAAGCTTATATATAAAGTTAAAAGGAGAGTAATATAACTTTATAAGGCTATATAGTATAAAAGCTAATACCGCAGCTATATACTTATACGTACTAAAGCTGTATAGATCTACGCTTACTATGGATATAGAGGCGGAGGTGTATACCAAGCCTATAGATTATATAGATCTACATAAGGATTTACAGCAGTCACTAGCACCTCTTATAATTTCAGATTCTTTTGGGATGGAACGTTAATAAGCGAGGTTGAATCTTGCATGTAATTCTGAATTGGATCTTAGTGAATGATTGATGCAGGTGCCTCCATCTATAAAGGCAAAACCTACATGGCTTCCTATTCCCTAATGCTCATAAAATGACAAACGGTGTGACTCGTCCTTCAGCATCGGCTCAAGCACCCAAGGCAGGGATAGCAATCCGCCACAGAGACCTATGAGTTGGCGAGCATAGACCTAAATGAGATGGTGGTTGGATGTGTAGTTAGCAAACTCAACTCTGCAAAGAATGATGGGTGCACTACTGACCAGTTTCATCTCAGAGGGTCCAGTCCACTCGCAGAGCTGAACACAGCGAGCATAGTGGAAAGACCCCCAAACCCAACAGCCCACAGAATGAAGTCCGCAAGGGGATTCGAAGCCAACAACCCGCAAAGCCCAGATAGTACCCAGCAAGAAAACGCATTCCCCTCATGTTTGTAATCGCACCCCTCCTGGTCTGGGGGGAATTGCATAGCGGAACAGTGACTGGATTATCTTGATCTAGACGAGCTCGGATGAGCTCGCCTTCCCAACCATATGCAAGCGTGTTCAGGGCAAATGTCATGGATCCAGAGCGGAGGTGGATCTGCATACAGCGCGCAGGCTGTCTTCTCTAGAAACACGCGGCTGACTTGGCAAGCAGGTCGCCCGTGGCTGGAAGCGTTGAACAACATGGTGCTTTCTCTTGCGGTCGGGTCTCGTGAGCGGCTAGGATCCCTCGCTCTAGTGCAAGACAGTGGCGGGCAGGCAATAAAACTTCTCGGTGGCGGATTGGAACGAGTCTGGGTGATGGAATGAGCCTTGAGTCTCGAGTCCGTCAACCTCGAGTCCAAGGAGCCTGGGATGGTCTCAGCGTCATGAACCCTTGGTGAGAGAGGTGGAACACAAAAGATGATGGGAGAGAAGGAGTCAAGGGAATGGTGACGGCGAGGAATGTGACGAAGTGAAGACGTACCGATTGAGCAACTTGCGATCCTTGCCACCCGTACATGCACCAGCCGTCCAACGAGATAGAGCGGACGTGATCGACTCTTGCCTTTCGACGAAGAAGTGGATGAAGAGAGAAAAGAGAAATCGGCCGGCAACAGATTTTATATGCGAATAGTGAGGAGCTACGCTAGTGGCTTGGCAGGCTTGGCGCGTACAGCAGTGACGCGATATGCTGCCTGCGAGGTGAAGTTTTGTAAGGAAGTGTTCTTATTGCCGTCTTAAACTAGTGAAACCGCTCACGCTTCGTCGGCCGAAGAGGCTCTGCATAATGACGGGACAGCGGCATCCTATTCACCATATCTTTCACGTGACATGTTTTGTGACATCTCAAATGACTGGAGACTTGCTTGAAACCTGATTCGTGCGCTTTCGCCTCGTTCCACTTCCGCTCTAAATGCCAATAGACCTCAAGCATATACATGCCCATCAATCAATGACCTCACGATCCCGCTGCTGAACGCCGCCCGCCTTACCTCGCCTTCCATCCCGTCCCTGTATACCCCCGAAACATCTCCCCACATGACCTCTTTGTACTGCATTTGGCGCCTCTGCTCTCCGTCCGCAATAGGATGCACAGCAGCACTGATCAGAGCGCTGTTGCTCCCGACCAAGATCCCCGACCCTAGCCAGGTGAAGGCGCCAAACGCCAGCGTGGCCAATATCCCGACCGTCACGCCAACAATCACGCATACAATGGCTGTAGAGCTGTAGCCCAGCCGCGCGATCCGGTCGTGCTCGTCCACCTCCCCTAGGCTGTTGACACCGTCTATGCGCACTAGATAGAGACTCTGGGAGAGTAGCCAGTGCAGCAGTGCCGAGAAAGCCATGAGCGGGATCGAGTACCGCGCCGGCAAGCTCAAGAACCACGTAGACCTCTGCGCGCCTCGAGGCATATCCGAAACTCTCAATCCTTTCCGGCGGGCTGCGAAATTGTCCCATTCGTGGGCGAGGGCATAGTGAGTAAAGAGATTGTTATGCAAGAGATAGATGCACGAAAAGACGACCTGGGGCAAGTTGGCCACGATCAGGGTGGGAAGGATGGAAGATGAGGTTGCGGAGTCATCCACCACTTTGGCTAGAGACTGGATGCTTGGGCTGAAGCCGGAGCTGAAGGCTGACTGCGATCCCCGCGCGCCACCAATGGCGAAGTGCAGCGCGAAAGCCATAGAGACGGCAAAAATGGTCGAGACGCCGTGTGTGAGAAAGAGGGTGGTGCGTTTGGTGCTGGATCAGCAGCGGATGTGATGGGTCGCGGAGGTGAGGAGTTGTGGTGGGAACGAATCGAGCCAGCCGGAGCGATGGAGGGTAGCAGGACTGACGAGACACATATCACGAGTCGTTTCATCTTCACGGTTGAGGAAAGAGGCAATAGCGTCACCGGAGGTGCGGAGGGCGCCGATGGGATGCTGTAGGATCATCCAGATCATAGTAGCTGTCTTGAAGATGTCGAAGACGACGACAGCGAGCATCATCCATACATTGTAGGCGAGCTGGCAGGTGTCGTGTGTATTGCGGCTGAGGCAGTAATCCACCGGTTCTCCATAGACAGCCCAATTATTGCCGTTATTGGTCTTAGACAGAGCAAGGTCTGAATTGCAACGGACCTAATCGCAGCCAAATTAGTCGTCGTGGCAACTACAGTACTAGGCCGTAAGTCTGGGCACTCGGATTTATCACTGCCTAACTTCAATCTTGCTCGCTTGACACCACCGAGAGGAGCAGCCCAGCTAGTAAGTAGCCAGTTAGTGAAGAAGCAGTCAGACTTACACTGAGACTGGGCATCGCGCCTATGTGATTGAAGTTCTATGGGAGATACCCTAAGCAGTGGTAAACGCGTGTGCACAGACTTATGACTTGTCTCTATAAGATGAATGATTCTTACCGTGTTTTGAGTAGAGTCTTCACATATCCATCTAAATGGATCCTGGTTTGTATGTCCATCGGTGAGATATCTTTGAGGATATCGGCTCCACAGCAGCGGCGCCGAGTTATTGCGAATTTTCGAAACAATTACAACATCCCCCCGCTTTTCTTGAAAACTTGTTGCGTAGTCTTGGATGCAGTCTTTCGGGGCTAGCTTCGTAAAATTCGTATTTCGGGTTGAAGTGTTTTGAATATCTTGGAGCAATCTGACTATTTGGAGTCCGCTGTCCTTTCGATTATATTCAATCAGATTCAACGGATCGGAGCTATTCAAAGGTGGGAATAGCGCAGGATCAGTATTCCCTAGGGTGGGAGACCATGTGGTGCTATTGGTAAAGTCGGAGGAGACGACTGCGACAGCATACTGTCGGGCCTGGCTCGCAGTGAAAAATACAGAATTGAAACTAAATTGAGGTAGGTAAGGCTATAGACGATTAAGATGTAGAAGATAGGGCTCTACTTACAATAAATGAAACGGCACGGAAGTAAACCCCAGCAAGGCCCATATAAAGACCCGTTTGGGAGCAATCAACGTCAAATTCCTCGTACTTTGAATCCCAATGTCTGCCCACTTCTTTTTCTTGTGCACGGTGTCAATCTCCTCTCGTGCAGGGGCGCTGATACCCTGCATACAATAGTTGGAGGCACCCAAGATGCATGTGCTAATGATGTTGAGCAAGATATGGAGAGTTGTATCAACCCCATGGACAGTACGGCAGCGGGTTCGAAGAGCCACCCCCGATCCGGACTTTGACCCAAATTCAGCAAACATCCACGAATCGAGCGACGTGTTGAGCAGAAGCGCAAGGCCAGCGACTAGTGCGGAACGCAATAGACCGGCCTTGTAGCTAAAAAGATAGCGTTGGAGAGCTGGCGGGAGATGGGCGCGAAATCAGGAGGTGCTGGGGACCTGGAACTGCGACGGCGGGGGTGTTGATGCATGTCCCAGGGTCTCTTCTCTTGCCACCAATTCGTAGGTATCCTTGCCCGTCGCGTCGAAATCAGGTACCCTAGCGTCCCCAATTTGGGATGCCTCGTTTTCCAACATGCTGTAGGGCCTATATCTGCTCATGGGACGCGACAGGAAGCCAGAGCTTGACATCCGTGCTACACGAAACGAATGATGGGACAGGTATTGCGATTGCGAACTGCGATACGTGCTTCAGAGATGACAATGAAGATTGAAGGATGAAGCAGTTCGACGAAGCAACTTGCTGGTAGCCCTCGGAAACAGACGGCGAAGAAGCATGAATAGAGGTGGGGAGAAAGAAAGAATGTAGGGAGAGGTTTTTCGCCCCCAACTCGTGCCAAGCAGCCGAGTGCTTATGCCGCGCCAAACCAAGGCCACTACACGTCAGACGATGCCCGAAGAGAGCTGAAATAACGAAACAGCCCTATCGACACCAGGAAAAGGGACGATGGGGGCTACGGGAGGGCACAAGTGGGGCCAGAAAAATCCCGGACGGAGGGCGTTTTGGTGAATGCCATGCGCTTACCGTTTCTTGAACGACGACCTGCGTCTTACGGGATCGTCGCTGGGATGGTGAACTCCAAAACTTCTGAAACGGTCCATGCGTTGTGGCGTTCGGACGCGAAGTAGGGAGCTATTGGATCTGCGACTTTCGCAGTCGAGGCACAGCCCATCAAGCCATCAATGCCAGTACATTTCCATCGCCAAACACCAGCACCTGCCGCTACTTGTCAGCTGTGTACAACTCCTACCCGCACCTTTAACTTCGCGATATCAGAGTCGAGTGTAGTACTAGGCCATAAGTCTGGGCACACGCGTTTACCACTGCTTAGCTCGCTCGACACCGCTGTTGGCCCCTTCCTGTGTAGCCGATTACTCAGCAGCTTCCCGTGTAACGTAGTCGGCAAGCTAGTGGGCCATGCAAGCTAGTGGGCCACCCTACTGAAATCGCGACCACAAAATCAGGAATTACACAACAACGAACAATTGTATTTAGTGTAGCTATCTACTAGCTAGTTGCCTGCCGTCTAGGGCACGTACGTGCGTTGTGTTCAGTCGATTCGCACATGCTGCACCTAGGTTTTGCACGCTGCGGTCGCTCGGCCGCTGCCGCTGCTGCCCCCTCTGCTGCCTCTATGCGGGCAGCTTGTGCACGAGAGGCCCCTGCTGCTGCATTTAGAAGACCCTCTCTAGCTATATATTTGCGCTTCTTTGCCCTCTTTTGTTTCTGGCGCTTGTTTTCCATGCGTAGCATGTCAACTTCGCTTCGAAGCAGGGCAACATCTGACATTGCTATTTCGCACCCCTTAGCAAGCTGGTCAAGGACTCGTTCTGTTGGACTTGGTGGGCATTGCGCGCCCTGCCTGAGATAGCGCCTTAGCAAGGCCGTCTGCTCCTGTAGCTCAGCAATATTGTGAGGTGTTTCAGCTGCCCAAGATGCATTTGACGGCGGACGGCGTTGTGGTGATGGTGTCTGATATTTAGCGTGCAGCAGCGATAGCACGCGATCAGGGTTGTATGGAACTAGGCCTGTAGCTGCGAATCCTGCCCGTATATTTGCTTGTTGTAGCGCTGTTTCCCTGGCCTGCCTATATAGTGGCAGGAATTCGCATTTATTAATATAGTTAATACTGCAGCCTATAAGCTATTTAACGCTGCGTTTATAGGCCTGCTTTAGCGCCGAGAAAGAGCCTATATTAAGCGGCTGCAGAAGATATAATAAATGCACCGGCATGCAGATAATAATAATATTATAGTCCTGGCAGAACTAATCGAATTTAGGGTTTATATAGCTATTATAGCTATCTAGCACAAGCAGCTAATATATACTAACGGTGTAATCCTTTATATACTTATAGAATAGATTTAGCTAGGCTAGGCTAATTTTATTTATTATCTAGCTATTTTTACTAACGCCGATTATCTAGTTATATTGTTATAACCCGTAATACGAACCACCCGAGCGCAGCTGCACTCGCGGAGATAAGCAAGCAGATTAGACTAATTATAGAGAACCAGGTTACGGGACTAAAAGGGTTACGTGTAGGACGCATAGGGATCCTGGATTCCCCTACGGACTGCTAGTAGATAGGAACGATCTAAGAATAGGATATTACGAGGACAGAGTTATATAATAGCTTGTTAAGCTCCCAGCGAGCAGGGACGAGCTAGCTCGAGGAACTCGTAGAAGAGCAAGCTAAGAAGGATGGGCTCGCCCGGCTTAAGAGCGAGCTATATAAGTAAGAGGTTTCTTAGGACGGAGCTTTTATATAAAGGGACGCTCCTTTACATAAATAGGAACCTTATATTTAACTTAAGACTTTAATACTACCTATTAGAAGTAATAACCCTGTCTTAAACCTTAATTAATTATTACTTTACCTTTTAAAGACTATTACACCCCGATAATAACTTACCTATACCCTGCCTTAGTGTAAAACACTTAGAAGGTATAAAAAAAACAACCTATTATACTTTAAACACTACTATATTAAAGGAGTTATATATAAACAATTAATTAAAATAGCCCTACTAACTCCTTTAGGTAGTATAACTACTAGACTAACCCTAACTATAACTAAGGTAGTAACACGTATACAGGCGTTGCTTATATAAATATAAATACTAGAGAAAGCTAGCAATACTAAAGATAAAGAAATTACGGCCTTATAGGGAAATTTCTAGACTATCTAAGGAAAGCTTACTACTACTAGAGTAGTTAGCTATAAAGGCTATAAAATAAACAAACCTAAAAAGTTTACTAGGGAGAAAGGAGCTTTACGAGCGTTTATAACGCAGATAAGGCTATACCTGCGCATAAACTAAAGCAACCTTAAATTTAAATCGGATAAGGTCTGTATAGCAGCCACCTTCTTAAAAAAAAAAGCGTTTAACTAGTTTAACCTAATACTTATAAACTGGCTCGGCAACGCCGACGCAGATAATTAGAAACTAGAAACTAACGTTATATTTAGCAACTATAGATACTTCGAGTTAGCACTTTAGATAACCTTCGGAGACACTAATAAAGAACGGATAGCGGAATAGAAAATAGCAGTTCTAAAGCAGAAGGGCTTAACCAGCCGCTATACTTTAGAATTTATATAAATCGCGTTTAAGCTATTATAGGGAGATAAAGCTCTGCAAGTATAATACTATAGAGGTCTTAAAGAAGATATTAAAAACAAAATTATATAAGGCGAAAGGCCTTTAATACTCTATAAACTCGAGGAAATAGCAATACGAATTAATAGTTAACAGCACGAGCGACGACTAGAACGGGCAGATAAAAGAGAACTTTATTCTTACGCCTAACTAGCTAGACCAAAGCTAAAAGTAACTAACCGCAACTATAGAGATTGTATAGAGATTAATATTATAAAATAATACAATAACTAAAAGGGTAAACCAATTACCGATAAAGAAAGGTAAGAAAGAAAATGCAACAGCGCATGCCTATTATGCGGAGAGTAGGAATACTTTGCAAACAAGTGCTCTAGGAACACCTAAACAGCAGCAGTTATAGTAAAGCCGAATATAAACCGCTATAATTCTATATTATAGACTGCGTGCTATAATAATAACTGCTTTACCTATTAGTTAGATAAGCAGGTAATAAGGTACTATTTAATACAGAGGATAAAGGGATATACTATTGCTATAATAAGAAACGAAGAGTATAATAGCAACCCTATAGACAACTACTACGCTAATATAGAAGTTAAGAGTATAGAGATTAACTACCTATTAGAAACGGATAAAGCGTTCTAGATAATTAAACCGCGATTAGAACCCTAAACTAATATACCTAAGCTACTAGACAACAGCAAGGCCGAGTTACTAAATATAGAAGTATAGGTTAATAGAGTTATAGCTACGTACGAACAGAGCGTAAGAGAAATTCTCGCATGCTTTAATAAAGAACGAGAAGCGCAAAAGGCTAAAAACGCTACAGCGGGCGCAGAGCTAAGAGCACTAGCTAGTTACTAATTCCTAAGAGCTATAGGAAGAGTTATAGAACAGCTTGCCAGAGAAGAGGAAGTAAAAATAGCTATAGCTGCAGGAATATTAACAGCAACTATTAGCGCAGGAACCTGCGCAGGATTAGATATATTAGAAGGCCTAAGCCGCAATATTTAGTAAGAACTAGATAATAAATTACTTATTAAGAATAGTAAAGAATACTATAATAGTAATAAAGATCGTAAACTAGAAAAGTAGTCTAGCAACAGCGAATTTAGTATAGGGCTAGAGTAAGAACTGCTAAAGCTATATAGAAGGCAAACCGAGATCGAGATCTATAAAGCCTTACACCCTATTAGTAAAATAGGCGTCTATAATAAGAAAGATAAACGGCTAGATAGAAACCACCTACTTTATAGATAGATATCTTAGGTATCTTATATTAAAGATAAATGCGACGAGCATATAATATATAAAAAATATTAAGGATAGTACCTATATCGGATAAAATATTATATTATTACGCAACTAGTACTGTTTAAGGAAACAGAGCACTATATTATAGGTAAAAAAGACAAACTTATAGAAGTAGCTACTATAGTTATAGACCCTTAGTACCTAATAGAATATAGAAAAGGCAAAAACTGGCGGATATACTACTAGGACTTATATCTAGTATATTGCAAAATAAAACACGCGAACTATTAGCTATAAAAATAGCTAAAAAACGAGCAGGCGCTTAAGCAGCAGGACGGCTAGAGCAGCTAAGAATAAGGTCCTACAGAGCAGCTAAAGACAAAGGAACGTAAACCGCAACTATTGCTACTCTGGTAGGAAAA